TCCCTTCTCAGCGCTCTCTCTCTCTTTGTCCACTGACCTACCCAGAGGACCGTCAACGGACCGCGCCACAGTCTAATGCATCAGCCGTTTATTCCGTTTGGGGATGGCTCCGATGCAATGAAAGAAAGGCTAGTCGAGTGGCTCTAGACCCTCTGTAAGTGGCATCATTTTTCTTTGTCGTGCCATCCACTTTCGCTTTCCACATTCCATTTTCCGATGCCACTCGAAGCACCGCCCAGTGTCTCACGTTTAACCTCCGATGGAAAAACATGAAAGGCCTGAAAGAAACGTGACAGGTAGTAGGACTACAGGAAGACAACAAGAAAAGCAACACAAGACATGGTCGATGACATCAACACCCCGGGCCAGCCACGACAAACAATAAAGGTTTTGAGACACAATCAAGGGTGCGTGCGCCAGTGCAGGGGACCTCGGGGTCTACATCCAGGCCTACGTCACTGCGCTTTGTTATAAGGTAATTACTGGCTGGGTATGTCCATTGTTTACATATGACTTTATGACTGTGATTCCTTTTTAGTCCTATTGTCTTTCTCGTTCACATTCCGTTCTTTCAATCGCCTTCTCAGCGCAGACAGCCAGCGACAGGAGTCGACAGGACAGTCTCTGACTATGACGTACTGCGATGCGTTGTTTGATTTGGTGAGTGTTGTCATCGGGAAATATGACTCTTGTGTACCAAGAACGACAGGGCGAATGACACAAAGGACAGAAAAACCTGCGGAATGCAACGGCCATCAAAAAGACCAAAACAGAAAAAACACCCAACCCTGCAGTGCTCGTGGCACCAACCAAACGGAGAGATGCCAGATACCGTACCCGCAGGGATGCCACAGACGTTGGAGACCAAAAAGAAAAGGTTTTCTTTTCGACAATATGCATCGAGATGCGGGCGAGATGCAGATCAAGTTGGCCCAACCAGACAACAGCCTAACCGCCAACGCGAGATCCCGTTTTCAGGAACTTTCCTATTCGTTTTGGACCAACCTATCCTTTGTTCGCTTTTGCTCTGTTCTCCTGTTCCATTTCTCACACTCGCCCAGTCTCTTGCATGTGAAGAGTCAAAAAACGTGCATCGTGCATGAAGGCCAGAATTTGCGGAATGCAGAAACAAGTACGACAAAATACGACGTACGACATGCAACTGTTAATAATGCTGTGTTGATGATACGGAAAGAATACAAGATGCTCGGCACCTGTTGGAGTCTACCTGGATTCATTGCTCCGTGCAAACTGACACTGTTCTGTGTTTCTTGTTTTGCCACTTGCACATTGCCACCAAAATGTGTTTATCCTTTCTACAGAAAGTATGTTTTCTCATCAAACGGGATCTCCGCACACGCATGCAAGCAGCCCGAAAAGATTGCGTGTTAAGAGAAACAAACAATATTACGGTGTAAGACATAAGAAGAAAAACAACAAAAAAGCGGAACCTTGGACGGGCGATCAAGCTACGGCAAGGACCGTCGCCTAAGGGGCGAAACTCAGCTCAAAAGCCGAACTCCAAAGTTCCCCCAAGGCAGCCCTCCTGCCCTCCCAAAATCAAGGAAGCAGCACTGGTTCGAACTCCTGTGGAGTCGTCAGCAACCACGACGTAGTTGACTTCTTTCCTGGTGAGATATGCTGTTGATCCTGGCAGTACTATTGTCCAAGGGACAAAAGATAATTCACGAGCTGCAGAGCGCAAAGGAGGCAAAAGAAAGGAAGAGCCTGCACAGACTGGACTGCCCTTGTACTGCACTTCATTTCGGATTGTATGGCTGGGTCGTGATCTGGCTGTGGTTTTTGCTTTGCCGATTCTACCCTCCCAAGCTGGCAGTGGCGTTTCTTTTTCTCCCTTGATTCCTCTTTTGTCTTTTCGTTTTGCTGCGCAACCCTGAAGGCTGCACGACTCGCTTGAGCAAGGGGCCAGGTCTCAGTTGCGGAGTAAATACGGTCGTAATTCGTACAGTTGTGTCGGTTGTAGTGTTGGTGGCTGGCGCACAGACACTCAATAAAAATAAAAATATCGGTTTGCCGCCGCAGGCGACAGCGCCAGAGTGTCTCCAGTCTCACACGTCTTACAGGGGTGCTTCAGTGCTTCCAGGCCATCCCCAATCCAGAGCCTTGCCCTCCCATTCCGACGACGACGACACGACGACGACGCAGTGCAACCCAGCAACGATTTCAACATTATTGTCCCAAACTAACGTGTCTCGAGCGCCACGATCTTGAGTCCGTGGTCCGAGCCGTACTGCGTGATCGGCTAGATTCACACCTTTTGTAAAATACCAAGTGCACAAATGACGGGTCGGAATATTCCGCTATTTGACATTAACTATTTGGATATGATTTATGAAATGATCCCTGTTGTCACCAGCATCTGCACGAGGACCACTGAAGGCCCCTGGTTTATCTACGCCGTATTTCAACGATCTTGAGGATGTGCAGGTGGCAATAATGCTGTTGGTGCTGTGGTAGTGTTACTGACGGTCATGTTTGGCAGCCTTTTGGTGTGTCTACTGGCAATTTGTTGGGTTGTTCGTTTGTTCGTCTACTTATTCGAGCCACATCCGGCAGGCGACGTTTTGATTGTATATACGTCAAGACTCGGGATCCTGATATCTGAAAGGAAATGCAACTGGAATGGCAAAGTGATGTGAGGCAGCATCCTGATTTATCCTGCTTCATCCTGCTTCGTCCAACTCCTCGTAGCTCTCTCCGCAGACCAGATGACGTTGGGTCGAGATCCGTGTCTGACAAACAGAAACCAGATTTCCTGCGGCCCAATCTCGATTGCTGTACAACATACTCCGTACTATGACTACACATCCTACTGCTGACTCTAGTCCCAGCTTGCTCTGAGCTCCATTGGCCGTCCCTCTCATCGCTTAACGCACAACTTGCCCAGCATCGACGACGGCAGTGTTGGTTGCGAGGTCTGTGTAGGCCGCGTACCGGGTTTTGGAGGATAACGGACATATTGTTCCGGTGCAGGGCGACAGGACCCAACAAGACGAGACCGGGGAGACGAGAAGCCGGCACCACAGTCGATGTGCCCTGGACAAGGCGCCGGACCACCGACGATGCCATTTCCCTAGCCGCTGGAATGCCAATCACCACAAAGGGTGGCGACGCATTGCCACCCCGGTACCTACCTTGCCCACCCCAGACCCTTGGGATCATCGTGCACCTGCGTTGGTGCCTTGAGCTCAGGAGCTAGACGGTAGCCGACGCTGTCAAGCTCCACTACGGCGCCGGCTGCCAGTGTTTGGGCGCAACCGGTCCTCCGAGTCAGAGGTCGCCGAAGAAGGCCGCCGCCATGGTAATACACGACCAGTGGCGCGTCTGACGGCAAATATCGAGGCCGGTTGAAGCGGTGCGATGGTCCGTTTTCGAGAGACCCGTCTTCCACGGACAACATGTCGGTCAGCGGCGGATATGGCGAAGCTAGCTGTCCCAGCAGACCGGCGAAGGCCACGGGCATCTCTTCAGCCCATCCGCCAAGCACCGGCCACACCCCGACGACTTCTTCGAACTGGATAAGGATACATGCAGCAGTGGTAGTAGAAGAGACGGTAGATGATGTGTACCTATTTCTTGTCGGTGCGGTTTGTTTATTTGCGTTTTATATTTCTCCCTTATTTGTCTTTTCGAATTGTTTAGCTATCTCACCTCCTCGACCAATTATACGACCACTCAAATGTTACAATCGACTTCTTGTCGCCACTTCGCTCCTGCCTTCCTTTTCCCCGTTCCGATCATGAAGCGGGTCCGGGTATCCGGTCCGGATCGTTCCCGGCCGAAGCCACACTATTAGACACCCAACAGCTAGAACTAATTTGCTGCACCGACCCATTCCCCATCTCTTCCTATATGTCAAAGAACCATCCCTTCTGGCCCCTCTCAAAGCTTCTCCTCATAATCGTACCTCTCAGCTTGGGGGTTTTCTTTTGCTTTACTTGTCCCTGCCTTCCTCCGGATCTCAACCGTAGACTGCAGGTACGAGCCACCGAAACGATTACCGCTCCGTGAGATGGATTTTGCATTGTTGTTTTTGTCTATTCGTTTTCTCAGCAGACCACGCCAGAAATGGCGACCATCACCATCCAGCACTACGTGTCTTCAGCAATATCCGCTGCCGCACGTGGGCCTCTTCACCCTACTCGTCCGACCTGACGCCCAAACGCAAGAACTTGAAGTGCACTGAGGCGGAGACGACGAACTTGTGCGAGAAGAGCCTGGCTGCTATGTTGGCTTTGTGCCGCCGCATCGCGGCGGACAACTTCACGTTCGTTTTGCGTCCTGCTGCGTAACACGCCGCAATTGAAGGGCGTCCCTAACCTACTCGAGGCTGACCTGGTGATTTGTGGTTTTACGTAAGAAGCAAGAAGCAAGAAGGGGAAGAACTGTCGATAAATAAGAGCATTTATTTAAATTTACATACGCTACTAAAGCCCCTTCCCCCTCTCCTCGTATACTAGTGTAAAGATATGCTGTGATGTTTTCTCCTTGTGCAACAATCGCACTTCCGACTAACACCGTGATTGCCTAATTAGGAAATGTCTCCACAATTCCTGGATCGCACCTGATCCGAAACGTCTTCCTCCACGCACTAACTCGGGCATGTCGATTCCGGGTACTTTCCGAAGTAGAGTGATTCTTGGAAGGACGTGGCTAAAAGTCACTCACCAAATGCAGAGATAGAAACTCGGAAAATCAGCTGGTTCCCGTGGAAATTGGTTTGCAGATGGTAGTGAACGCGTTTCGATTCTACGCAAGAACATACGCAAAGTCAAGTTAAGAACCAAGACGCAAAAAACAAAATAAAACAGAAAATGAAGTCGAATAGATCGCTGTGGCCTTTCCGGGATTTCCTCCTTTTCACCCACGAAGTCCCGTGTGGTGTATTTCCCCTCGTCAGCTTATCCAGTTGTCCTGTTTTCCATGTTTCCCGCTTCCGCTTTGACCCCCCTCTCCCAACCTCTTCTCCATCGTCGTATCTACTTCTGTTCCAGCATGAAGCCAGAGAAGAACCGGTCAAGCGAAGTGTAGTCATTTACCGCACCCACGTACGACACGTACTGGTCTGGCCGGATCACAACAGCCGCACCCACTCCAGGGTCGATGCCGTAGTTCTTGTACGCGTCGCCATGGCCCTCGTGGTACGACTGGCCGTCCACAAAGATCTTGTTGTAGTCCCAGCCGTCGACCTCGTGTAACGGCCGCAGGACTTCTGGGAAGTCGAAGATGCTCACCTCTTCGCGGTGGCCCGAGTGCACCGTGAGCAGCTCAATCACCGAGTCGTAGCGGCCGTCCTTGGGCGTGAAGCGCTTGAGGAACGACGTAGGTTGTGCGAGCCGCTTTCCAATGACCTCGAGATCCGCGCGGCGGTCCGGAATCGTCAGGTCACCCGGGAAGAACACCACGCGCCAAGTGCCGTTGCTGCGCAGGCGCTCCTGGAAGTGCCAGGGCCGGCCGTCCGACTGGTTCAGTACTTTGAAACTGGGCATGCGCATCCCTACCTTGACCTCGGTCGCCAGCTCCTGGCGGCTCACCACAGGCTTCTTCGTGACACCGTTGACACCGTTGACACCATTGACACCGTTGACACCATTGACACCATTAACACCATTGACACCATTAACACCATTGACACCCTTGGCACCATTCGTCGCCGCCGCCTCGGGCGCCTTGGCCACAATGCAGCTGGCGCCGTAGTCGACAGCAATGCCGCTGGCAAACATGTTGCCCTTGGCAAATGCCTCCTTGAACTCAGACATGCTGATGCCTTCCTCGTCCATGACATCCTTGGCCGGCCGGCCCGAAAACAGCCGCGAGAACTTATGGTCGAATTTGATCAGGTCGTGCGCGATGAGGCTGCGCTCGTCCTCGTACGATTTGAGGATCGACCGGTCAGCCGTGCCCTTGAGCACGCTAGCAATCTTCCAGCCGAGGTTGAAGGCTAATTAAAGTGTCAGCACATCGTCGTTCGACCAGCACACATTTCCTCGCGACTCGGAGAAGTTCACTTACTGTCCTGCATGCTGACGTTCATGCCCTGGCCGGCCTTGGGCGAGTGCGTATGCACGGCATCGCCCGCCAGGAAAATACGCTCGTTGGCCGAGAAGTGCGTGCCCACGCGCTGTCCAATCTGGTACGCCGTCCACCAATCCAGCGTACGGTACGACAGCGTGTACGGCGCCATAATCTTGTTGGCCGACTGCAAGATCACCTCGGGTGTGATCTTGGACCGGTCGGCACGGGAGCCTGCCGATGAGCCGTCGGTGTTCTTTTCGGTGGTGGTGATTTGGATGTACAGCCGCACGAGTTTGTTCTCGCGCGGGATGACCATAACGCTGCCCGACTCCGCCGAGTGGATCGCGCAGCGCATGCGGATGTCCGGGAAGTCCGTGATCGGGACAATGTCCAGGACACCCCAGATGTAGTCTGTGCTCTCACCCTCCAGCGCAAAGCCCAACTCGCGCCGCACCCACGAGTGTGCGCCGTCGGCACCGAGCATGTACTTGGCGCGCACCGTCTCGACCGCGCCGGCCTTGGCGTTGAGCTCGACCGCTTTGATTAAGTCAGCCGTGTCGTCCGCCGCCAGGTTGCTGCGAAACAGACCGTCACTGACTGCCACGCCGTTGGTTGACGTTGCCACCTGCTTGGGCGTGGCCTCCTCTTCGGTCAGGTGGCGCAGCGTCACCGTGATGGGGTAGTTGTCGGGCGAACTGTCTTCGGCCTGGGATGCGTCAAACTTGAGCGCTGTCGGCAGCACGCCGCGCTCGACGCGGATGTCGCTTTCACGCTCAATCTGATCGATGAAGAGCCGCTCGATGCGGCCCTGGTTGAGGACGACCTGCTGGAAGCGGCTGATACCCGGGATAGTGTCTGGGATGCGCCCACTGCGAGCAATCTTACCAGACTCGTCGGGGTTCCAGAAGCAGATTTCAATCATGTGGTTGGACTCGATCCATACGCGGTTGGCAAAACCAAACGAGTCGAAGATCTCGAGCGTGCGGCATTGCAGGCCATCAGCCTGGCCGTTGAAGATCTGGGAAGATGTCAGTATTGCCGCCCGGGGAGGTCTCAAGAGGTAGTGGAGTAGGGAAGCATACCTTGGTACCGCGTTTGTCAACAATGCGCGTCTTGATTCCACACCGTGCCATCCAGGTAGCCATCATCATTCCGGCCGGGCCAGCGCCCACGATGAGCACATCAACATTGCTCTCAGTCGCCATGCTTATTTGAGGTGAAGGTGAGGGTGGGATATCGGAGTATACGAGGCTATGGATTGGGAAGGTCAAGGAGTGAAGCAGGAGAAGGTTATGAAGTCTGTTGATGTTCGTCTTTGCCGTACAGAAAAGATGCTGAGACCTGCTCTTTATGTCGAGTGATGTATATTGTCGTGTCCAAGGCGGGAAAGAATATGTCTGACCTTTGTCGACGTTGATGTGCCCTGTTTTTTTTATTTTATAAGAAAACAGAAAAGAATCCATAAGCTGCCTTCATTTTCCCTTTTCGCACACATTGTTGTCATCCACGGCCTCCCTCAACGCTACCCACCGAGGCTAGGTCGTCGGTCCAGGGTAGTGGTCCATGGTCTTCGGATAGGGGTACATGGCCTCATGCCATTCTCAAACCAAGGACTTGATAGACAGTTCATAGCCCAGTGGGCACAGCTCTCACAGTCCACTTTGGTTGTAGCGTTTCGTGGGGCATGCTAGTACGACATGGCTACTCCGTCGAGGCGATCTGGAGAAGACAAGAACCGTTCTTTACTGGCAGATGCCAATCGGTTAGGTAAGGCGCACGAAAATGAGTTGCGCGGCGGAGCAGTGGATGTTTTTCCAGTTTGTAGGAAGTAACTTCAGGAGTGCGGGGAAATGCGCCATGGACATTGGGGATCGTAGTCGGAGCGGAGTGCATGTGGGAGGAGCGGGCGAAAGACAAACAAGCCAGGCGAAGCAACGTCCACACCATGGTACTAAAGATGTCTCTGGCAAATCGACAAAAGCTTTCCCGGCGATGCCTCACCTGGCGTCCTCAGGTGGCTCGTAGCGCTAATATTCAGACACGGACGTGAGACGGACGCCAAAGTAGAAGCAATTCATGCCCCGAATCCGGTTCCGTCTCCGCTCGTCCATGGTTTATCTTTCGGAAGCTGGGCATTAGCATGTTGGAGTACAGGGTAGCTTATTTCCTTAGTTGATCCTCCAAGTCAGCTAAACTAGCACATAAAAATGACGCGGCATTGAAATCGGGAGGTCTCCAAGACGAGGACCTAAACAGATGGAGGCGAAAGGTTCCGGTGACGTCGGAAGCGAAGGGTAGAAGGTCGGGATGAGGAGACAAGAGGGTTGATCTGCAACAAGGCGGCGAATCAGCCACGTGAGCAGGGTTGGGTGGCATAGACTGTGCTACAAGCAATGCCGGTATACCATGTTGTGTTGAAGTTGGACACGATGCAAAATGTCGGGATGTCTGCGATGAAAACATTCCAGACTGACCAAATCAGGGGGCAGTGAGCAGTATCTGAAAGAATGATAATGGAAAAGAAGGCAGGTGCGATCAAACGGATGTCTGGAGGGTAGGTGCAGTTACAGAAGGCGCAGCCCGGTTGAGCATCAGTCGTTCCTCCCTGCTACTCTTACAAATAAAAATATAATTTGAACAATTTAAAATCATTTTTTTAGACAATTAAAATCAGACGCAAAAAGCAACTCCAAAAACAAATTGTAGACATGTTGTGCATAGAATCAATTAAAGACTCCATGTCAAAAAATAGACAAAAAAACACGACAAGAGAGGGATTCGAACCCTCGCTCCCGAAGGAACGGGCTTAGCAGGCCCGCGCGTTAACCACTCCGCCATCTTGCCTTTGCACTTTGGGCGGCTGATACTAGGCGTCCGCTTATGTGGGTACATAAAGCCCCACGTGCCGTCCACAAATGAGGTCTTTTTACGGGCAAGGCTGAAGAAGCCAGCAAATCAGAGGGACAAAGCCAGACAATGCGTGACGACATGCTTTCGAGGGTGGTATTCTGTTACGACGTCGAGCTCGGCTTCCATTTCATAAGCTACGCAATGAAAGTAGTAAAATAAAAAGGCTAGAACTTGCCGTCATTCAACGTGTGTCGAACCAAAGCAATATCATGACGCGTAAGCCGACTGGATAGCATGCCGAAATGAACAAAAAAATGCATACATGAACCGTTGCAGAACAGGACAAGTTATCTCTCATCCTCATCGCTTCTTTTCCTTCTCTCCCCTCCCCTTCTTCTGTCTCCGATCTCCCCCCATCTCCACCTAAGCCTTGGGGTCAAGAGCCAGGCTAACGTTGTACTCGAGCTCGAACTCGGCCTGCGGGTCGTTGGCGCGCGGCGCAAAGTCCACCTTCAGGTTCTCCTTGACTGCGAAAACAGAGTCGTCCTCCAGGTACTTGGAGTCGGAATCGAAGATCTGTGTCGTAAGCGCCTTGTGGCCGGGAGCCTCAACCTGAAAGGAGTCAGCGACCAGTGTATGGAACAATATGGGGGGAGAGGAGAACGCAGTCCTTACAATCAAGTGGATATGCGCGGGTCGCCAGTGGTGGCGGTCCATCAAATCCAGTAGCTTGCCGGCCGGGCCGTCGCCAGGCACAGGATATGGCGTCGGCCGCAGACAGTAGAAGCTGTAACGGCCGTTGTCATCCGTCACAAATTTACCGCGCAGGTTGTACTCCTGCTGTTTGGGGTCCTGCTGCTCGTACAGGCCGTTGGTGGAGCACTCCCATGCGTCGACGACAGCGCCCGCAAGAGGCAGGCCTGTGTCGGCGCTGGTGACCTGGCCGTGCATAAAGGCAACGACGCCGTCCTCGGGGGTATCAAATGTCATGGTGGACCCGTTGGGGCGGGTCGGCGTGTCGCTGCGCCAGAAAGGGCCCAGGATGGCAGAGGCCGTGAGTGGCTTGTTGGCCTTGACGGCCTCGGCGTACGTGATGGAGTCGACGAGGCTCTCGAGTCCAATGACGTCGCACATGAGCTGGCCCTCATTGCGTGTCTCGTTGGACATCTTGCCGCCGGCATTGATCATCTCGACGCCGAGCATCCACTCGTCGACGGTCAGGTTAACTTCGCGGGCAAAGTCGTGGATGTGTTGGATGAAGGAGGACATCACCTTGCGCATGCGTGGTGACGTTTTATCGCCCATGCTCTTGATGACGCTGGCAGTAAACTCCTGGCCGAGGACGGTGCTTTCGGAAGCGCTGGGCGGCGCGACGGTAGCAGCGCCATTTTTCGCCGTGAAATTGGCGACATGGTCGTTAGAAGGGTTTGCTGAAGGCATAGTATCGCGGTTTGACTATGGGAGGGGGGGTAGGGTATGGGTGTTCTGGGTGAAGAAGAGGAAGAGGGCACGTGAGAATGAAGGGGACAAACGAGGCGAGAAGTTTGGAATCTTGAGTTATAAATGTGAAGTTTGGGAAGGTGCTTCAAGAAAGAACTTGTGGACAATGTAGCTGAACAAGGTCACTCAAGAAAGGAAGGCGCGGATGTAAGTCAGAAACAGTGCAGGAAGGCACAGATGTGCTGATGGAGGCAGGAAGGGTAAGGTTGAAGATGGGAACAGGGAAGGGGATAAGGCAATACAAGAAGCTTGGTTCCCTGGATATCGGCCATCCTCTTATATCTTTAAAACGTTCGTTGGGTTGAGAAAGAATCTGAAGAGTGTCCAGGGTGCGTAACCTCAAACAGGACCGCTCCGTTTCATTTTCCTGCTACTCTGTAAGATCTTGATGCACCCGTTCCTGCCTTCGTGCGCCGTCGTCCCTTCCTTGAGTGGTCACTAGACCACTAGCAGTTTCCGTGTCCGTTGAAGTGCGGAGGACTCGCAGCCACAGGCCCATCGTACATTGTGAGCTCTTCCCTTTTGGGACCAACATCGGGCCGCAAACTAATAAGGAAAGCACACAGCGGTGGAGTTAAATTTAATGCAAAATAAAAAAGGAAAAAGGCGAGAAGGCTTTGTGCTCCAATGGTCCGCAATTGTCTTATCCCGCCAACCAACATAGCTTTGCTTCATTTTCCTCGCCAATCTCGAAGAATTCCGACAGTCGTCCGTTCGGATTTTACAGGTACACCCCTAAGTAACGAATTGTCTGACCATGGAAAGCAAAATGGAAACCAAGCGACCATTGAGACGATAAGCAATCCACATCCAGAAGGAACGGAGGACGACGTTGTTACGGAAGGCACATGGTGCGAGAATCCTGCGGGGACAATGCCCTCCGTCACTTGCCAAAGTGCCAAAAGAAATCGGTCGCCACTTCCTTGCAGCTTGCCATCCGAACCATTGTTCGGATGTCGTTTTGCTGCGTTGCTCCTTCCGTACGTTATGACCCACTCCGCCCCCGCCATCGCCCCAGCTACCCTTCTCCGCCTTGCCTGCTAGCGCCTGCGAGTTGCACTAGTGTTTCTTTGCGGCGGTCTCCAATTCCGTTGTCGCTGTTATTTTGTTTGTGGAAAGCAGTTCCTGTGTTTTTCTGTAAGTTCGCGATTTTGGTGCGTGCCAAGACAAGTTGCTCCCTCTCCCGTCTCCCGAAGCGGAAATACCGCGGATCAGCAAATTTGCATTACGCGGCATACATTGTATACCGCAGTTTCCGTTCGTCACGGGCTGCCGCTGTGTACTGTGGGGGCATCTGGATGGCCGCAGAATGAGCAAGAATGAAAACTTGTTTGGCAAACGCATGAGGGCAGTTTCTAGAAGTGTTTCTTTCGTACGACGGCTTTATATTGTCATGTCTTTTTGAATGCTTATTTAAGGATGAAAGGGGGCAAAGGAGCACACGTTTGCGAAAGTTTAAAATTAATATAAATAAATAAATATTGCCCAAACGAAACGAAAACGACTACATGCAGTATTCTTTATTATCACAACAGCTGCTCAGAATCATTCTATGTCTTATTGATTTCTCCGTCTCTTTTCGTTATATAATTCTAGTGAAAAAAAAGCATCTAAATGGCCGCCGTAGTCTTAAGGTAGTCACCATCGTCACTTGCAAACGATGTCCAGTTTGCCTCGTCGCTGCCATTGGGCCGGGACGCACGCTGAAAACCCAGTTCAAGCCCGTCGATATGTGCCACGGGCTTGACTACCGTCACGTCGTGTCCGTAGGCCTTGGACGACCACACCTCGAGAATGTTCGGGTCGTCGAAGAGGTGCGGGTGCTGCCGACGCAGCCCCAGCAGTGCGTTGCCTGAGATTTGGTCCACGCTGTGGCTATGGGTCATGCCCATAAACTCCTCTCCGGCCACGGCGCGTAGCTTGGCCTGCACGTCCTCCGGCAATAGACCCGCCTTGAACAGAAGCAGGTCGTACTGCATGAGCGACGCCTTGCCGTGCCAGGAACCGCCAACGGTGGCACGGTTGTACAGACCTGTGAGCGCCGCAATAGCGCCCATGCAGCCCGTGCCGTAGTCGGAAATTGGAAACGGAGGCACAACCGGCTCGTTCAGTCCCATAAATCTGCCCTGTGCCCAGGCAACGCCCGTGACCTAAAATAGAGCAGAAATATATTAGTGACAATTCCGTTTAGATATATGATGAGATGAAAAGAAGGGAGCCGTAAACTCACGCAATCGGCAATCTGCTGCCAGCCAGGCCGCGACGCCCACTCGCCCTCGTAGCCAAAGCAGTTCTCGTTGACATAAACGATGCCATAGCCGCGCTTCTGGGCCAATGCAGTCACATACGTGGGTCCGAAACCCAGCTTTTCCAGTGCCCCAGGACGGTAGCCATCCAAAATCACGTCCGCCTCCAGTGCAACCTTTTCGAAAACCTTCCGTCCCTCGCGCGTTTTGAGATTGAGTTCGGCTGCGTGTTTGCCCATGTTACCGTCGACCTGGAAAAAGGGCACGTCGCTCAAGTTCGGGCTAGTGATCTTCAGTACATCTGCGCCGTACTCGCCCAGGATGCGACCGACGATGGGTCCTGCGATGATGCGGCAAAGCTCGAGAACCTTGATACCGGAAAGGGGGCGTCTCTCGTCCGGGCCCGACGGTAGCGGCCGGGGTGCCGTCGTCGACTCAAGGCTGGCCACCTTCCACGGCGCCAGATCGGCATTTGATTTACCCTGTATCTGTTAGTTCTTTTTCTTTTTTGTCTTTTATTTCGTTTTTGTCAGAAAAGTGAAAACACACATGTGGCGTTTGCAAAAACTCTTCGTACTCAAAAACAGGAACGCCAGCCTGCTTGTTTTTCGCATTCAGGACTTCGAGTTCGGCAATGGACAACTGCTTTGTCTGGGACTCGATCGCCTCAACAATGGCCTCGTGTGACTTGAGATCCGGGCGGAACGGCTCTAGGCCGATCATCCGCAACGTCGTCGATGCCTCTAGCGAGCCATGGATGTGGTAGTATTGGCCGGGATCTCGTGTCTCGTACAGGTTCGCCGACATACGGCGATATTGGTCCGACTGGGCCTGCAGGAGATCGGTATCCTTGAGGTAGTATTTCACTTCGCTGTCGAGCTTGCCGTATGTCCCAACCTTGGCCAAGTAAGCCTGGAAAAGGAACGCAGTCGTTTTCTCTAGATTGATTACAATCTGGGCAGGCCTTTGCACCTGTTGTTGGTGTGTGTGTGTCTTGGTGTTTTGCAGTACCAGTGCAAATGCTGCCTCGATGGCTTTGAGGGCTCCCGCCGTCTCGGTCTCTTTGAAAGGTATGGGGAAGTATGGGAAGTCGCTGTCGGCCGCGAATGACGTGTGATTCTGCAGTGTTGCCACGACTTCTTTTGGCAATGTCACCAGACTGAGAATCAGTGACAGTACCCGTCTTGTTTCCTCCAGCGAGGAATATGACAATTGATTATGATTAGACATTTTTGTTGTGTTGTGAGCGTTTATGTATATGCCTTGTTGTGATGAAACTGTCTCATCTTAGCCGCGTAGGGGAATTTGTCGGTGAGACATGAAAAGAGTGTGCGATGCTGCTGCAGGTCCAATCCAAAATAGAAGTCAAAGGGAAAAAGGCAAAGCAGTGCTTAGGCTTATAAAAGGAGCCGGGATGGGGAGCCAACCTCAAATGATTATCAATTAAGATTTGGTGGATTTCGAAGAGGGCTGCTGTGGATGAGCAAGTCGCCGTCGTATGAAAGCCGGTGCAAACAAATCCACATCAGAAGAGGCCGGAGTGAGTTAGCTTTGTGCAAAGAAATAAGACCTTCGAAGTCTCTGCAGATCCACCATCCTCCAACTATACTCTTCCACAGCCGACCGCAGGTCAGCCTGACTAAGCCTAGATGAACCGTTAATATGTTGGTACGGAAGAAACAGCACGGGAGTTCGATAAGAAGGCTTGCTGACTTGAGCTTTCATATTTTAGTTTGTCTGTTGACAGTGCACTTCTAACCCTCGCCTCTCGCCAACAGAAAACCCGTAAAGCAAGACTGTGGTCCCGCGGAGATAGATCTGCTCTGACGGCCACCCCTCCGTCTCTGGATTGCTCAACTTTTCCTCTTGGACAGATTGTGGTACCGGCCACTAACATGTCGGAAGTACCGTGCAAGAGATTCCGGGGCGCCGTCGAAATGTGATACGCCGTGAGAAATTAACGCCCGCTGCGGGGATATAGTTGTCGAAATTCGGGAGTGTAAATGTGTAGGAAATAATGGAGCATGGCCGACTATGCCAGTCAAAAAAGGCCTCACATGTCCCAGAAAAGGCCGTCACTTCATACAGCTGCGGGATAGAAAAAGCTTTCAGCCACCCTGCAAGTACCGGTCCGGAATCTCGAACAACCCACCCCAGAATAAAATACCAGGACTCTGGGAAGGGCACTAGGACAAACCGTCCGTCGGCTAGATCGCAGCGTTGGGGATCGCCCGCTAACGTTGGCATGGATCGGGTCGGAACAGGGTGGTAGGTAGCTTGAAGGCTCTCTGCACCAATGCATCTTCCGAAAGTTCTTAGTTCTATGCACCCGGTATCCGAAGCGCTTTCGGATGCGCCATTGGTATTGTGCAGGCGCAAAACATCGCAGCTGTAAAAAACTGACATCAGTCCCTGAGAGGTCATAAAAAAAATGTAAAAAGAAATCTATAAAAAAAAAAAAAACATCGCCACACCTCTCCAGCTGAAAGCCTGATAAGTTGGTACGTATCGTACACCAGGACGCCCCGAAACCGTAATTACCACCGGTGGCCAACGGAAGTTGCACTGGTGTCGTATATGGCCAGCGTGCCATGGCCGTGGGCCATTCGTGTGCTGTAGTGTCTCATTGGCCCGGGGCTGAATCCACGCTAGGTTTGATTCGTAGGGTAGACGTTCGTGTTAGTGACGTCCTCATTGCTCGGAAAACCTCATACCTCTGATATTCGAATTTATGCAACTTATCGTGAGCACATTCACCTGCCAAACGCCACAATTTCTATAGCTTGTCGCCATGCCGTTCATTGCCATTCCGTCTTCCCAGGAGCTGTACTATGTGCTGAGGTCGCCAGAGGACGCGGGCAGCTCTGGCCTGACATTCTTGTTCATCCACGGGCTTGGTTCGTCTAGTTCGTTTTATGCGACGGTCATGCCTGCGCTGGTCGCAGCAGGACATCGGTGTCTCGCTTTTGACATGAACGGTTCGTACGAGGCTGATGGCCTACACTCCTATCTATGAACATCGGGCGGCTGAAACTCATTTTCAGCGTTATCTCAACGGAAGCTGACTCACCTATCACCTAAAACTCAGGTAGCTGCTTGACAAAATACTCTGGCAAGGACAACAGCATCCAGGATCATGCAAATGACGCCAAAGCCCTCATTCATGAGTTTGGTATTTCTCCGGAAAAAGTCGTTGCCGTCGGTCATTCGATGGGCGGCCTTGTGGCTGGCACCCTGGCGACGGAGCTCGACTTGGCGGGTGCGGTCCTTATTGGCGCTGTGACGCCCAGCGATGCCATCACAACAGCATTCTCGCAGAGAATCAAGACGGTCGAGCAAAGTAAGGACGCAATCACCCACGCCAGTGCATAGCCGATCGCATTGTCGCATCTGACATACCGATGCTTGCAGATGGCATGGAGCCAATGGCAGACAGCATTCCCGCGGCCGCAACTGGTTCAAAGTCGACTCCGACACACCATGCATTTATTCGCGCGCTCCTCCTGTCACAAACATCGCAGGGTTATGCCGGCCTCTGTCGTGCCATTGCAACAGCACAACCGGCCATGTACGCCAAAGCACAGTGCCCTGCTTTGCTCATTGCAGGAGCGGATGACAAGGTCGTACCTGCGGCAAGCATGGAGGAAATCAAGAAAAGGTATAATGCACCCAGAAGCTGAGACAAGTAAATATATTGACCCGTGACGTTCACACAAAATCTAACCCGTTTCTTACGAACGCTGCAGCTGGGGGGCAGGTCGTGAGCAAGCCTCTTTGGAGGTTCTGGAAGGTGTCGGGCATTGGCACTGCGTCGAAGCAGGTGACAAGATCGGCGCCTTGCTCGTCGGCTTTGCTCGTCAAATCAAGCAGACATCGTGACGTTGTCTAAGAGGCCGGCGCGGCAGTATCCTATAGTGATGTCAGTCAGTAAATAAATGTTTGTCAAAAATACATGATAATGTCCACACATGTCCGTAACATACTAGGTAAACCTGGTAGAACTGAAGCTTGAGATCCCCGCTTGCATCTTCCACGAGCTCGGCATGGGCTGCCCATTCCTTGCCAGAGTCCTGTCCGGTCTTTGACGTGTACTTGACAGTCCCGTACAACATAAACTCGTTGGAGCCGGAGCCGAAAGGGAATATCTTTGAGACTGCGTGCGAGCGAGCCGCAACAGCCGCCCACATTCCCTGCCGGAGGGCCAGGATCTCTAAAGATAAGCAAACCGGTCAGTAACCGTAACAAGCACACAGTCGTGTAACATTGGGCTACCCACGGTCAAAGCCAGCAGCCTTCTTCGAGGCCATGATCAACGTGGCGTCCGGAAGAAACAATTTCGCATATTGCCCGTGTGCCGTCGGGGTGTCTGATGTCCTGTAGAACGTATCGAAGAACGCAACGGCGCGAGGGTCGACGCTGGTGCCCGTGGGCAGGACTGGGCTGATGTAAGAGGCCATATCGTGCTATGTGGTTGCTGTGTTTGAAAGATAACAACGGGAGCTTAAAAGAACTTGAAAAAGGGGGTCAATTGGTTGAGGCAAGCCAGCCGTGACTGCCTTGTCCAACATATATGAGCACAGTCAGGTATTTCCAACCAGGAGCTTCCTCTTTGTGGGGCCCAAGATGACAGGGCAAGAACGACCGCCGTTGTCGCTACTTCGCGCTTTCCACTTTCTTTCCTTCTCTCTCCTGGTCCTGCCTCATATCAAGTGTACGTCTACAAAACCGGTAGTCACAACTGTGCTAAACTAGTCCACTCTTTCCTGGTCCGATGGCCTGTCACCCTATATCTATCATCCAAGCCCTGGCCACAGGCCGGTTTAACAACAAGCGGGGTAGGCGCGATCACCCATTTAGCTAGGTCTGGGCTGCAGTTTCCAGAAAATCGAAAGCTCAGAAATGGCCCCGAACATGGGGCGAAGAAGGAGCGATGGTATGGGGTCAGTCTTTTGGACTCGCGGCCCCCAGGTATGGAGTAACTGACGCTGGAGGTCGTGCCTTCTTTTAATTTTCTCTCAAGCGGGAAAGTATGGGGCTTTGCACTTGCTGAATTATTTTTATGTTTTCTCCAGCTTCTCTCGCGGGTGGAAAGTGTGGGAACACAAAGCACACTGCATTATCGCGACCTGCAGCATCGTCAAATCGAGGCCCTCTGCCGCGCCCGACCCTCCAAAATGCCTTCGTCCAAGGTTAAGCCGTCAGAACGCCGCCGCTGCCAACAGGCCTGTGCCAGCTGTAAGCGACGAAAAGAGCGCTGTGATGGCCGTCAGCCGTGCAGCCGATGCATTGTTCGAGGCGTCCAATACGAATGCTACTTCTCTCGACCACTTGAGACACCACCGCCCTCAACAAGGCCCATGGCAGCATCTGCAGGTGCTGCGGGGTCGACCACAGTACCGTCAGTAGCAGTCGCGACAGTTGTGGCCGTCCCGACCGTTGCATCAGCGGCACCGCAAACCGAAAACAGTCCACAGTCTACCAGCTCGGCGCTGGCTTCCGCTTCTGTCCCGACGAATGCCAACAGCCCTGGCCAGAAGGGGCCTCTGCCGGCGCCCACCACGTCGACAAACGCAAACGGCCTGCGACATGACCGCTCCATGGATTTTGACGAGCCGGCCGGGGTCGCACAAAGCACAAATACCAATGTAAGCGACGCGTCGGATCAGCCACGGCGCAAACGGAGGCGGTCCCATCTGGGCTCCTCCTCGTCTGCCGCTGCCGTGCCCCATCTCTCGCGCCTCATCCAGGGCGGCCGTGGCAGCCTCTTTTACATTGGCGACTCGGCAAACTTGAGCTTTCTGCAAATCATCCGGCGGTTGACTCGCGAGTCGATAGGCTCTTGCAAGTTCACCGATGACCCTTTCCAGCATCTTATTGTCGAGGCCGCACCATCCACCAGCAACAACTGGGTCTTGGATGCCATTCAGGGCCCTCCCAGCATACCTTACGTCGAGAAGGCCTCGTCCTTGCTGACTTGGTTTTTGCGCGCTACAAACTGCATTTTGGGCATGTACGACGAGGCCGAGCTCAGAGAGAACATGCTCTGGTGGCTGCAGCAACAGTCACCCAAAGAGTCGTCTCCTGGCAGCGGCCGTGACAGTCTCACGTCTGCCGACAGCGCGGCACAGGAAGCGATCTTCTTTCTCATTTTTGCGATCGGCGCCCAGGCGAGTCCCGAAGACGACGACGAGTTGGCCGAAAAGTATTTCAATTACGGCCGCTACCTCACAGTCTGCGGTGCCACTGTCGAGCCTAGTCTCTCTACAATCCAGGCCTACATCTTACTTTCCATGTATCTGCTTGCAGCGTCCCGCAGAAATGCGTCCTTCATGTACCTAGGAATGGCCGTTCGCGCTGCTTATGCCCTCGGCATTCACCGGAGCGACATCAATGCGGCCTTCGACCCGAATGAGTACGCGCCGCGTGAACGGCTGTGGAAGGTCCTGCGGACACTCGATCTGTTCTTGAGCACATCTCTTGGACGCCCACCGTCGACAACAGAAACACGCAACACCAAGGCAGAAGACAACTACTCAGCAGCAAACGACCTATGCTCCATCTTCGAAGCAATATTAACCCAGGTGTACTCTACACGTACGGTCTCGACCTCGACTATAGAAAGGATCAGCGAACAACACAGGCTGTGGACAACGCGATTTGCTTCTGGCCTCGCTACAGATGGAATCCAGCCGGAAGAGTTTTTGGATCTGGATGGCGACGGCACCAAGACACCAAACATCGGCCTCTTCCACCTAAGGAAGCCTATTACTGGACCATTATGCTTCTATCGCGGCCGTTTCTAATTGAGAACATTTCGAAACACGTTGCTCAGTCCAAGGGCCAGTATAAGATGGACGGCGGTACTACAGCTCCAGCGAATCCACATTCGCCGTCGGAAAATATTCTTGCCTACGCTTGCGTCGATTCTGCCATCCGCACGATGAGTCTCCTCCGCGGGCTCCTTGATGCGCCGAAAGTACCGAAACGCCTTCCTTACATAGTAAACTCGGCGTTTGTGTCGGCGCTCGTCTTGGGCTTTGCGCAATTTGGTGACCTAGACCGGGTCTTCCCTATTGGCAAGAGTTTGGCTATTGCGCAGAAGGTCCTGGCACTTTTTGGCCGGCATGATCCTGTCTCCAAGCGGTACGCTTCTATCGTCACCGATCTCCAGGCTGCGTGTGAAGCGTGCCTGGAGAAGCGTGCAAGGGGCAAGATGGAACGGCATTCGGTCCTTATTGGCGGCCTGTTCGGCACAGTCGAAGACGCAACGGCCAATCCAGCCGCCGCTGCCGTCGCCACCGCTGCCGCTGCTGCAGGAACCGAACGCCCGGATGACGGCGAAAGCGCCGGGCGCTCAGCGGAGCCGTTCGCAGATACGCCAGCATCGTTGTCGCCGACACAACAACAGCGAAGTCAGCAAGACAGTCAGCAGCGCCAGCAGAAAAAACGACATCAAGAGGTACAAAATGTGCTGAATTTGCAGAGAGGCATCCCCGGAGTTCCTGGACCACATAGTCTATGCGACCTGAGTGCACCAGACAGCAACCCTCCCCAAAATCGCGACAGCAATGGACAAACGCCTATGCCAGCACCATTGCCGCAGAAGCAAAATCCAGCGATGTCGTCCATACAACAGCATTCGCCAATGCCTCATATACCGTCCTACTCCGGCATTGATTTCACCCCACCATTCACCGACGGCAACGACGATTTTCTTGGCCTCGCAAGCGCGGCAGAGGCAGACGATACGCTGGTCCGCCGGCACACAAACTCAAGTTATGACATGGACGACAACACACAGCAATTGCTGCCGCAGATGTCCGGTCTGCCCGACATGATCTTGGCCATGTCCCCGCGCATGATTACTTTTGACTCGTTTGACAAGAACCTCCAGCTTTTCCCCACAATGGATACCACAGGTTTCTTGTAATCCTATACTATTCGGATATACGGAATACCAAGTTGCAATATTTGATGGGAGCACTGCCATGATTGGTTTCGTTTGGCATTTTCGTCTTGGCTCGATTTGCGAACATACGGGATAGACATTTGTATTTTGGCTTGGTTTCGGCGTCCAACAATGTATTATATCCCGGTGGAACGCTTTTTATTTTATGACGCTTCAGTCGTTTATTCCCCCTCTTCATAACTAATAAATCTGAAAGACATTTGTTTCATTATGATTTATTCGATATTGTATCATGTTTAATCGACATTTCTGTATAAAATATCAACATTAATCAATTTTATTATCGTGGGTATTCGTCAATCCATTTTGACTTTAACATTATGCTCCTAGATAACCTTCTGCATTGAATGTGAATCACTCATACTTTAGCTTTGCGCTCCAACACATGGTTGGCACAACATTTACATATGATAACTGTGACTTGGTAACGACACATCCCCACAGCATTGTTCTTCAAAATTGCGAATTTGTGGTTTATTGGTATAAGGACCACGCGGCACCGCAAAGCAAGATTAAGAATACAAGTTTCCTCGCAACACAAGAAGCGGAATCACGATTAAGTCAATTCCTGTCGACCAACACAGGGCATTCCCTCCCTCTCTAGAAAACAACCAGCCGACGAAAGACAGCAGAAGCAGACGGAGACAATCCATCCCTCCCTCTGTATTTCCCATCTGCCGCCGTTTTCTGGAGACGGGAGTCTCTTTCCCTCATCAGTGCGGTTCGAATGGGACTTCCCATGCCACAATAGAAAAACAAAGACCATCTTCTAAGGTAAGAAACAAGAAAAGAAACTCTTTTGGTGCCGTCCGCCGCTGCATAGGTTGCAGTTGGATTTTGATTCCCATTTTTGTATATTTTCCCATTTTTTTCGCTTTTGTTTTGGACTTTCCTCAATTGGTATATCACCCACCACATTCTCTTTCTATCCGACTGTTTGGAGCGCCATTCGTATCAAGCGAGAAGCGACAAGCGTGAAGCGGGCGTTCTAATGACAGTGAAAGAGAGGTGTTTACCATTGAGTGGCCTCCTTGGGAGCAGCCTCGTCACCCCACTGGGCACCGCCAGTCTCGGCAGACCACTGCTGGTTCGGGACAGCCTCCTCCCAGCCGGTGGCAGCACCAGGGGCAGCGGCGAAGCCAGCCGGGGCGGCCTCCCAGTCACCACCAGTGAAAGTCTCGGCAGCAGCGGCAGCGGGCTCCTCCTCGATGGCGGCAACCTTGTCCTCCTCGGCCTTCTCCTCAGCCTCGGCCTCAGGGTCGCGGTCTGTCGAATGTTAGCAGGTGTCCGGAGACAAAAAAAAAAACTATATGCAAGCAACAAGAAACACCCAGTGTGACATACAGAAGTACAGATCCACCATGACGTCCCAGGGGGTCTCGCGGTTGAAGATGGTACCGCGGAGGCGCAGGACCTCGCGGGCCAGCAGCCACCAGACAAGGCCAATGGCGTGGCGACCCTTGTTGTTGGTCGGGATGGCAACGTCGACAAAGTCGGTCGGCGAGTCGGTGTCGCACAGGGCGATGACGGGGATGTTGACGTAGCTGGCCTCCTTGATAGCCTGGGCGTCGGTGCGGGGGTCCGTCACAACAATCAGGCGGGGCTCCTTGAACGAACGGGTGATGTAGTTGGTGAAGGAACCCGGGGTGAAACGGCCGGCAATGGCCTGGGCGCCGGTGTGAGAGGCGAACTTGAGGACGGCGCGCTGGCCGTAGGGACGGGCAGAGATAACGCAGACATCGGCCGGGTTGTCGACAGCAGCGATGATGCGGGCAGCCAGGACAATCTTCTCCCAGGTCTTGCCAATGTTGATGACGTTGACGCCGTCGGCGCGGGTCTTCCACAGGTACGGGTTCATGTGCACCTGCAAGTTCTTGGAGCCGATGTGGCACTGAGCGGCCAGCAGGTTCTCAATGTCCTGCGTGGTGGCGTTGAAGATCGCCGGCAGGTTTGCGGAAGCCATCTTGACGGATGTTTGGAGGGGTGGCTGAGGGGCGTTGGTGGTGAGGTTGGTTGCTTGCAGGAGAGAGGGAAGCAAGACAGAAAACCCGCGATGCAGATGCTTTTCGATATATTTTTTTTAGAGGGGCGCCAAAATCCCCCAAATTTTTTCACTTACAGACGGGTAGTCGCGAAAATTGGGCTGCCCTATTCGCCAGTGATTTGTGGGCAAGCCCCCCGCCAGGGCTAGAACGACAGGTGAGAAAGCGATGCACGTGATGCGCTTGGCCGCAATTTGCAGACGATTGGCGTGCCAATGTATCTTTACCGTGATACACTGCCAACAACCGAACAATAATACTTTCAATTTGCATATAAATCAAGGCGGAACGTACTAATGCCCACTTTGACTTCTCATGTAATTTTGTATAATTTTATCTACGAGTTTCTTGACCTTCTGGTTCACGGTATATACTTGCAGACTACTTGCAAGGTCTGCTCCCAAGTCAACTCGGCAGGGATATAGTATATTCCGAATGACTAACACACTCTAACCAATAATGGCCTAGCCAAGAAAAGGCTCGAAAATTTTGGGAGCTGCATCTGATATCGCGCGACACGACGGATGTGTTGACGGCTGGTGTACATGCCAGCAAGTCTCGACCAGCAACCATGCCGCTTCGCGTACCGGGCCTGCAAGGGCTCTCAGTGTTCAACTGTATGTTAATTGAACGACTCCATTTGCTCTTCTTGAAATAACTGTTCGAAGCGGCCGAACATTCGCTGACTGTCTTTTTCCTTTAGTATGTCTCCGGCCAGCAGTGGCACGGCCAGCTCCTAGCTTGCAGCCCCTCGTTCAAACAGCACATTTATCGCAACGAGAGAAGGCGAAGAAGAAGATCCGGCTGCAGCAGCCATACAAATGGGCTCAGATCGTCGCGCGCAAGGCCGCCAAGGTGGCGCGCCAGGAAGAAGTCGCCAAAGCACGTGAGGCTAGCTGGGGCCACCACATCCACGGCATTACGACGCCCTTTGTCGAGTCGTTTGACTCAGCCGGCCAGGCATCTAAATCGAAGATTATTTTTGAGACCAACGAGAACGGCGAGTCCGTGCCGGCGTCGCTACCAACAGACTCGGATAAGCTCAACTTCCAATTGACCAAGCAAGAACTCGACGAGGCCGTGAACATGGCGTACCAGCTTAGCAAACCGCTCGAGAACACGAACCGGATTTTGGTGGACGCTGTCACCGAGGCACAGGAGCTCAAGGAGCACGAGGAGCGGCACCGCAGGGCCGTCATTGCTCTGCAGCGCATCTCGTCGATGGACAACGCTAACAGCAAGAGCCGCATGCTGATCAACAAGCAGCGCTGCATCGAGAAACTCGGCCGCCACAACACGGATCAGTTTCTGCGGCCGAAGCCGCGGGCGCCGGGCCACCCAGAGCGGGAGGAGCTGAAGCGCGGTGGACCCGACACGGGCTCGTCCGAGGTGCAGATTGCCATCCTGACGGCGAAGATCCGCGTGCTGGCCAAAACCTTTGAGGGCCCATACGGCCACAAGGACAAGTACAACCGGAGGAACCTGCGTCTGCTGTGCCACCGGCGACAAAGGCTGCTCAAGTACATGGAGCGCAAGGAACGCGGTAGTGAGAGGTGGAAGAACATGCTCACAACGCTGGGCCTGACGGAGGCTACCTGGAAGCAGCAGATTGAGATCTGAGGGAGGTGACACGGGGCAGGGCCCCGCCCTATGTATATACTTTCCCTCTTCCTCTCTCGTCCTCCCTCTCTTCACTGCGGTGCGCTGGCACTTGGGTACATTTTATGTTTCATACCATTTCACAGCGTTTCCATTTCACTTTCACACGTGCTGGCGCGCAGGCGGACTTACGAGGAAAAGAGAGAGTTAAAATATCCACGAAAACAGATGTAATTATTTATGTACAATACAGACTAAACCAACATGACCCAAATAACAAAAACAACATATGAGAAGAATGCACTAAAACTGCATATGGTAAATGGCGTCCCGGCAATGGGAGCCAAGCAAAAGTTCCAAACGCCTTCCCGTATGTCAGAACGGAGAGAGAGACCTCTACGAACAAGAGTCTGCTGATTATGTGTGTGTGTGTGGATATTGCTCGATAAACCGACAAGACGTGAAAAAAGGGGTGCAAGAAGCGAGGAAAAGACGGGGAGACGGTGCCCTTTAGAAAACGCTGATGTAGTTGTTGATCCGCTCCTTCTGGTTCTGGGCGATGCACTCGGCAATCCACGTAATGTTGCGAATCTCCTGCTCGCGCAGCTTGACCCACGCGTACACAATTGCATACGTAAACTGCCGCGTAAAGGCGTTCTTGGAGATCTCCATTTCCTTCTGATAAAACATGTCCTCGAGACTCCGACTGTCCGAGCCCCCGGACCCGCCGCCCATATTGCCAGGGCCGACAGGGCCGCCGCCGAGGTTGACCGCCTCGAAGAAGCTCTTGTAGTCGGACTGGCCGTCGACGGCCAGGCGCACTCCGTCGATGTCGTCGGCGCGCGACAGCATGAGGGTGCCTTCCGGGTACAGGCGGCCAAAGGTCGGGTACAGCTTGTTGCGGTCGGCCTTGGACAGCTCGGTGCCAAAGGAGTTGATGGTGATGTTGATGGCGCGGCGGTCGGCCTCGAACTCGAGAATCTCGGACATGACCTCGGCCGTTGGCGTGCCGGCCATGTCGGGGTGCGTGTTGACAAAGTTGTAAAAGTCCTCGAGGTAGTTTTTGTAGAGCGTGTTGCGCACAATCTCAATGTTGAGCTCGTCCAGGTCCTGGTGGCTCAGACTGCCCTTGAAGAAGGGCGCCAGCGGCGTCTCGATGAGCACGCTGTTGTAGAGCTCCTCAATGTTAGTGGCTACACACAAAACGGGCAGCGTGTCGAACCAGCCAAGCGGGTGGCAGCGGTCGAGCAGCTCCCGGGTGTCGCGCTCGTGCAGAGTGCCGGTGATGAGTAGGGCCACGTTGTCAATCATGTAACCGTATGTCAGGTAGTCCATGAACTTGGCCAGCGAACCGACCGCGTTGGCGCGCACATAGCGGAACTCGGATACGAGCTTGTCGGTCGTCTTTGCGGCGAGGCTCGATGTCGACGGGTTTGGCGGCAGGGATGCGAGGAAGTCGCCGTAGGCCGGGCCGAGCTGGAGCTTCAGGTCTGGGCGCATTAGCTACGTGTATTCTCGGCGAGGTGAGGCCAAGCAGAGGAGGCCAGAGTAGCACGTACCATCCACGTTCTCGCACTGCGTCATGTTGCTGTAGTTGGTGCCCGTCAGAAGGCCATTGCGGTAGCCCCGGACGATGCCCTCGATGTACCTAGGGGGAGAGAAGTCAGCAGCTGGTCGGACGGCCACCATCGAATCTCGAATCTCGGTGATCGCCATCTCTTACCCATTGTCGACATTGAATAAGAGGCCCTCCATCGTGGTGGTAATAGATGGTCTGCAGTGGGAGCAGACAGAAGCTGGCGATGTGTCGTTGCCTGTTGCGTCTAGTTAAAAGACGCAGGAGCCAGCAGCTTGGCTGGAGCAATTCTCAAGGCAGGTGCGATACAAAACAGTGTGGACTGGTATTATCGCACAGTCAATATGCACGGTGTATTACTTCCCCATTACGATCTAGCGCAAGAAAGCCACACCGCCCCACTCTAGTACGAAAAAAAGCTCTGTCTGGCAGAAAAAAAGATTCCCCAGCTAAAAAGTTCTCGACGCAGCAAAAAAATATTCCTCCTTCTTTTTACCCTTTCTCAGCCAATTCCTCTCGCGACGACAATCGACAGCACCACGCTCTCGCCGCGCAATATTCTTTATTTTCATCTCCAGGAACGAGCGACAACCCTCGAAAGTGCCACTCGTTGACACAATGGCGCCCCTTTACCTCCTGTCGGAGACAAGCGCCGGGTATGTTTTGCCCAGCCTCTTCTGTTGTTTTTCGAAAGACCGGGACCGTACCTCGCTTTTATCGAACTCGACATAGTGTCAGCACTGGGCAGTTGCTAACATTTTGTGTCTTTGCTCAGTTATGGCTTGTTTCAGGTGAAGGACAAGAAGCTCATTGAGGGCGATGATGTGACCGACCGTCTGTCTACTCTGGACAAGATCAATAAGGAGTAAGTGTTTTTGTTGGTCCCTGTGAATGCCTCGACTCAAGCCGCGTTCTCGGAAATGGCCGACCGAACGACGGCAGACCTGGCCGTTTTTGCACAGAAGAACGCGTTGCTAACCGCATTCTTTCTCTGTCTTGCAGGGTCCAGTTCAACCTGTTCAAGAAGTGGAACAGCGCCGTTGAGGCCGTCGCCGAGCTCGACAAGCTGATCGACGGCAAGATTCCCCCGATCCTGACGCAGCTGCTGGAGGAGGTCAAGGAGAAGTCGAAGAAGGCGACCATACTGGTCGAGGACAAGGCTCTCGGCAACACGTTGCAGAAGCTACCCGGCTACAACCTCACAGCCATCCCTGCAGGCCCCGGCACTGCTGCCGGCGAGGTCTTCCGTGGCATCCGTCAGCACCTGTCGAGCCTTATCCCTGACATTGACGAGTCGGGCTTCAAGACCATGTCCCTGGGTCTGTCGCACTCGCTGTCTCGCCACAAGCTCAAGTTCTCTGCCGATAAGGTCGATGTTATGATTATCCACGCCGTGTCCCTGCTCGACGACCTCGACAAGGAGCTCAACGTCTTCATGATGCGCGTCAAGGAGTGGTACGGCTGGCACTTCCCCGAGCTGGCCAAGATCTTGAACGACAACGTCGCCTACTCCAGGGTTATCCTGGCCGCTGGCATGCGCGAGAACCTCGTCAACACCGACCTGTCCGAGGTCTTGCCCGAGGAGATTGAGGCTGCCGTCAAGGCTGCCGCCGAGGTCAGCATGGGCAGCGAGATTGCCAGCGAAGATCTCGAGAACATCACGCTGCTCGCCGAGTACGTTGTCATGTACGCCAACTACCGCACCCAGCTGTCCAGCTACTTGGACTCCCGCATGAAGGCCATCGCTCCCAACATGACCGCCATTGTCGGTCCCCTGATCGGTGCCCGCCTTATCTCTCACGCCGGCTCGCTCATGAACCTCGCCAAGAGCCCCGGTTCGACCATCCAGATTCTCGGTGCCGAGAAGGCACTGTTCCGCGCCCTCAAGACCAAGCACTCCACCCCCAAGTACGGTCTGATCTACCACGCTTCGCTGGTTGGCCAGGCCACCGGCCGCAACAAGGGCAAGATGGCCCGCCAGGTCGCCTCCAAGGCCGCCCTAGGTGCGCGTATCGACGCCCTGGCCGAGTACGAGGACGAGGAGACCGTCGACGACGACATCCGCGCGACACTGGGTTTGGCCGCGCGTGCCAAGCTCGAGCTGAGCCTGTCGCGGTTGGAGCACAAGCCACTGTCCAAGATTGCTGCCACAAACGGTGTCAGCACCGTGGGCAAGTGGGACGTCGCCGAGGCCCGGAAATACAACGCCGACGCCGATGGCCTGACAGGCAACGAGGAGGCTGCCGCTGAGCAGGCTGTTTCCAAGAGCGAGAAGAAGGACAAAAAGGACAAGAAGGAGAAGAAGGAAAAGAAAGAAAAGAAAGACACAAAGGCGATTGCCGCACCTGAGGAGGATACCGTCATGGAGAGCAACGACGAAGCCGCCAACGGCACCTCGGGCCCGGCCAAGCTGACCGAGGAGGAGTACGAGCAGTTTGCAGAGGCGGCTGGCATCTCCGTCTCCAAGTTCAAGCGCAAGTACGAGCGCGGCGACGTCGAGATTGGCAAGGACGGCAAGCCCGTCGTGCACAGCAAGAAGGAGCTGAAGAAGCTGCGCAAAGCGGAGAAGAAGGCCGAGGAGGAGAGCTCGAGCAAGCGGAAGCGCGACGACGACGCCGAGACGCCCAAGAAGAAGAAGAAGAAGCACAGCGACGCATAGAGAGCTGTTGGTTTAGTACCACTCTGTTGCTTTGTTGCGTGTACTTTTCCTGTCTTCGTTTCGTGTTTCTCGTCGTGCATATCCCTTTCTCTGTTTCATTTTCTCTGCTGGCTTCCTAGGCATCTTCATCCCCATGGCGCCGTTTCGACTGTCATTTACCCACCCTCTTGGGAATCTTCGTATTTTGGATCCTCTCTTGGCGTTATTTTCTTGTTTTGGCGAGGGCCTTGCTTGCGTATTTTTTTTGTTTGGCTCTGGAACAAAAGGGTCGGAGTTGGGTGCGATTTTACCATCAATGCTTTTTTGTTTTATTTCATCCTTTCGTTGTATTGTCTCCCTGTTCGCATAGTCTGTCATGTGCTTGTTTATACCTTAATGCTGGATCAGCTGGCTTCTTTTGGACGGCGTTCCGTTGCTCAGAGTACGAACAAAATCAGGAGGGGAAACTGCTATATTCTTGAACCGAACCGTTTGAAAGAAATGTAGTGAAAGATGGAAATCGTAAATGAAATTGAAGAGAGTGGATGAGAAATATCTTCATGAAGTCGACGGAGACACGTGACTGTTTTAACGGTGTCACGTGCCGGAATTAGTGACTGTTTGTAAAATTTCCCGCCAAGCTCAACCGCATCTTAAAAACGTCAGGCGAGCCAACAACCACGACCACGACGTTTCTACTTTCGCGCGCGCAGCACGACTTTGCAAGGTGTTTACGGACGGGACCGTCGAATTGGTGAGGATAACTCTTCTCCTACAAGTGTCTGCAACTACGACTTGATTTTAACTCGATAACAGCATTTCAACGGCGCCCGACTTTATCGTCCTCGATCTCAAACTTTTTGCGAGAACGACGACAAAAAGCATACAACGCGATAGCTCTATCTTGAGTTGGCACCAACAGTCGACTTCCTTCCGCTTTTTTGTTGTCGACTGCACAACCCCACATCTACACAACCGCACAACATGTCCTTCTTCCAGGTGACCCTCAACCGGTCGGCCATCGGCTTGCCGCAGCGCACCCGCGATGCACTCGCTGCTCTGGGTCTGCGGCGGCGCAACCAGACCGTCGTGCACGCGGTGTCGCCGTCGTCGGCCGGTATGATCTTCAGCGTCAAGGAGCTGGTGAAGGTGAAGGAGGTCAGCGAGGGCCGCGAGGCGACGCTGGCCAAGCTCAAAGCGGCGCGGCGGCCGGATCCCGGTTTCGTCGTTGCACGGAAATACCACGACCTGAACGAGCAGAGCCGGCAAGAGTCAGGGCCGAAGATCAGTTCATGAGGAAACGAGAGTGAGGGGGATTGGGGCGACCAGGCGCTTCGCTTTGTACATATAACTTGAAGTAACTCACTGTATGATTTAGTTTTTGGGTTTGTTTGGCTGGGCAAAAGACTTTTGACCGTTTTCGAACTGTCATGTGAATTTTGTGAACATTTATACCAAATATAATTACTCGTCTATTTTTTGTTATCGTAACACCTTCACAACGCCCGATTAATTTCCCAACAGCCAATGTCCAAAGTTCAGCCGGCAGTGGCCCAGAAATATGCCACAACAGAGTCCGGCGAGTCGTTGCCGTATTGCCGACCCTGCTCAGCTCCATATGCACGTTACAAAGTCACTGCTGTGGATTTTGACGTCACCAAGACAGAAAGAAGACAGGCCTTCAAGCGCCTCTCACTTTCTCGCCGTATTCTGAATTGGGTGTCTCATATTCGCTCACAAAGTATTTCACCATGTTTTTGCCGAGCCAGGTAGTCAACTTGGCTAGCTCGTCTCGCAGCCGGTTGACCGACTGCTGATCCATGTTTGTCTGTGAGATGAGCTCGGGTAGGGAAACTGGACGAATGTGTTAATGCCAACTTGTGAAAGACTAAGGGTCGGTGTTGTGCTTTGACATACCAAGAAGGCGACACAGGTGCTCGGCGCCATAGGTCTCGATCGGGGACTTGTACTTCTCGTCCGTCTCCCACAGCTCGTGCATCTCAATGTACTGTGGGCGCTCAAACCTGTAAAAGGGCCTGTCTTAGCCAGCCGACCAAACTTAGAGGAGGAGGAGCCACAGAAGTTCACAACATACCGATAGAGCAGGATGCGGCCTAAGCATTTGTTGAAGTACTCTCGCAGTCCAGCAACCGTCTCCTCAAGGATATCGAGGCTAGCAGAGCCTTCTTCGCGATGTGGTCGTTCAAAGGTGAGGTAGTCGTCCAGAACAGTCTCAGCCGGAACTTTGTGTGGAAGCGGTACCAGTTGCTGGTTTTTGGTCACATTCTCCCAATCGTCAACGAGTGCCGCCTTCAGGTGATCGGGGAGAGTGAGCCGGATCGAAGGCCGGTTGTGGAAGTTATCCTCCTTGTAGTCGTTAGAGAACAATCCGAACCGTGGGTAGCAAAATGAAACAAAGAAATTAAACAAAAAACAAAAAGAAAAGCAGAAAAGCAGAAAAGCAGAAAAGCAGAAAAATAGAACAAAGCGAAAGCGACATGAGAAAATAGGAGACCGCTAATCATCCAAAAGAGAACAGCAAAATACAACGGTAGAACATGAGGAGGAAAGGGGTATGTAAAATAAAGGGATTCCGGGTAGAAGCGTGCTATGACTATTGGATTCGATGCAAGTCACGCATGACACTTGTGCCAGATCGTCAAGTGCCACTTTGACCGCTGGATAGTCACTGCCGGCCTGAGGTCAGAGCCGTCATACTTTGAGGTGTCTCCGATTGATGATACGGACGTGCGCATGTCCACCCGAGCTCTTGCGCTTTGCTATGTGGATCGGCTTATCGGAACGCCTGGGCTTCTCTATGCGCTGGGGCCGCTTCGTTTGGTTGACTACCACTATGCGTATATGCTTGGGCGAAGAAACATATTCTTTGGCCACACCGGCAACTGAAGACTGGTTTCCGGCTGAGACCTGGGTCTCGTTTGTGACCTGGGCTTCGTCCGTGGCCTGGGCTTCGTCCGTGGCCTGGGTCTCGTCTGTGACTGGGACCGTGTTTGTGATCCCAGCCTCGGCTGAACCGCTTAGCGGCGTTCCAGTCGTAGGATCCTCAGCATCAGAAAGACTATCCTCCAGGGCTTCTTCCATAGCTGTCACCCAGGAAGTGTCCACACCACTGGTGTCCACGTCGGAAGAACCTTGTCTCGCGGGGTGGCGTCGTTTAGCGCGACGAGGGAGGCGGTCAACGAACTTCTCGGCTTCCTTCAAATAGTGATTGATCCCATCACCAGGAGGAAGCTCGGCCAGCACGTCGTACTCGCGCTCGGCGAGTGCGTTTTCGTACTTGGCGTAGTGGCTAATGCTTTTGAAACGAGACGAAGCAAGGGAAGCCAACGACCTCGCATTCAAGCGCGCTGCAGGTGCCTTCATAGGGCTGTGCGTTTCAGCGGCCTTCCTAGTTCGGAGTCGCATGGTTGCAACAGTAGAATGTAGGCACGTGGAACGTTTCGTCGTCGTGGTATAAAGTGAGGAAACGATAGATATACAAAGCAGGGATATGCTAAAGAAGAGAAGAGGAAACAAACAAAGCCGAGAAGAAGGATCAAGAGTATTGGGTAAAATTGGAGAGTAGAGGTGAATGATCGGATAAACGGAGCTGCAGTAGAAAAGAAAATGTTTGTGGGAGCAGAATATGGAAGTAAAGGGCAAAATCAGGCGACTCATACAAGTCGGCGAACCTTAATCGCCAGTCGCTGTAGTCATCAGGTTCAGCCGTTGGATGACCAACCCATCGCCATTTGCGTGCTCACAGTGCAGGCACAGCAGCCAGAGATGACTCCTGATCGGAAGGAGCGAATGGCTAGACGTTCCAAGAAAAAGCAGGCGTGAATGAATAAAACAATCATAGGGCAAATTGCATAAGGAGCGAAAGAGGCAGGAGGCAGCAACGTCCTGACGTGATAAATGTCAATCTTTGAGAAACACGGCCAGAAGCACCTGCCTGTTGCAAGTACTGGCTTGGATGGTTCTCTTAGAAAGACACGGCGTTCCTACTTAGGAAGTCGTTGTCGGCGGTCATGGAAGGAGTGATCGTCTGCCAATTATAGAATACGCTGGCAGTATAAAACAAAACCATAATACTGGCAACAAAATCATAAGGTATAACGTAAATGCATCAAAGATACCAACCAAGAGCATAGCAAAATAAAATATTCACTCACATGTTCAAGGTCGTAGTCCCGTTGACGCCGTGGGCCGCGTGCGTGTGCCAGGGAACCAGCGCCTGTCCGTTCTTCACTACCGCGCGCAGACGCCATCTCGGAGTGCCGGTCAAGGAGGTGATGGTGGTCACGACCACCGCGCTCGCCAGGCGTTGCTGTGCCCGTACCACTGCCACCACCACCAAAGCTGCCCGACCCACCAGGACCGCCGCCAACGATACCAGCCGCTGCGGCTGTCAGACTGGACCGGCCACCGCCACCGCCCAAGCCACCTGGACCGCCAGGGCCCTGTCCAGGCTTCTTGGCCTTGGCGTTCTTCTGCTGCTGCAGAAGCCGGGCTTGGTCGCGCAGCTGTGCCGCTAATTCGCGGTTCTCGTCGTTGAACTTGCGGACGCGGTCGGCGGGCACCCAGTCATCCCAGGTGTTCTTCCAGCCCTTGTAGTGGATGCGGAAGCGCCAGCGCTGGCCATCAGCAGCGGCAGTCCCAGTCACCTGCTGAACATCCAAGACGCGTGCTTCATACAGCATGTCCATGTGAAAGCAAAAGACGCGCTCATCGACCGCATAAGGCGCGGCGGCCTGCTTCGGCGGCATCTTGATGGACGGGCGAAGCTGGATGAGAGGCACGCAAGGGCAAAGAAAAGGAAGTCTGACCATGGTATTAGTATATTGTGAGGCAATGGAGTGGCTTGTGACAGAGTCAGGAGCTCACAAACGTGTCAACAGGTCGAGGAATGCCCCAAATACACCGCCAGAGAAGAGGGCTTCTTAATACGGTCGCAATTTGGGCAAGAGCGTCCAGTAATGCCGCCGAAGGAAGCAGGAGCAGAACGAGTGTGACAATCAAAGAGAGAAGTCGCTACTACCGTAAACAAGTTCAGATTTTATGACAAGTGCAGCAGCAGGAAGGTGCGGTGAAGACGATCTGTAGCTCAACGTGCATGGATGAGTTGAAAGGAAGGAGGTGAGGTCGTGAAAGCCCGTTGTGAGAACGTAATTGGCTGTAATCACGGGATTGGCCACTTTAATTTTTCCAACGCTGGCCAGCCGCCGTCTCTGTCCCTGAGCGCCTGCCCACTGCCCTGGGCCCCCCGCTATATATTATCGAGCCGCGTCAACACGCGACGCGCCTGTACTTTCTGTGTGCACTATAACGTACTCCGCATACCTTTGGACAGGCCAGTTCGAGAACAACCTCAAATAATAGCCACGCATTGTTATTTTGCACATTGCCCTGCATCTTTATCTCCATCACCGTCGCCAATCTTCACCATGGCTCCGACCGAAGCATCCATCCTGGAACAGTTCCTGCTGGCCCCCTCTCAACTGCCAACAATCATCTCCCTCGACGACTTCACCGCCTTGTTTCCTCGGACGCTGCAGTCCTCACCGCAGGTCCGCGCATTGTATCGCGATCTGCAGCGCCAGCGCAGTGCCGTGGTTGATGCCGTTGCAGCCGACATTGACGACGAGGTCGCGAAGGGCCGGCTTCTGCGACGGTACGCCGTACGTGCACGCCTCCGCGCCGAGGCACAAGAAGATGTGGCGGGCGACGACGAGCTGCAGATTGAGCGCTTTGTAGCTTCGTCTGCACCAGATGGCAGCGATAGAATCACAGCTGGTACTGATGCTGGCACTGCGACAACCACTGGGGCAGGCGCGGCGGGAGGACGCGGCAGCGGCGGGCCTTCCTCCCACTCACTCACGTCCATTGTGCCAGAGCTGGACGACGCCATACGCGACCTCGAAGCGGAAATTCAACAGCTCGATGAAGAAGAGGCGCGTCTCATGGCGGCCGTCCAGCAGTCGGTCGGCAACCTGAGTGATCTACGATATGGACGTCTTTACAATCCACAGTTGCCCGACGAAGTCATCAAGGGTCTGCAGAACGTCCAAGCCACCTGTGAACAGATGACCGCCGAGACCAGCACAAGTACAGTCTCGACCAACACCGCGGACCAACGACCAGCAACATGACACGAGACGTGACAGCACGAAGTTAGCCCGAAAAGAAAAATTATGAAACAATGCAGATTCGATGTCCTGCGCAAGAAAACAAACCAAATGCAAAGACCACAGTCAGGGCCTGGCCGCCCAAACATATCCAACCACCAGCCAAATGTTATTTAAAGCGTTTTTGTGCACAACACAGAATTATGTGCACAGCCGAGATACCCAAACAATGGAGCCAACCAATCCCGACAAAAAGAACCAAGATTCTCTTATCTTGCCCATCCTCTCATTATATTATATTTTTTTAAAAAAATAAAAATAAAGCCAACTATCCATTACGAGCAACGAACACCCGAAGCACCGGGAACCGTTGACGTGTCCACAGCGCATTTGCACTTTAGTGCGCAGCGGCGGGAGCACCAGCAGGGCCAGCGCCCGGGCGGCCGGCACCGGGAGCACGGCGACCCCTAAAGAAACGTGGTTAGTCGCGGGACAACATGATGTGACAAGGACAGAAACGAGAAAAAATAAAGGCACTTTGGAAACTCACATGAAGGTGCGGCTGACGAAAGAGACGGCAATCATAAACATCCAGCTGGGCACCGCGTTGAAGAACCACAGGACGTAGCCAATGGGGACAGCCAGGCCAAGCTCGGCCAGCTGGCCGTCGAGCGGGTGAAAGTAGCCGTCCAGCTGCTGGAAGTTGGTGCGCGCCTTGTCCTCGTACAGGTTCACATAGGTCTCGGGGGTCGACGTGGTGAAGTTCAGGCGCTTTACGTAGATGTCGGTCTTGGCCGGCTTGGGCAGCAGCTCAAAGATGTACAGGTAGCCGGGGCTGGACGACCAGCTGTTGCACAGGACGGGCTGGTCATCGCAGTTGATGATGCCGGCGTGCGCGCTGGTGGCAGCGGACGTCTTGACGGTTGCGGCGTAGAAAGCCGACTCGATGATAGCGCAGTGGCCTGGACAGGGGACGATATTAGCAGATGTACACACACCACTAGAGAACCAGAAACGAAAGAAGGAAAAGAAAACCATGCGCGCTGCATACCGAAGCAAGTCTTGTTGCGGCCCGTGATCAGAATGCGCCACTCCTCGGGGATCGTAGCATCCGGCTTGACCGTCGAGTAGAGGGTGCTCTCCCAGTTGCTGAGAGTCAGCTCGGTTGGGGTAGTGGAGGAAGAACCGGTCGCCGGGGCAGCGCCGCCAGTAGCTGGCCCAGACGAAGCAGAATCGCCGGTGGCAGCTTCGGGGGCGCCGACACCGAGCGAACCCAGCAGGTTCTGGAACTGCGCGCGGTACTGGCCGAACAGGCCGCCGTCCTCAGCAGCAGCGCCCAGGAGCGGCAGTGCCATAAGGGCCGATTTCGTCGAGAAGCGCATTGTTGCGGATGTGAGTTTATGTGCGTGGAGGTTCAAAAAAAAGAAAAAGGGGGCACGACCGAGTAAATTAGGCAGTGAGAAAAGTGAGGAATGAGAGCAACGGGAAGGACGAAGAGAAAATTAAGCCCAAAGGTGCTGGAGGAACGGTATTAACAGAGATAAAGAGACCCGACAAGAGGATCTGAAAACGGGGTATGCAAAGGAAGGACACGAAAGAAGCTGCAGAAGATAGAGGTAATAGAGATGCCGATGGGAAGAAGCTAGATGAGGAGAGGAGGCCAGATGTTTGAAGAAGGGGACAGGAAACGGAAGCTGCTCCTGGTCGAACTGCGCGTGTCGAACGGGTCGCATGGAGACGGGCCGTGTTTTCTGTTGTCTTATTGGGCAGTGCTATGAGACTTCCACCCAGTGCGCGTTGCTGACACCACTGTCTTGATCACTGTGCAACCTCTTGTGCAATTTTAGTGGCCGGACAGTGCCAATCACGCTAGCGGGGAACTAGTCAGAGTGAAGCGGAAACTGCCAATACTTCGTAGATGAGGGAAGGAACGACCTGGCAACACCTTCACTGCTCTAGAAGACGAGTGCGTCCTTCAGAAGCGGAGCCATAGAACCTTGCGGAAGTTTTTGGTTTTCTTCAGAAACTGACAAAAAGTTATGCCAGCCTGGGCTTCACGCAACATGGGCTGTCGTATTCTGGGGGTATTGCAACGCATACTAATTCCGCAGTGGAGAAGCGAGTAGGCCACAGTACGATAACGCAACCTCTGCAGGAGCTGCCATAGCTCCTGCCTGTCAGCCTGTCAACCCTGAGCCTTGGTTACTCTACTGCTCGGACATTAGTGCGCTGCGGGGACTGGTTGCCTCAAGTGAGGGGACCAGCTAGCTCTTGCTAATTACGGATAAAGTGTCTTTTACGCTGCAATATGAAGCATTTTGAAGGATGTGACCGCTGGAATGGCGAGAATTTAGATAGCCAGCCCTTTGAATCGGGTTATTATGGGATACCGGGAAAAGGTCAAAGTTAACGAGCTTCGTTGTCCACTGTATTCATGGCAGGCCATACCGTTCAATGACAACAGATATTGCGAACTAGAGCCAACTGGTATCACGTGATTCTCACGCAAAGGCAAGCGCAAGGCTGCCCCACAAATCACTGAAGCTGTTGTTGATAACGATAGCGAGCACCATGTGCTGTAAATGGCCTGGGCGCGCTCAAATGTCGCGATCTTGAGACGCGACAAACTGACGACACAAGGCTCCAACAACACATCGCAGCAATGGTATGTTTCCGCCTCTTGAGGATATTGTTTTACGATTTATCAAGCTAATCAATACCGTCTTTCACCACTTAGGCTCGAATAAACACGTCCTTTGGAAGCGACCAAGGTGCAACGGCGTTGGGCGCGTCACAGAAGACAACAAAACGCGGCCGCAAGGCCAATGCTGACGCTGAAGCCGATCGGCCCAGCAAGCGAACCCGGAAAGAGGCCGAGCCAGAGACGGAGCCACGACGGAGTCGACGCGACAGAAATTTGCGCGACGGCAACAGTTCGTCAAAAACGGGTGGACCGAGCGCGCAGCCTGAGTCGTCCTCTGTGACCATTACGGGTGCCAAGGCATCCAAATCGAAAGCAGGAAAGGCAGAAAAGACAAATAAGACGACAAAATCCAACAGGTTGCGTACAGTAGCAGAGCCACCAGCCGATACCCCGAAGCAAAATCCTGGCCGGCCACAGAGAGCGAGCACAACAGCAGATGATGTGCCACCGCCAACAAAAACTACGAAACCAGCCGAACGATCAAAGACAAAGAAGCAAGCGAGGACGAAAAAGAAAGCAGGAGCGGAAACGACCGCTGTCGAGACATCGACCTCCAGTCCACAGCAGACGAGAAAGCGTGGTCGAAAACCAAAGCAGCGCGACGAAGACAGCGACAGAACCAGAGACGCTGCTGAGGAGCTAGAACCGGAGCTTGAGCAGCAGTCAGAGCCAGATCAAGATCCAGAAGAAAGGGCTGAGGATGCAGGGCGACGACGCCGCCAGAGTGGTGGTGGGCGCGCTCAACCCCCGAGCCAGCATTTTGCTCAGCTGGTCCCCCGCACACGTTACATACCCCTCGCTACCATGGCGAACAAGTGGGCGCCGCTCGAGCGCGAAGCCATTGCCGCCGTACAGTCCCTCCTGGAAGAGTGTGCGCGGCCGGTCATATCGCGCGTCGGCGCCAACGCCGGCGCCAGCGGAGGAGGTGCAGCCGTGGAGCGGCGCCAGGAGCAAACGCGGCAGGCCATTGCCAGCGTAACGCGCCGCGTGCGATCCAAGCTCGTCAAGGGCATCCCCTTCCCGCCAGGCACGGTGCACATTGTGTCACGTCGCGGACGCCCCAGCACAAAGCCACTGCCCGACGACGACCGCAATGGTCTCGCGGCCGACTTCAACTTTGAGCGCGCCGTCGAGGAAGCTCATGCTCTCGAGCAGCAGCTCAGTCCGCTACAGCATGCCGTTGCCTTGCTCGAGCGCGAGCGCAAACACGAAGAAGAGGCACTGGCAGCCGACTATGCTGCGTTGCGGCAGCTTGAGACCAACGCGCAGGCCGACCTGCGCACGTGGCGCGATCGAACACGACGGGCGCACGTGCTAGCTCCAGTGGACGTCGGCGACAACAGGTCCCTGAAGGGGGGCAACGACGACAGCCTGCAATTTGTGGAGCTTGCGAAACGAGCGCCTGCCTTGGGTGGCAACGACCATGGCAAGGACGAGAATGAGAATAACGAAAACGGACAGAGCAGGGACAAGAGCCAAAACGGAGGTCTTTTTGAGGTATTTCTTCCTTTTACTCGTGTCTCCCATGTATCGTGTGGCCCCCACTAACAAATATTACAGCATCTCGACAAGGACCTGTCTACAGTGGCAGCGCAGCTCAGCAACCACATGGACAGTCTCAAGAGCAACCTTCAGCAGATCGCTGGCGTCCTGCCCGCCATGAACCAGACCAAGGCGGCGCTGCAGCACGTTCTTCACCAGCGGCTTGATGCTGAAAAATATGAGCGTGTCATTCTCGGCCCGTAAAGCCCAAAGCATTGGGCCTGATTTTGGGTGCCCTAATTTTTGTACACTATATACTCCTGTCTGCTCCGATCCCGCTGCCCCGAGGCTATAATGAATTGAACGACATTCGATATTTTAATTTAATACGGCGCCAGCGTGCAAATCTGTGCATATCTGATATTGCAATAGTGTTCGTGCTAGCGGCTCAACCGTCTCTGGCGGCACCCTTCCCAAGAGCCAAGATTCTGGCCATCCCATGCCATTCCCCCTGTAGCCGTGCCATCTGTGCCGTTCTTGCAAGCGAAGCTCTCCCGTCTTCTCCAATTCGAGAAACTGGGAATAGGCTCTGACTCCAAAAAGTGCCCAGCAGATCTTAAGATGTGAAGAAACTGTGCATAAGCAACGGGGACCACAAGAGACTCGTAAAACGCAAGGACCGTGCTGTCGAAACGGCGATCAATTGCAATTAGTATTCTGCAATAAACCAATTGATCTCCTGGATTGCCCTGGAAACCTCAAATTAATCAACTGGATGTCGCTACGTCGTGCTAGTGGCAACGTCAGCACAAAGAAGCTCCTGTAATTACGTCCCGCAACGGAGCTCTGGACCTGCGTTTACAGCGCGCGTTAACTGCACAGAGTCAGAAAATCGGTCTAGCCCACCCGCCCCTCCTTCAGCTTCTCTGCCCCTCCGAATCAGGAGTAGAATCAGACACCCATATCGCGCCATCAGAACGAGGAAAGAACTACCCCACCATAGAAGTTTTTTTTCTCAATTATCGTTTTCTCACCCCAGCCCGACAGCCATGTCGTTCTTGCCTCTCCTCTCGTTCGTGCTCCTTTTTGTCCACCCCGCCTTCTCTTTCCGGCGCACATTTGTTGAGTAATTACGACGTATTGTCATACAGAAACTGCAGAAACGGAGAAAGAGCGCTGGAGCTAACCCACTTTTCCCCAACGAGCTCACCGTTCCTGCTCGTGCAACCGTAACTCGCACTACGTAAACTTCCGTATCAAGTAATTGACTCTTAACTTCGCGTCCCTTTGTGCCTTCCCGTAGCGCAGCAACCAGTGAGAAAGCATGTTACGTTGGAGCATGTGGAAGAGAAAGACACAATTGACAGTAACGGCAACCGCGTTGTCCCTCCCACTATCACACCGCCCCTGTTAGCCGCTTGCACCTTCTCTGGCCCTGCTATTAAAAAATCTTCGCCTTCCCACATTCCGCCTTTTGATTTCGCCTCCTTTTCTTCTCCTTCTTCCTCTTCTCCCTCCTTTCTGTTTCTCTTTTTCCTCATCCTTTCACCATACGCTCTCACGTTTCTCTGTTCATCCGACAATTCGCCTCCGGACGGACTTTTCTGTACGTATCACTTGCTTCCAGCACAATATCTTCCCAAGGCTCGCCTTCTTCCTCTCCATAGGTGTACAGATGCCCGAGGTCTCACGAACTCGGGATCTCACAACCTCACGTTACTTTCTCCTCACCACGCCTCGCTCAATGCTCTCTTCTTCACGTCTTCTGTTCCGCCTGCTAACTCCTGTCTTTAGTCACTTCTCCCCACAGATACCCCCAACACCACACAACAAGATGGTTCAGTCATCGATCCTCGGTTTCCCCCGCATGGGTGTGAACCGTGACCTGAAGAAGGCTACTGAGGCTTGTATGTTCTTTCCGTCCTTGCCCCCTTTGCTCGTCAAAGGATACGAAGGATAATGGCTAACAATCGCAGACTGGGGCGGCAAGCTCTCCCAGGCTGACCTCCTGGCTGAGGCCAAGCGCCTCCGTCTTGCTCACTGGAAGATCCAGAAGGATGCCGGCGTTGATGTTATCCCTAGCAACGACTTTGCCCTGTACGATCAGGTCCTGAGCCACATCCAGGACTTTGGTGTACGTTTCTCTCAGCTCTTCTCTCAGATTTGTTCTCGCTTTGCTCTCAAGCTACCCTTATATTAGAGCCCGCACTAACAACTTGCAGGCCGTCCCTGAGCGGTACACCAGCGCCAAGCTCGATGCCATTGACACCTACTTCGCCCTGGGCCGTGGCCACCAGAAGAACGGCGTCGACCTGCCGTCCTTGGAGATGGTCAAGTGGTTCGACTCCAACTACCACTACGTCAAGCCCACGCTGCAGGACAACCAGACCTTCTCTCTGGTTGAGAAGCCCAAGGCGGTTGCCGAGTTCCTCGAGGCCAAGGAGGCTGGCATTGCCACCCGCCCCGTTCTCGTCGGCCCCGTCACCTTCCTGCACCTGGCCAAGGCCGACCGTGGCCAGTCCGTTGACCCCATTGACCTGCTCGAGAAGCTCCTGCCTGTCTACGACGCCCTCCTGGCCCAGCTGAAGGAGGCTGGCGCCGAGACCGTCCAGATCGACGAGCCCGTCCTGGTCTTTGACCTGCCCGCCAAGACCAAGGCCGCCTTCAAGACCGCCTACGAGCACTTTGCGGCCGAGGCCGCCAAGCTGCCCAAGCTGGTCTTCGCCACCTACTTTGGTGACATTGTCCACAACCTGGAGGCCGTCCCCAAGGACGTCTACGCCGTCCACGTCGACCTGGTCCGCAACCCTGAGCAGCTCGATGCCGTCATTGGTGCCCTGGGCCCCAAGACCGTTCTGTCCGTCGGTGTTGTCGACGGCCGTAACATTTGGAAGACCAACCTGAAGCGCGCTGTTGAGACCGTTGAGGCCGCTATCCAGAAGCTCGGCAAGGACCGCGTTATTGTCGCCACTTCCAGCTCTCTGCTGCACACCCCCCACACGCTGGCCAGCGAGAAGAAGCTGGACCCTGAGATTGCCGACTGGTTCTCCTTCGCCGTCGAGAAAGCCAGCGAGGTCGCCGTCATTGCCAAGGCCGTGACTGATGGCCCCGCCGCCGTCAGCGAGCAGCTCGCTGCCAATGCCAAGTCCATGGAGGCTCGTGCCTCCTCCAGCCGCACCAACGACCCCAAGGTCAAGGAGCGCCAGGCCCAGATCAAGCCTGCCGACTACAACCGCAAGTCGGAGTTCCCTGAGCGTATCTCCCAGCAGCAGAAGAAGCTGAACCTGCCCCTGTTCCCCACCACGACCATCGGCTCGTTCCCCCAGACCAAGGAGATCCGTCAGCAGCGCAACAAGCTCACCAAGAACGAGATCACCGAGGCCGAGTACGACCGCTTCATCGAGAAGGAGATTGACGAGAACGTCCGCATCCAGGACGAGCTCGGCCTTGATGTCTACGTCCACGGTGAGCCGGAGCGCAACGACATGGTCCAGTACTTTGGTGAGCGCCTGAACGGCTATGCCTTCACCACGCACGCCTGGGTTCAGAGCTACGGCTCGCGCTGCGTCCGCCCTCCCATCATTGTCGGCGACATCTCGCGCCCTGCCCCCATGACCGTCAAGGAGAGCAAGTACGCTGCCTCGGTCTCCAAGAAGCCGATGAAGGGTATGCTGACGGGCCCCGTCACCTGCCTGCGGTGGTCGTTCCCCCGTGACGACGTTCACCAGTCTGTCCAGGCCGAGCAGCTCGCTCTGGCTCTGCGCGACGAGGTCGTCGACCTGGAGAAGGCCGGCATTGACGTCATCCAGGTGGACGAGCCTGCGCTGCGTGAAGGTCTGCCCCTGCGCTCCGGCAAGGAGCGTGAGGCCTACCTCGACTGGGCCGTCAAGGCTTTCCGCCTGTCCACCACCGGTGTTGAGGACTCGACTCAGATCCACTCGCACTTCTGCTACTCTGAGTTCCAGGACTTCTTCCACGCAATTGCTGCCCTGGACGCCGATGTTCTGTCCATTGAGAACAGCAAGTCGGACGCCAAGCTGCTGAAGGTCTTTGTCGACTCGGCCTACCCCCGCCACATCGGCCCTGGTGTCTACGACATCCACTCGCCCCGCATTCCCAGCGAGCAGGAGATCCACGACCGCATTGAGGAGATGCTGCAGTTCCTCAAGCCCGAGCAGCTGTGGATCGACCCCGACTGCGGTCTCAAGACCCGCCAGTGGACCGAGACCAAGGCTGCCCTGGTCAACATGGTCAACGCCGCGAAGGCTTTCCGCGAGAAGTACTCGAAGCAGTAAAGTGCGGCGCTTCTGTTCCAAAAGGCAGGAGAGCAACAACCTCTTTTCTTTTACAGAGCCTGTCAGCTGCTTTCGTAGCTTTCTTTCTTCAATTCCCCGCGATGTTTATTTTTTCAACACTCATCTTGCGCATATTTCATCATTTTGATTTTTCAGTTCCATTTATGTGAGACGACAGTTTTTTCGCTTCATCTTTCCGTGGCACTCTCTCCTGTGTGGCACGGTTCGATTTCAACATCGGCGTTTGGACACGATTGTTTTTCTGTTTCTGTTTTTAATCTTTGCTCCTTTCATTTGACGTCAAAAGCTGGCTGGGACAAAAGCATTCAACATTTTGTTTACACGAAGGGTACTCTAGAGGCAGGGAAGGGCATTATGGAAGGTTTGCAATCAAACGGTGTTATTATTAGGGGACAGTCCTTTTCAACCGGATACCCATATGGAGTGTACTCTTTGTCACGGTCGACAAGAGTGAAAGACGACTCTCAGTCTTAGTTTGATAGCTAAACTCCAATAAGGAGTAAGAATGTAAGACCACTTACAAACACAACACGGTCGACCAAGCGTGAAAAGTGATACGAATATGCCGTACAAGTAAACTGCAATAGCGATGCGCACCGCGACCAATGCAAGCCGTCTCCTCAACGAGCGACGACTTGGCATGCAGATCCAAAACAAGCACCGCCGACGAACTCTTTGCTGCGCAAGACCGGTCTGGGCCAGGCCTTAAATTCGTGTGAACTGGGCCAAAGCCGCGTCGCGCATTGCGAGTGGCCGGCAGAGGCCAGACAAGAAAACCAGCAAAGAAAAGAAGGTTATTCGGAATTGGGACGGATTGCATACTGACAACGACTGGGTACTTACAGGCCTTGGCTGGACAGCCACCAATGCTGCTGTCAGGGTCGGCCAGATGGAGGCCATGCAAAGGGGGAGGCCGGGGACAGGTATTTCATGTTTTGTGTTTTGTGTTTTGTGTTTTGTGTTTTGCATTTTTGTGTTTTCGTGCAGAAGGCCTAATAAGCAGCCCAAGTTGTAAATGCGTGTGGGCTGCAGATGCCGTAAGAGAGGCTCAATCATGTTGTCGTGTTGACACACGATGCCATGGCGCGACGGCAGACGTGATGGTGGGGATTTCCTTTGCAAGATGCCTCTGGAAGTAAGTCGATTGGTAGATTGGGGCGCATCGACCAGGATCCTGGGACACAGGCTCGACAGGGGACGTTCTTAGGGAAGCAGCAGGGAAGACAGAGGCGCAAAAGAGGGCCGCCGTTTTTGCGCGTTTCACATACTCCAGGGGCAGGAGACATGAGCCTCATGTCGCCCAATTAGGAAAGACGGCCCCGTCACTAATACCACCAAGACCACGTCTTCACACAAAACCACGAGACAGGCAAGGGCCACTGGGTCTAGGCCTCGATAGCGGGATTGAATATACTGGTTCTCGTAGAGTTGTTGCACCACTTCACGCATCGTTCTTGCTCGTTATGCCATTTCCCACTGTCAGAGCCCCTCCTCTCCTTCTATTTTCTGTTCTTTTCTGTGGAGTCAACAAGCATGTGAGATGCGTTGAGGCAGGAGCGAAGGGTTTCAACTGCTGCTCTGAGCAGGTCGCCCTCAACACTGCCCCGTTCCTTTTCCCCCCTTTCTCACCATCAACATCGACTTCTGGGTCCTTCTTTCAGACAACACAAACTCAATCTGCGACCAATTCTCATACCGACACCCTTGCTTCCATTCATTTTGCCCACCATTCGGCCACTTCTGTTGCACCTTGATTCACAGATTACTGTTTGTTTGCCAGTCAGGTGGGTGGCCACGGAGAATGGTGGCCAGCGATCGACCATTGACCGCCCTCACCAAAAGATCAGCTATATTGTTCAGTTCTGTTTGGCCGCTGCTCTCATGTCCCTCGCCCTGTCTTGCTACCTGTCTCGTCCGGCCCCCCAACTCCTGGTGGCTTTGCTCGTCCTCCTAGCTCAGATCATTCATGCCGTCCTGTCATACCTCACATCAGGCCACAGGCGTTCTTGTTTTCTGGCCGAGCGACGAGCCTATCCGCGCGTCGATCCGGCCTCGACAACCGCTCTCATCTAGTACCTTTCCGTCTCTCTGCCTGCTTTGTGCCAGCATTTCCGCGCGCCTTTTCGTTTGGTTCCAAAGAGGCGCAGGTGTCCGATCATCCTGACATTGGACGAGGATCGACCCAGCAAGACCAGGTACGGATGGGTATGCACCTAATGATCTGCTCCCAGGGCATCTGTGTACAAGCACACGCCAATCTTCCAAAACCTGTCTGTCATGGGCCAAGGACACTCCATGTGCGTCTTTACGTCGTTCCCTGGACTGTATCTAACCGAGCAGTAAGAGAGGCAAACGTTTGGCCGCCAAAAAAAATAAAAAGGAATACCCACATCAGCAACAGGTTACGGAGTACGAAGTACGCCGTATTCTGTACTCTCACCCCCTTTTTGTCGCACACCTGCGTCGTCTTGTCGACACCAGGTGGTTATTTGGCCCTTGTTATTGTCAGTGGTGTTCGCACCCCACCACATGGGCCGTGCTGAGCCTCTTCATTGTCAAACAGTTTGAAAACCAGGTCAATGTTTGTCCTCAGGCACGCTGGCTTCTGGTGGTCCAATCGGAGCGTGTCAAGGTCTACCTTGTTTTAAGTCACTCGCTCATATATTCATCCACTCCACGAGACAGCTTACCGTCAGGACAACAACTCGCCAAAAGCTAGCCAGAAACGGATCTCTTTCCGCGACACTAGCAATGACGCCTCCCTCTCTATTTGCTCTTCTCGTCATTGATGGTTTCCAACACGACCAGACATCCCGCTGCCAGCGTTGCCTTTCTCCGCCAATGTCTACGTGAACGGCCTCATCCTGCCGCTGTCTGTTCTCCTTTGTGGGCATGGAACATTTCGGGATACCACTTAATAGCGTCGACTCTTTTGATGTCTTAAGTCCGACTCCTAAAATATTATCTAAGAAGGGCTACGGAACAGTGTTTTACGCCTCTCTTACTTCGCTTCTGGGCAGCCCTTGTTGACCTCCGTAAACAACCCCTCTTGCGGACAATATGTACATACCTTCGACACCAAACTCAAGCTCAACGGCAACATGTGCGTCGGCATGACGGCGTCTGCCGAGTTGACGGAAGACGACAAAAGTTGCGCGGATAGTGGCAGTGATTTTCGCAGATCATAGTTGGTCAATAAGATCCACCGCGGTTTATGCCTCTGCTGCCCTCCTCCCCCCTTCTTTCTTTTTTTTTCTTTCTTCGTCTCGGAAATGATCAGCGTGTTAACGGATGCAAACGAACCTCCTTCCTGCCATTTGCTGGTTCAACAGGTGGCTCAACTCTTTATGTGTCCATGCACGCAAGGGTAGCAGGTTGGTACCTGGATCGTGAACAGGGATCTGGGACGGGTGGATACGCTGGGACGGCCTTGACCCAGGGGTTTGTGTCCCAGATGTACCCCCAGCATATCCCAGACAGGAGAGGCTTCGCCTAAGCTGGACCAGGGCGGCTAGCATGGCGTCCAAGTTAACACCGCCTTCCGCTTGCACAAGGATGCGTGTAAGAGAAGAGGGCTGCATCAACGACACCAACGACATTCATATCGTCGACATGGTGCCAAGATATCCAACTTCAAATACTCCTCGATCTCTCCCTCTTGTCTTCAGTTTCTTTCTTCTCTTTTCCTCGTCATTCTCTTCACACTCTTTCTTCACTTTCCGCACCTTGTCCAGTCTTCGACTCTCTTTTTTTGTCACTTTCACTTCTATTTCAAAGCTTCTAGCTAAGCTATTCCATTCTCTTCTGCAAGACAGTTTTCTTCCAAACAAAACAACCTTACAACCCTTTTCTCTCATTTTGAGCTTGGTATCAAACTTTTTCGACTACTCTCTTCTATTCGTGGAATTGACTTTCACTCTTTTTTTTTTTTCAAAGCCAAAGATACCCTTGTACAGAAACCTTTCTCTTCTTGCCAGCTGGACATTTATCGCTCTCCACACATCACCAACACCATCCAGGAAAACACTTCAGTCTCGTTTTATTTACATCGTCAATATGCAGCTCACCAACGCCCTCCTTGTCGGCCTCTACGCCTTGGCCGCCTCAGCCCACTATGTGCCCAACCTCAAGAGCCACAACATTGTCTTTGCCCGTGGTGACAAGCACCACGGTGGTGGCAAGAATGGCGGCGGCAAGATCGTCAGCAACAGCACTACCAACGCCGTGTCTTCAGTCGTGTCTTCGGTCGTGTCTTCGGTCGTTTCGTCAGCCGCCTCTGGGGCTGTTTCTTCTTCCTCGGTCTTGCCAATCTCGTCGTCTGCCCCCCCTCCCGTCAACAACGCTGCTTCCAGCTCGGTTGCTGCTGTGAACGCGTCCAGCGTTGCCAACTTTGCCAACACCACATCCTCTGCTGCTCTCACCTCGACGTCTGCCGCGGCTGCAGCGTCCGGCGGACTGACCACTCTGACGGTCCAAACCACCAACGTCGTCACCGTCATTTCGTGCGCCGCCACCATAACCAACTGCCCTGCCGCCACGAACACGGCGGCCCTGTCTTCGCTGCCTGCCGAGGCCCTAACTACAGTCCTCGTGACGAACACGGTCGTGCTCACTACCACCGTGTGCCCCATCACTGCTGTCGGCTCCATCTCCTCGAGCGTTATCAGCGCTTTCAGCACTGGTGCCATCACTGGCTCCACTCTGACTTCGTCGGTTGTTGCCACTGACGCCGCTTCATCGTTCACCACCACCAAGACTCAGGTTGTGACCTCCACCGTCACGTCCGAGATAGTCGTTACGACGCAGAAGGTTGTGACTGTGACACTTGGCAGCGGTAACGACCACGGCCACGGAAACGGTGGCGCAGGCACCCGCGTCGTCACCAGCACCATTACGTCGACCTTCACCTCGACCATGACTACCGAGGTTGTCCAGACCACCACGGTTGTCAGCTCTGGTTCCAGCTCTGGTTCAGGCTCCAGCTCTGGCTCTAGCAGCAGCTCTTCCAGCTCGAGCTCGTCCGGCTCTAGCTCTGATTCTAGCTCCGGTTCTAGCTCTGGCAGCTCCTCTAGCTCCAGCTCGTCGTCCTCCTCGGGCTCGTCGTCTGGATCGTCCTCGGGCTCGTCTTCGGGCTCATCTTCGGGCTCGTCTTCGGGATCTTCGTCCGGCTCCTCCGGTTCTTCAGGCTCGGGCATCGATTCTCAGGGGCAGTGCTCAATCATTGCCACGGTCACTGTGACCCAGGCTCCTACTACTGTCTACGTGACCGTGACCGGCGCTGCCGGCAACAACAACGCTGCCGCCACCACAACTGCGGCTGCTGGTTCGGGCAGCTCCTCCAGCTCGAGTTCGTCCGGCTCGAGTTCGTCCGGCTCTAGCTCTGGCAGCTCCTCTAGCTCCTCAGGCTCGTCCTCGTCTTCTGGTAGCGACAGCTCCAGCAACAATGCCAGCGACGGGTCTAGCGACGACGAGTGTTCGGCTGACTCGGTCGTCTCGTCCACCATCACCGTGGCTGCCACCACTGCTGCTAGCTCGGCTGCCATCACTGCTGCGCCCTCGGCCAGCGAGTCGGAGTGCTCTGCAGATGTTGTTGTCACCCTGACCTCCACTGTGTCTGTATAAACGGTTTTCGTCGTTCCTGTTTCTTTCTGGCCGCTGTTGCTTGTGACGAGCGAACAACTGCGCCTCGTCTTTTGATTCGAACGAACGCCTTATGATTCTGATTTTTTCTATTTTCTTTGGATTTCGTTTTAACATTCCATGTGTACCATATTCTCTTCAACCTCTTTTTCTTCTCTTGTACAAACCAATCCTTCATGGTGGGGCCACCATTTCATGTGGTCACAATTCTCAAAACAAAAACGTATGGTACATACACAAACCAGTTAACAAAACCCCACACGCTGGTGTCAAGGCCACAGTCTTTGACGAGCATGCATTCTCTTCAAACCTTTGTATAAATACAATTATTGAGCAGTTTACCTATGTGCATGCTTTGTGAATTGGTTTTTTTAATTTAATTTATTTTTATTTATTTTTCAAAGAAAAAACACTTCTTTTATTTTATTTTTATTTTTTTCCATCTATATCAATGTCCCATTATCGACCCTTCGCGTATGTTAAAGACATGCCTACGATGTCTTTTATTCTTCCTGACATCGCCATTCACTAACATGAGATGTCCGCGACACAAAGTGGCCAATCCCCACTTGACCAAATTGAAGGTAAACGAAATATCATTATTGACCATTTTTTTACAGTTATGCATTTTTTATTTTTGATCACTGACACGCATCTTCTCTTTCTTTCTCTCTTCTCTCACTATGCTACCCTTCGCTCCGGGCTTTTTTAAGACACAGCAAACGGGCACATAGTGCCTTTATTCACGTCAACGGCTGCCATGAAAACCTTTCTGTTACCGACCCAAAAGCTTTCGACTTTGTCATATAATGTTTACAATTTCACCTCCTCCATGCTCCCGGAGGTCTGTGTTTCTTTGACAAGTTCCTACACAGATCTTTTCACCTTTTACCTTGTTCCCTCTTTGCTGGACGGTCTTTTGGCCTTTCACATCATCAATCTTTGCTTATCGTTGTTTCTGAACGAATGCTCACGAGGATGGTTGCGAGCAAAGCATACGGCAGGTTTAAAGAATGGGCTTTATCTGTGATGGCGCCCTTACGCCGCTTCCGTTCCTGGTTGCGGGTGGTCTGCATTCTCATTGCCAATCTTCTTGTCACCGTCATTGCCAAGGTGTTTTATGGCTTCTGCGGTCCATCCCTCACTACCGTTGGGCTCACGGATACGAAGTCGAGGCCAACGACAATTATGACATGCGAAGCTACCCACGAATCGAAGGCTTTTGTACAAACCACCAACAGCATCGACATCCCCAAATATAGCGGTGTCTGGGACTGGATGCGTCCAGCAGAACCATCAACGGACGGACAAGGCCGAGCCAACTACGGTGACTTGTGGTGTGAAGAGCCGGCCATCTTCTCTCTCGATGAAGAATTGGACCAAGACCCAAGAAAAGATGAGGCCGAAACGATCCAAGAAGAGACTGCCGGCGAGAAACGCAAGACGGTCATGACATATCGTAGCGGCGGCTACGGCGATGGGGGAAACAAGGACAAGTTTACGTGCAAAACACTGAATATGGCCAAGACAATGCAGCTTCGAAACACGCTACGACAACGAGCGGCGTTTGCGCAGGTGCTGAAGCAGTGCGGTCTGCGCACACAGCGGATCTTGTTCACGCACAGCACGGGATCTTTGCTTTTGACCACACCCAGCAAGTTGCGACATGAGATTTGCCTTTTCATGGACGACGAAGACATCAAAGAGGACATCGAAGAGGATATTGAATGTGCCGCAGCCGGAAGTGTGGACAAAGAGGATGGGAAGATGGATGATGGCCCTCTTGTCGACACCAGTGTCTCAGAGACGATTCTCACGGCAGCCTCGCCCCCACCGTCGCGTCCTATGAATATTGGCATGTCTGAAAACACGATCCTCAGGCCAGATCAAGGACAAGCATGCAAGATTCTCCAACTCGTTGATACAGCACGCACTACGAATCTCGGCGGCGGCGAGCTGTCATGTTTTACGTTGTCTCGCATGGACATTATGGCCTGGGGCAGGATTGACCCGTACTTTTCCACTGCCCCCATAGAATCTGACTTCGGTTCTGAAGCGGACATCATGCAGATGGACCACATCGACAATGAGTTTGACACGGGCATATCCGGCATCGGTAATACTACGTACGATTACAACGACCACGTAAGTGACACTAGTGTTTATATGGAAGACATTTTGGCCGAGACGGATCTTTCCATTCATATTGATACGATGATGTGTGATGGCGATGACGAGAACGACGATGACGACGACGATGACAACAGTTCGGTCTTTATCACTCGCTTTCCCCCGCCCGATGCATTGATGTCGTATGGACGGGGCTACAACGTCGACGACGAATCCGACACCATGAGCGATACGAGCGACGATTCGTTGTTTTCGGACCTTTCCGACTCGTTCTCCCTGTTGCGGCTCGACATCGATATAGAGATCGTGGACGTCCCTACACCATCGCCGCCAATTCTCTCCAAAGCCTCGCGCGTGACCAAAGTGCGTGCACGGACGGGTGGATGGTGGAACCGAGATGCTTGCAAGACTCGTCGACAGCGGGCGCAGCACGGTACGGAACACAGGGGTCTGCTGAGAGCATTCAAGTCCAAGTTGTTGGCGGAGACGAGCAAACCGTCCATGAAGGACGCGCTTTTCAGGGTGGAGACCAGAAGCACATCTGCAAATAAGAAAAGTCCGAGGAGGATGACGGGCCTCGCTTCGACAATGAGGATGCTGTCGCCAAGAAAGATTAAACTTCCGAAAACGATGGAGAGGGCGCTGGTAGGCTTGACCATGGGACAAGGCCCTGCAGCGTCCATCGACAATGAAGTCAGTGACACAGTGATGGGCGTGGTCCATGAAAGCCATCTAGGATATGGACGCACTTTGTATGAGCACGACGTAACAGCGGCACGATCGGATGCATTTTGAGGATACGACAGCAAGGGCACACTGCTGGGCCTTATTTTCAAAGATATGTGCAGCCTGTCAGGTATATTTTGAATTGTTTCAAAATACTTTGTATTCGTATCTCGTAGAGGAGAGAGCCTATGTAGCTGCTACGCTTATCCTGCCCTCCCCGTGTGTATCCCGTTTGTGAAACCCATTTTCCGATGCTGTGTGTCCGGTCCCAGTCCATCGTTGTTACCCGAGATATATGCCCTTAACTCCAAGTATAGAAATAATCACAATTACAGAAACTCAAAAAAGAGACAGGAAAAAACCAACAACATGGACGGCTGGCGGGCAGCAGAGGCCGTCGTCGGGATGCCCTTCTTCTACGGCCGATTGCGAAGCTTCGTCCATCCGCTCGTGCCCGTGTTGCGTGGACGGTCCGACGGTGTCCGGCCGCTATTACCGCGCGGGCTCTGGTTCTCAAGATCGAGATTCGCCAGCGTCTCGTCCAGCGCCGACGACATCACGGTCGCCACGCTCTCGACGCCAAACAGCCGCTGCTCGGGCACGCGACTGCCGACGACGACGGCACTGGGGCTTCCCGCACTGGCGCCGCCGGCCTTCTTCGAGGGTGGCGTACCGCCGCGTGCTGTACTCTTGCCGCCCCGGCCGTTGCCGTTGCCGTTGCCGTTGCCGTTCCCATTCCCGTTCGGTGGCGGCGACAGTACAACGCGGTTCAGCACACCGTCTTCCATGTTGATGTGGTCCTCGTCCTCAACGGCCCAGGCATCGTCTTCGAGCACCTCCCAGTCGGGCATCATGCTCTCGCTGCTCAGCTTGGCCTTGAGCCGGTCGGCCAGCCGGTTGGGCCCCAGCAGCTTGAATGTCTGGACCGTGTCGTCGCCCAAAAACGTGTGCGTCGTGCCGTGTGCGTAGCGGCCCATGGATGGCACGGGGGCTTTGTCCGCGGCGCCGGCGGCGCCAGAATTGTTGCTGGCGCCGTTGCTCGTCGCCTTGGATGGCGTGGGTGACGGTGCCGCCGGCGTCACCGACGGTCCCGTCCCGGCCGTCGAAAAGATGCGTCCTGCCGGGTTGTTCAGCAGCTGATTGCCAATCAGCAGGTAGTACAGGTTGCGGCCGATGCTAAAGGTGTCGTCAAACGATGTGCGGTCGCCGATCGACACGCCCTGTGAGCAGCACGCCCACGCAATGTTGTAGGCCAGCAGCGCAATGCCCTCCAAAAACATGGCATGGCCCTGGCTGTCTTCCTTGGACAGCAGCGGGAGCGCCTTGTCGAGGTAGAGCGGGCGGGCACGGGGGATGCGCTGGAAGAGGTCGCGGTTGCTACGGGGCTTGGTGGACGCCGCTGCCGCCGCTGCAGCGGCGGCTGCTGCGGTGACGGTGTTTGACGACGGGCTTGCCGAGCCCGGAAAGGGCACTTCGCCGTGTGAGTATGACGAAGCGAGTGAGAAGATGGTCGGACGGGGATAGTCCCGATGGGGGAGGGTGATCTCGGCCGGCAGCCGTATGGAGAGATAGTGGCAGGCAAGCACCAGGATGTGGGTGATGTGGGCGAGGCTTGTTGATATGACTTCGGCGGGGAGATCTATATTTGTTAGCTGCATGCGACAAAGTGCAAGGGAGGGGGGGGGGGGGGGCACGAATATGCACGTGGAGGCTTACTGTTCATGTTGTACGGGTCCACGACCTCGAAGCCGCCAATCTCGTAGCGCATGGCGCTGCCCTTCTTGACCCGCCGCAGGCCGTACAGCTTCGACGCCTCCATGCAGAGGAAGCCGCGGGTGGCTGCCATGGCCTCGTAGCTCTGGTTCCACTTGAAGCGCGTCATTGCAATCGACCGCTCGACGTCCGCCTGCACCCGCGCTCGCCGAGCCGCCGTGCCGTTGGATGCCGCCGCGAGGTCCGACCGGCGCTGTTTCAGCTGGTCTCGCCGCCGGTCCAGCTCTGCGCGTGTGTCCTCCATCTCCCGCCGCAGCCTGGCAGCTCGTGCAGCCGTCTCGCGGGCACGGTCGAGGGCATCCTGCTGCTCGGCCGCCCATGTCTCGGCCTGCACGTTCGGTGATGGCTGGTGTTCGCCCGTCGATGGTGAACCGCTGGACGGCTCGCCGAGCGCCTTGTTCACTTGCGCCTCGAGCTGTTCGTTGTGTATCAAGGCGACAGTGTGGGCAATCCGTGGCTCGTACAGCTGGTTGCGGGCGTCGACGACGCAGAGGAACGGGAGCCGCTGGGGGTGATAGTGCCGCCCGCAGATGTCGCAGTTCATTGTATGATTGAGGATGTGGGATGGAAGAGGATGGAGTATCGAAAGGAAGAACAGGGAAAAGAGACAAAAAAAAAAGAAAGAAGAAAAACAAGAAAAAGTCGATCAAGGGACGCCGATGGCAGTTCCGCCGCGGGTTGGTCGCAAACGTCGCCGGTCGCAAAGCATATCCAATCGAAACGGTCACCGGGCTGTGTATGGTGAATCCATGGACTGTGTTTCGTTGCCGGTGGATCGAGGATCGTGGTCTGTGGTCTGTGGTCTGTGGTTGGATGGAAAGTGTGTGCGACTGGTCGGTGGACAAAATATATTGGTTGCACGGAATACTTCCTGCTTCCTAATCGCCAAAGGTACTTGTAGTTTCTGTTGGTTGTGTGGTTTTGGGAAGGCGCTCGCTGTGTGGGACGTTCTTGCTTATTTTGCGGTCACGTCACGGCGAGTCACAGGCGTCTTTATCAGATGATGGGCAGGCGCTATCGAGCCAATCATAGGCACCTGCCCGCCGTGTGGGTTAGGCAGGAGGCACACAAGGCGGCGCGGCGCCTGCCTGCGTTTGGGCCAACTGCGTTCCGCTCTTGCCCCACTGTGCGTCTGGGGTTCTTGCCTTGTCTAAAGTGCCAGGGCGCGGTCATCTGACAGCGCGTTTCCCTCCACTTTCGACAGAATCGAGTTTTGCGATCGACTTGGGAAGGCTCGGGCAGCAATGCGACCGGCCAAGCACCGTCCAATCGCACCTTCCACTGAAACGTTGCCAACTCATTGTGCTCCTTCTTCTTCGGCTCTTGCTTTGAACGATTATATCATCGGACGTTCGTCCCATCTGTACTTTTCCTATATTTAGGGCCAAACCTCTCTTTTTGTCAAGGCGGCGTTCTGGCTTGCCGATCCCCTGTACGGCGCGGTTACTAATTTTTTGTCAGCCTCGCGCTGGTGTGCTTTTGGAGCTCCATTCGCTGTAACGCGCCATATTCGCTTGGTTCTATTGTGCGTGTACTTTTGCTTCTGAACATGTCTCCCGGATCGCCCTCACTCGCACCTCATCATTCTCCCACCCGAAAATCATCTGATGAGCTGTCCTTATTCCCTGTTCCCACGCGATCAAACGACGGGCCACCGTTGAGGATTCATCGGAAACAGAACAGCGGCACCAACGAGTTTCACGGGACAAGCTTGATGGCTATACCCGAGCCGGAGCCTGAGCATGAGACGGCCGACTTCACGGCCTCATTCATCGCGGACGAGATGGATGTCGACAACGGCACTACGCCGGTGAACGAAGCGGCCGCTGCCCAACAGCAGCAGCAGCAGCAGCAGCAGCAGCAGCAGCAGCAGCAGCAGCAGCAGCAGCAGCAGCAGCAGCAGCAGCAGCAGCAGCAGCAGCAGCAGCAGCAGCAGCAGCAGCCGGCTCTCGAAGCGCCACAGCCGACACAGCCGTCTCAGCTCCGGGCAGTACGGTCACCCGTGCGGACACCCGAGCTGCAGACGACTCTGCCTCAGCGGCAGGCTCCGAACGGGACTGGCCAGAGCTATCAGCAGCCACCGCAGCCACCGCAGCCACCGCAACTGCCGCAACCGAAACAGATGCAGCGCGGCGCCAGCCAGGCACGCGAGTCGTCGCCGGGCACGCCGGGCCACATCCCGCCGTTTGACTGGGAAGAGTTTGAAGCGCGCTATGAGCACGCGCTGGCGGAGATGAACGGCGAGGAGAAGGAGCTGCTGGAGGAGTTTGGCCGTCTGGTGAATGTGTGTGCTCTCACTCATGCATTGAATATCGCACGTCAAACTGTCGCTGACATATTTCTAGTACTTTAACGTCTGGGCCTCCGCTGCCACTGCCCACGACGATGAGCGTGCAGTGAAGAGGTAAGTGCATTGTGCCCAGGACCTTGTCTCTCTCACATACACTGTTATCCTTTCTTGATACTGACATTGATAGACTACAAACTAGGGAACGCTACGTCAAGATTGCTGAGCAGAGCCTTGGCCAGAGAAAACAGCACTGTGAGTACCGATCACGCTTCATACGACTGGCCTCCACGTCTTAGCTAATCATTCCCAGTAACGGAGGTCGTTCGTGCGTTCCAAAGCGCCTTGGCTCTGCTGAGCCAGACGTAACGACCGGCATAATATTGTGTCTCTGCTGTGCTCTTTCGCTTAACAGAGACATTGCTTGGGAACTGCATGGCGGGTCTGTTTTGTTGCTTTGGTGGATTTCCCCTCACGATGTTATGAATGTTTATGATACAAAACGAACAGTTATAAATCCGATTTCCTCACGTAAACTGCTGTCCAGTCAGTCCAATCACTTTAACTGTAAGATATAAGACGTACTGCTGGGATGATTGTGAAGGTAGAGAAGTGTAGGCGCATTGAGGCCAACAGTGTTGGCGGGCACGTGACCGCGTGATAGCTACAAAACTGCTTCAGCAACGTGCCTAATTTGGTCGCGTTTTCTTCCTTGTCCTCGTTCCCATCCAACGCCAGCAACTGCAACGATGGCAGCACTTGCGGCTATCCGCGTGCCGCAAATTTCACATGTATGTCTGTCTGGTCTTCCTAACTTCATCATCTTCCGGTTTACTGACCTCCTTCTCTACAGGAAGAGCTCTTCGCATTCCACGAATCGCACTTCTCGCATCTCTCGACGGCCGACTTTGGAGCCAGGTTTACCAGTTTGCCCGAGCCGGCGAGCGAGGAACCGCAGGACGATGGCATCGAAGCACAGGAGGTAGCGCTTCGAGCTGGGACAGAGGTGGTTGACGGCGACGAGTACGACCCCGAGACCTCTTTCGTCCTGCACTTTACACACGCGGACTTTGCAGCCAACTACGAAGATGGCGAGATTCTCAACGACGGAACCGAAAACGGAATAGAAAGCGAAAAGGAACAAGGCAAGACGCGCAAGAAACGGCGACGGAAGAAGAACAACACGGGCAATAGCAACGCGCGGCGCCATCTTGGCCACGGCGGCAACAGCGACAACGGCGAACCCAAACACCAAAAGCCGGATCTGCGCAAACGCACTTGGGACGTCGTCGACACCGGCCTTGGCAGTCTTGACTATGACGGCGCCGAGCGCGGAGGCGATGCGATGCAGTCTGCGCCGCAACGGCGTCGTGTGCAGTATGGCGATGACTGTAAGTGATTTTTAACTGCCATTTTGTCCTCTTGTTTTGGCGTCCCCTTCGGCAGCTTCTACCTGCTTCATTGCATGATGAGAACCAATATCGTATCGTCATCCTTAGGCGGAAATCCTTTTTCTCTGCTGTCAGATGGGACTGGGATGGCCTGAAGGCTGTTCTTTTATGGACGCCGATGTCCATGGCTCCCTTTGGCATCGGGGAAAACGACCAAGGAACATGTCGAGATAAATAATCTTCTCTCTGACAAACAGTCGAACGCAGAAGGAGCTTAGGGGCTTGGGCAGGAAAGCCAATGACGTTTTGGTTCATGTACAAAGCTAACACAGGCTTCAGGATCTACGGAGACCAGTTTCTTTTGTCTGATACCCATCTTTTTGATTAATGATTTATGACTGATGACCGTTGATCGCGTGAGACGCGCCTGGCTATTGCATGGCCAACAATCGCAATCAGCACTCATATAAACCCGAATAGACTTGAATTCGCTTGATCTTGAGCTTCGTCACAATATAACAAAACAGAAAACCAAAACGTGATTGTTGTGACGATGTCAATGTCCTGGCAAATATACCGATAGATGCATATTGTGGTACAATATTGATTTATGCAATGCTAGGCTAGGCGATATTCGCTTATCCGCCTGCGCAGCCTTTCCCCTCACCAAACTAGGCTGGGCGCTGGCCCACCGACCTTCCCTTGGTGACACCAACCGCCCGTAATTTTTCGACCAAAACTTCACCTCTGCTGCCCCTCTAGGTCAACACGCACTTTGCTGGCCGTCCACCCTCTCTCGCCATTTCGCCCACCACCGCCCTGCCGCCCTCGTTTTGCGACCGACCAGTGTCCTGGACAGATCAATTCCGCCGGCAGCTCACCGCCATTCGTATTTTATCTCCAGCATCGCTCAAAACACGCATATCCAAAGGAAAACGTGAGAGCTTTAGGAAGTTTCCGACTGACGACGACGACGACGACGACGACGACGACGAAAAGGACGCGCTGCGGATATATATATTTATATATATATCACAAATCTGGTTCTCCTGGAGCAAAAACACGATTGTGTTGACCTTTGCGACAAAAGACGGCAGCACAAAGCACGCCACCGCCTCGTATGCGTCGGAAAATACCAAAGGGCGCAGAGCACACGAGACACAACTGATTCGCATATATCCATATATCCGCCTATCTACACCACATATTCGCATATAGTGCACAGCGCAGACGTTGGCAGGCTCAGTACGCGACACCAAAACGCCCAAAAAAGCGCAAGACGCTCAACGATCTCGACACGTCAAGCTTCGGAACTGGCCGCTCAAGCCCAGCCGACCGAGGAGGACGTTCGCCAAGGACTCGACAACGCGCTGCAACATTGTATTGCCAGCCCTGGGGCCCAGTTGTCTGCCGAGCTCGAGGCCCACGGCGACGAGACGTTCAGTATGGCGCGGGTCTACGCCGACGTCAACCAGAACATGCCACGGGCATACTGGGACTATGACAGCGTTAACATCAGTGAGCAGCCGCGCTGAGCAGCCCCATTTGCCGGGAAGGAAGAGACATCGAGAGAACAGCAAGACTAACCACGGCAGGCTGGGGTGTCCTGGAAAACTACGAGGTGGTTCGCAAAATCGGTACGTTGGGTTGGGAAGCAGCGCAAAGAACACACGCGGGCCGACAGAGCACACAGCTAACAGCACAGGCCGGGGAAAGTACTCTGAAGTCTTCGAGGGCGTTAACGTCGTCAACTATCAGAAGTGTGTGATCAAGGTGCTGAAGCCCGTAAAGAAGAAGAAGATCAAGCGCGAGATCAAGATTCTGCAGAACCTGTCGGGCGGCCCCAATATCGTGGCGCTGCTGGACGTGGTGCGCGACTCGCAGAGCAAAACGCCGTCCCTCATCTTCGAGTACATCAACAACACCGACTTCCGGTCGCTGTACCCCAAGTTCGCCGACATTGACGTGCGCTTCTACATCCTGGAGCTGCTCAAGGCTCTTGACTACTGCCACAGCAAGGGCATCATGCATCGCGATGTGAAGCCTCATAACGTTATGATTGATCATGAGAACCGCAAGGTGAGTTGTTTCGTTTCGAGGGGGGTCGGTGTGCTGCAGGGGGTGGTGCATGCACATTCGGCAGTACAAATGCCCTGCTGACACTAACACCGAGTAGCTCCGCCTGATCGACTGGGGCTTGGCCGAGTTCTACCACCCCGGCACCGAGTACAACGTGCGCGTGGCGTCACGCTACTTCAAGGGCCCCGAGCTGCTGGTTGATTTCCAGGAGTACGACTACAGCCTAGACATGTGGAGCCTGGGCGCCATGTTTGCCTCAATGATCTTCCGCAAAGAGCCCTTCTTCCACGGCAACTCCAACTCGGACCAGCTGGTGAAGATTGCCAAGGTGCTGGGCACCGACGACCTGTTTGATTATCTCGACAAGTACGAGATCGAGCTCGACACCCAGTACGACGACATTCTGGGCCGCTTCCAGAAGAAGCCGTGGCACAGCTTTGTCAACTCGGACAACCAGCGCTTTGTGACCAGCGAGGCCATCGACTTTCTTGACAAGCTTCTGCGATACGACCATGCGGTAGGTCGACTCGTCCAGTTTCTTTTTTTTTTTTTCATTTTTTTTTTTTCAGAGAGAGGGAGAGACATCTTACAGTCCCTAACACTCCCAGGACCGCCTTACGGCGCAAGAGGCCATGGCACACCCGTACTTTGACCCTGTGCGGGAACCAGACACGAGAGAGCGTCTGATGGCCAACCCACCCACCAATGGCACTCCCGCATAGGCTACGGACTACATGTCTTGACACGAAGTCATACACGCAACCTTGTCCAAAATACAAAACAAACCAGGCTACACGAAATTCAACAAGAAGAAATGCACCACACTCGCAAATGGAGACGGGTTCTGCAGCAGTTTTACGGAGCAAAAAGGAGCGGCCCATTTTTCGATAACAATACCACACGTCGAATTCATCATGGCGAGAAATCTCCAGTGAATGATTGTATTTCGTCCGCTCGTCTCTTTACCGTCCCCTACCCATTCCTGTACGCGTCAGCGCTTGTTTTGTCTCATGGCAGGACTATCTCCAGATACCCATTACGCCATCGCGCCATCACGCCATTATTGTCACCTTTTCGCTCTTCACACATCTCCTAATTGCTGTCCTTGTCGCTACTCCCTTTTCGTTCGATCCATACATTGTTTTGTCATTGTTTTTGTCACTGCTTCGTCATCCTTTTTGTAACGCTTTGTTCTTTGGTTTTCGGTCATCGGTACTGTTTCCCTTCTCTCTGGCTATATAGGCGTACTCGAGCGGCGTTTGCTTGCACTCAGTAGAGTAGTCAATGAAAAATATAAAAAATGAGATAACATTTTATTCAAACAAGGCTCTACGGAGTTCAATATGCAGCTATCTATGTACACCGGAAACAGAACTCGCGCTCGCAGCGGAACCCGTCCTTGCCGCACCGCCGTAGCGTACCTCCGGGCGTCCGGATCGGTGACCCGCCAGGACTCGAGACGGCGCTGCCCGGCCCGGCCGTCCCTGCCTGATGTTGCCGACGAGCCAGCGGTGACAGTGCCAGTAGTCGGCTCGCAGTCGGCGTGAGCCGGATGGCTGCTCCTGCTTTCTTCGTATGGCTTCGGTGCCGGCTCGGCGTCGTCACGTGTCGCCGCGACGAGGGTGTCGGCTGCTTACGGTTGGTCGTCGGCGTTGTTTGCACAGAGGAGCCGCGCGATGCAGGCAAGGACGACACCGGCTGCCGTCCGCCATTCTGGGGGACAAACGGCCGCGGCGAGGCTTCGGCAGTTGCGTCGACTTCAGCCTCGTCGGCCGAGCCGTCCGACACCAGCGAAATGATGCCGCTGCTGTCGAGGCTCTGGCTGTCGGGAATCTCGCGCGAGCGGGGACGGCCGCGGCCGCGGTGCGGGTGCGTTTTGGGTTGGGCCGACGAGGCTGATTTTTGAGACGACTTGAGAGACGATGCCTTGCTGGATTTCTGCGACGACGGCATTCGGGGCGAGTCCTCGGTTTGCCGACGGCGCTTTCGTTTCCGTGGGGGCTCGCCGGATTCTGCTCCTGGCGGCGGCGACGATGCGGCGGCGTTCACTTCAACCTTGTCTTCGAAACCGGGCCTAGGATCGGGATCGGGATCGGGATCGGGCTCAGACTCGGGCGTGTACTCACTTGCCGACTCAGGTTCATCGTCAATCTCTACCGGAGCAGCAACTTCAGCAGCTGTATCGACGTCCTCTGCCCTTGCGGCTGCTATTGGAGCAGTGGTCGAAGCGGCAGCAAAATCTGCCGATGGCTGTACGCCCGTTTCCATGATGATGATGGACAGTGACTGTGCGTCTCGTCTGTGTGCTGCGTCGAGATGGGCTGTCTCAGCCACTTCAGTTGTGTTGTCCACGCCCACGCTCACTGCTGCAACAACGCCACCTTTCCTTGACCCCCCAGGCCGTCTCTTTTCCCTGTTCTCAACGTCTGGCGCCTCAAGTGGTGCGTTGTTCTCGCTCTCATCCACTGCAGAAAATTTCTGGATGGGCTTATTTCCGACAATCTGCACTGTCTCCTGAGGTTCAGCAGCAAGACGAGACGGGACAGTAGGTTCCGGCTGCCTCCGTTTCCGCTTCTTTAGACCAAAATCCTCTTCGTCAGAAAAGACGAACGCCGGATCGAGTGTATTCCGCTTAAATGTCTCTTTTGGTTTCGACTCGGTGCTGTTTACAACGGGCGGGTCCTTGGAGACGCCTTTCTCGTGTGGCGGCGTAGGTAGTGTCGGTGATGACGGCCGCTTTGGCTGTTCTGTCTCGCCAAGCCCAGGCGGTACTGGTGACGAGCTCTGCACGTCCGAAAGAGGCGGTTGTGGTGATGTGGAGCCGGGCACCGACGCCCGTTCTGTTGACGTCGCTTGCTGTAGACTGCGCCGACCCCTCTTCCAGGAGCGCTTTGGCGACGCATCTTCTTGGTTTTTTTGCCCTACAGTGGCAGCCGCACCAGACGGCTCCTGTGGTTCATCTGACATGCTCGGCTTGCGTGATGTCCTCTTTTGTCGTTTCCTCGTCGACTGGCCCTCCGTAGCCCTTGCAGACCTTGGAGTGGCACTGCTGGATGACCCCAGCACCGGCTTGGCCGAGTCAAGAATGAGGTCGTCGTCGTCGTCGCCCTCACCGTAGCTTGTCGGCAGCGCCTTTGTAAAGACCGTGCGTTGGGGCGCAGCATATATAGCCCTAGGCGGTGGTGGATGCGGCACATTGGCAAACCTGCCTTCTGGCCCGCCGAATGCCGCGTCCGGAAGGTCGGGCGCGGCCCATGTCGGATCGACCTCGCCCGGCGCTGATCCTTGTGCGGCTGGGCCGTTGCCGCCCATGACCACTGTTCCGCCGGGCCCAAAGCGTGAAGGCAGGAGACTCGCCACCAGACGGGATGACGCCGCCGTTGCAGCAGCGGATAGTTCTGGCGGTCGGTCGGCATGGCCGTTTTTGCTGCTGTCGTCGTCCGAATCATGGCCGCCGCCCTGCGTGGACGGATGCTCCACGGGCAGCGACGCAATGTGGCCATTGTCGACTTCGATTTCGTCGGTGTAAAAGTTGATCTCGTCGCCCGTGTCGCCAAAATCCTGGCTGTATTTTTCAAACAGCAGCTCAAAGGCCGACTTGAGCTTGCGGTCGGCCACCGCCCGGCTCCGGTCCAGCCGGTATTCGGGGTCAACCTTCATGGCGTAGTCTTCTGGGTCCATGGCAATCTCGTCGTCGTCGTCATTGTCATCGGCCTTCTTTGGCTTGCTGCGCATCCTGTTGTTGCCGTTGACGTCGCTGTTGACCTTGGTCTCAGTGGGCGCATCGCGCGGCGGGCGGCCGACTTTGACGCGCTTTGCTGGCGGTTCCATGCTGGCGTCATTGATATGCGTAGTCTTGGATTTATGAGGAACACCCAAACACCTGGATCCGGTGACTTTTCACGGTGCTGCTTTGCCGAAACGCTGCACCTGGCGTTCGCTGACGGCGCGCATCGAAGCTGTTGGATGTATCACTTTAGTGATGTTGTCGCGAATTGTGGATCCCGCGATTGGCAGAACAGCCTCGCGCGGTCACGTGTAGAATCACGTGAAGTTCTTGCTCTTTCTGTCAGCGGGGATCATTGTGGAGCTGTTCTCCAAGCTCAAGTGCACTTGCCACTGATGGCGGCAGCTTGGAGCCTAGATATGGAAGCAGCGCTTCTCGAACCGACTTATTTGCAACACGATTTCGACGCCAACCTCGACCTCGACCACACCTCTGCACTCAACACCACGAGCAACGCCATGCCTCAGAGACCGATGCGCGCATCCGTCCAGCAATAATGTATTGCCAAAAATGCCGAACACCGCTCAAACTCGACAGCTCTCTGGAGGACCTCAACCCGGCGGCGTATGATCTTCTTGTCGGTGAGTTTACCTCTTTATTGTTCGGGTTAGCGATAGCATCAACTCTCTGCGGCGGTTCCTAACATTGCATCCGTCAAGCCACCGCATCTCAGTCTCCACACAGAAAACGACAGCAGATACGGCCCGCCAACGCCCCCGATGCCGACCGACGAGCCCTCTACGACCACGTCTCGAAACATGCTGGACCCTCGTCGTTTAAGCGGTATAGCGGCGGTGGAAGCGGAGGCAGCGCCGAAAGCAGCGGAGGATCGATGCGCGACAGCTCGGCCATGTCGTTCGTGCTTCTGTCGGACTCGACGATTGCGGGCGGCCCAAGCCACGGCGGCAGTGCGGGGCCGGGCGCAGGCTTCGGCGGGACTGCCCCGGCGCGGTATGGCAGCGGCGCATCCGACGAGGACAAGAACAAGAATTTTGGGACGGGGGATGTTGCCGGCGCAGACGATGACGATGCATCCAAGGCGCAGGGCATGGAGCGCATCACCAAGCTGTTTGAGATCATGTCGGCACGGTCCGACGTGGACCACCCGGTCTGTGTCGAATGCACGGAGCTGCTTGTCGAGGGGCTGCAGCAGCGACTGGATGCCGCCTCACGGGAGCGCGACGCCTATGTGTCCTTTTTAAAGACGCAGCAGACGGACGTGCCGACGGCGGACGAGCTGCAGGCGCAGGCCGCGGCGCTGGCCAAGGCCCGGCAGCAAGAGGCCGACGCCATGGCGGAGCTGCTGCAGCTGGAGGCGGAAAAGGGCCAGCTGGACGAGGAGATCCGCGCGCTCGAGCGCGAGGCGCAGGCGCTGGACCGCGACGAAGAGCAGTTTTGGCGCGAGCGCAACGCGTTTGCCTCGAAGCTGACCGACTTCCAAAACGAGCGCGACAGCATCAACGCCAAGTACGACCACGACGCGCGGCTGCTGGAGAGGCTGCAGCGGTCCAACGTGTACAACGACACCTTTTGCATCAGCCACGACGGCACGTTTGCGACCATCAACGGCCTGCGGCTGGGCCGCTTGTCGTCGCGGCCGGTCGACTGGCCCGAGATCAACGCCGCATGGGGCCACGCGCTGCTGCTGCTCGTCACCGTCGCCGACAAGCTCAATTTCCGCTTCGAAAACTACGAGCCGCTGCCGATGGGATCGACGTCGCGGATTGTGCGCTACGAGCCGCTGCCGTCACCCGCATCGAGCCGGCTGGGCGGAGGTGACGCCCGCGGGGGGAGTGGGAGTGGGAGTGGCGGTGGCGGCGCGAGTGGCGGGAGTGGAGGCGGCTTTGGGGCGGCCAGCATCCTGTCGCAGCGGCTGAGCGCACCTCCGCAAGCGCCCAAGAAGCACGTCCTGGAGCTCTACTCATCCGGCGACATGCCTCTCGGCCTGACGTTTATGCACCGGCGCTTCGACAACGCCATGGTGGCGTTTCTGGAGCTGGTCCGGCAGCTGGGCGTGTTTGTGCACCAGCAGACGTCTGCAGCCGGCGCCGGCGAGCGCCAACATCCGCTGAGCCTGCCGTATCGCATCGAGGGCGACAGGATTGGCGACGTGAGCATCAAGCTGGGCATTGCACAGGACGACGGCTGGACGAAGGCGTGCAAGCTGACGCTGACGTGCTGCAAGTTCTTGCTGGCGCATGCGAGCAACGTGAACTCGTCGGGGAGAGGCTAACGAGGGCATTACGACCAAAGCACCAAGACGGTACGAATATGGGTCATGGCGCAAATGGATGGGACGGCTGCGACGTATCACTACGAACTATCACCCTTTTCTGTTTTCGTTTCCTATTTATGATTATTGTCGTTGCGCGGCGTTTCGGCTTGGGATATGAGGTTGTCTTGGTGTCTTCTTTCTTCCGTCTTCTTTCAATCCAATATTTCTTCTTCCTGTGTATGCCTCCTGCTTTCGAGCTCAAGATGGAAACAACTACAACATGGAATGCAAAAAAAACGCATCGACTTTGTAAGGACAGGTGACAAGCGCTTGTCAATGGCATGCATAATATGCAGGTTTCAAGGCTATCGCCAGGAATGGAAGCGATAGGCTATCTTCAGCTGTGTCTTCTCGGCCTTTGCTTTCTCTGAATGTGGGCTGTGACCGTTTCGATTCGTCACGCCGTGGCTTGCAGTTTCACAGTCTGCAGTTGTCTCCCGATCTGTGATGTAACCCACCCTAACAGTGCATTGGGCCCAGCCGTGGACCATACAAAAAGACAGTGAGGTAGATGTGAGTAGACAAATGGTACGTACTCCTCGATTCGACGGAGTCTTTTGTTTTCCTTTCTTGTGACTTGTGACTTGTGACTTGCGACTTGTGTCTTTACTTTCTTTCTTAATAATTTTCCGAATGTACCTTCCGATTGCCTGATCATGGCCAAGGCCCAAAGAAAGACGCCCGATCACCTGCATGGATGCCGATCCTCCACAGGCATCTAACGAAGACAAGAGTACATCACACATCGGCGGCGAGGAGAGTGGATAAAGTGGTGTCCTCGCCGGGTCTTTTTTCATTGTATTCACATCACAGGCCAGTTTCTGCATTAAAAATCAATGTGTCAGAAGGTTCAGACTAACAGCACTGCAGCAGCACCGGAAAAGGGCGGCAGGGCGGGCCAAAGCCAAGTCCGCCAGGGTTATCGAAAGCGCGGCGATGGCACTCGTGAACTGAGACTAAGACGAAATCCAGAGTAATACGTCGTCGAGGTACTTTCCTGATTTGGAGGGGCTCTCATCGGCCGGCGCGCCACGACATAAGAGACGCATAAGGGAAAGACCAAGCTCTAGACTGCTCTTTCTGTCTTTTGGCGCTTTTCTTGACATCACCAACAAGGAAAGAGCAACCCTACATCTGAGACAGGCCGGGGCAAGGAAGAACAACAGCGAGAGAGTGGCAAATACGAAGACTGCCGAATGAAGCAAGCGCTGCCGCGTAGTAATAAGAAGGAGCGGTGCGCAACGAACGATGAACGGTGCAAGAAGCTGTATGCTGGCAAGCATGCTCTTTCTCAATCTGTTCGTCGTTCCCACTTTCTGCTGAAGAGCAACATTAAATAATTCATTGGCTACGGTGCGCCGATGCTGGCACACAGGGCGAAGGTGAATCCACAGCGCCACCGGCCGTGCGAGTCGTGCATAAAGGGTGGGGTGGGTGTGGTCGATGTGCATGTGCCCGTTTTGCAGTTTCAAGACCATCACTCCTTTTTCGCAAGCAGTCTTTTTGCACAGATCAAATAGACGTCAGCATCGGGGCGTTTTCGCATTCGGTTTCAAATCCTTTCGCTCCTGCCCTGTAACATGCGCAATTCGCGTTTGAGATTGCCGCCCGCTGGGGAAGGAAGGACCCCTGGTAGTGAGATTTCGCAATCGAGAGGCACCGAAATAGCCAACGACGATCGGCTCGTTACAGTCGTTCCTGCCCTTGCATCGACGCATATGTGTCTCTGTGTCGCACGGCGGCCGAAAGATGACTGGCTCGCAGCTTCCCTTGCAGAATTGCAGAATTGCAGATCCGCAGACGGCTCGTGAGAACGAACATGGCAAGAACAAAGCGCTTGGCTCCTGCCTCCAAGCTGAATCAGGCTCAAGGCAAGAACCCGCTCTTACATTGGACAATAACAGGAATTTCACACAGGTGCAATCTGGGCGGTTGCTGATTCACGGGACCCGATGGCCCGGCTTGGTGAGCGTTGTGGTGCCGCTGGTTCGTTTTGTTTTGTTTGTCCTCCTGCTGTTGGTCAGTAATGCGCCCCTACACGCAAGGCCAGGCCCCACTGGAACTTCGTCCGACTCGGGCCTGGTGGCTCCACACTTTTTTTCGTTTCGATGATGTGCGGTCAGCAGAAGCCAGGTAGCTTGCAGGTATCTTTCTACCGTATTTCCGTGCAGCCGGTACAGTAAGACCGCTGATTTTCGATCCACTAAACAACCGCAGCGGGAAACAACGATTTACAGGTGTCCGTCAACAGTGGGAAGCTTCCGACGCAGCTGGGGAGGGTCAACGTCATAGAACAATTAGCGGCTTGGGAAAGAGCGACGGAGCTAGCTACCAGAAGCTGTGAGAAACCCGCATCTGCCGGAACGCGCAGGCGCTAGTGGCCCCTAGCAGACAAAGCAAACCAAACAAACAGGCAGGAGCTTGTGGTCGTTGGTTACTTTCGGTGTAATTTTGAGCCTTTGGGTACTTTCTTTTTTTTCTCTTTTTTTTTTCTTTGGGCTCCCGCGCGCACCTGCCTGAGCTGCTGCGCGTGCAAAGCAGATCCTTACCAATTCGTTTTTTGTTGCTGCTTTGCTCACGTCGCCGCTTCGTCGGTCGCTCCTGACGCTTTTGTTTGCGTTTCGCTGCTTCTCGCTTTATCGCTTTTCCTTTTAAATTGCGACGCTGCACCTCCTCTTCTGCCGGGCCCTCTTCCATCAATTCCCCTTCTTTCTTTTCCCTCCCTCTCTTCTTCTCTCTTCCATTTCCCGCACAGCAACATCCCGCCGCCCAGAGCTTTCATTGCTTTGTACATATAACAGAGACATCCCTCCATAATAGGACCTCCACCGTCCGGACGACCAGCATAATAATCTTTGTGTATCCTCGTCACCCCGTCGAGTCCATTCGCAACGACAGCATCAACAAATCGCATTTCCCGCATCGACCGCATCCCACATAAAGGCTCCGTTCGCCATTCTTTGTTTTGCCACAGACGCCTGTCAACAGCAAAACAATTGTGCCAACCTCTCTCTTCTACATCTTCTAAAGCACATCCCGCAATACCAGTCATCATGGCCGCTGCTCAGCTCATTATTCGGGGCGTCCAGCTCCTCTTTGTTGTTATTATCGTTGCCCTCATCGGCAACGTCATCAACAACAACATCAACGGCAACATGTCCGCCATCAACTATGCGCTTTTCGCAACCATCATTGCCTGGCTGGCCTGTCTGCTGGGCCTGGCCGGCGCTTTCGTCTCCATGCTCACGGAGGGCATCTTCCTGTACGCCCTGCTCGCCCTCGATGTTTTGGCCATCGTCTTCACGTTCATTGCCGCCATTGTCATCCCCGCCAAGCTGCACGCCGTCAACTGCGGCGGAGACCTGTCCCCCGAGAATCGCGGCGCCGGTTGGATCGGCTTTGGCAGCTTGGACACCGAGCAGCGCTGCCGCGAGCTGCAGGCCAGCACCGCGTTCCTGTGGTTCCTGTGGGTCGCCCTCATTGCGTCGCTCTTGCTGGGCCTCTTCAACCTCCGCCGCGGCGGTGGCGGTTCGTCGCGCGCCTCCAGCGCACCGCACATGTCGCAAGTGCGCGTGTAAGCGGCCGCGCGCCATGAGCTGGCTTCTTTTGCCGTTCGTTGCATCGTCCTCGACCAGCTCACGTGTCCATGGTATACGTACACGCGACGGCTGAGCCGCGGGTTAGGTCGGAGACGGTGAAAAACAATCACCGCTTTGTCTCGATATCGAGTCTCGTGTGCCACTCGTCCACCTCTGTGGCCATATAATGGCATCCAGCCTCGCTTATGTTTTTTTGGATACGAGATGAGGGACCGATGCACGCGACATTTGGAGGCACAGCAAGCATATGCGTCATCAAAATACAAAATTGCACCAAAATTACACCGACGACAGACGAGGACAGCGCTCGGCTGTGCCAGTTGCCCCGAATTAATGGAAGATGTCGACCGGCGCTCTTGACGAGTTGAGAAAGATGGGAGAGGTGTTGGGGGGGCCAACTGGATAAAAATTCGCAGCTGGGGCTGCTCCTTGTCTTGACACATATTGTTATATATTTTGAACATCTGCATTTTGGTTTTTTTTTTTTTTGGGTTGTATTTTATGGGGTTTCTTGGTTCAGGGCGGTTTTTGGTTTAAACCAGGAAAAGGACGTGATACCTTTTCAGCGCTCCTTTTGTTTATTTTGTCCGTCATCGCCGTGGAGGCCGAGCCTCTGATTGCGTCGCTCATGTCGCACTCAGAACAAGCAACGACGGCGGTACCGATACTTTGTATTTTATATCCTTTGGATAGCCGTTGGATAACTTGTTATGTACACGACAGGTCTTTGTGGGAATTTGCTATGCCTACATGTTGACATCTACCTCCATTAAATCTTGTCATATTGTATTTTTACATTCATTTTGCCACTGTGCGGAAGAGCACCACAGCAACGATGACAAAGTCTTAACACCAACGAACACCATGTACGGCGTCCAATTCTACACACATATCACCCATATCACCCATATGCAGGCACCCGTTTCGTGCAGCCTAGCAAAGCGACATGGCGACACCACATCTTACACGCAAGTGATGGACAGGCACGAGCAACGGGCGAGCCATGCGGCATAGACTATCCACTTTATTTCGGCCGGGACGGAGCGAATGTGCTTTCTCTGATCCATCTGCCCCGGTATGGCCGATCGCCAGGTCCTCCCCAGTCGAGACTTTCCCGTCAACGACCCCCACGGTCATCGGAGAAATTTGGCGAACGTGCTGGGCCAGGCTCTCCCAAATGAGTTTGCCTTCAGTTGTCAGGTCGCCACCATACTCCACCCGGTCGTATGCAAGTCTGGTGAAGCACAGTGCACCTACAGGATGAAGAACGAAGGGCGCGCCAAGGTGCGGCTGGCATTTTCGACAGGGTTGTGTGTTGGTCGAACGTAACGGTTGAAACGAAACTTCCACTTGTCGACAGTGGACGTCTCCCCACGAGACTCGAAAGCATCAATGAGGTGGCAGCGCACGCCATCGAAGCTAGCAAACAATGTTTTGTTTTTCCAACGTCGTGCGATGTCGACGCCTATGACCGTTTCTACGTTCTTTACGAAGTACGGAGTAATACCGCCATGAGACAGACGTAGGTCACCGTCGACAACCTCACAAGCCTTTTTGTCGTGGCTCGGACAGAGGATTCTTGGACGAGCAATCTTGGGGTCGCCTTGCTCTTCTTGGTCTTATGAGTGGCCTTGGTGTTCTCCATTGCCGGGACGGCCCTCATCCTTTCCTATCCACTCTTACGGCTCTGTTTACCCCGTACTTGGCTACATTGACAGTCCTGAGGTGGTGTCTTTACCCCAGCAAAAGGGGGGTGCAGATTTCGAGCCCTTTCAGGAGGGCAGATAAAATGGCAGAATTACACCCTCGACTTACGCCTTTTTTTTTCCTTTTTCCTTGTCGGTCCATTTGCTACCTGTGCACTCTTTGCTTTTTCCACCCTCGAACGTCGGAGTACCTCGACCGTTTCCCCCTATTGAAAACCCGACAGAACGAATCAGACAATCAAACCCCCACGTTGGACGACGCAGTGATGGATTTTTTGCTCGTAAGAGGAATCCTGACGATCCAAGGGAGACAGGGGGGGAAGGCAGCTGGAACCGCACAGAGGCCGGTAGGGGACCACAAAAGCACATCAGCAACGTCCCGTTCGGCCAGTGACAGCCTTGCGATGCAGAGCACGTCATTCGTCGCGAAAAAGGTTCATCGACTATTTAGGGGTGGACCACGCAAATCAACACGTTTTGGAACCCCCCCCTCTGCGGCACATTGAACAATGGCGACGTCCAGCTGTACGGTTCTGAGTTTTTAAAATGGATTTTGACTCAGTTCAGGTAGGGCCTTTTGGCCATGAAATCCGCAACTCCGTCTTCTGCTTGCTCTTTTCATTTTATTTTCATGTTATAGTCCCCCATTTCTCAGTCTACGTCGTGTGCTCGCTACCCTCGTCTCTCGCTGTCGACATCCTCCATATGCAACGCACGCAATATGTTGAGCATGTATTAATATATGCGGCTTGCTCCCCGGTCGCCGGGTCGTCTTTTGAGCTTCTCGGATCCGACTGCCTGCGGATGTTGGCTGTGTTTATATTATACATGAACAACCTACCTGTTCGGCGTCCTCCATAAGAGAGACAAGAAGAAAACGGCAATAATTCGGTAGGGCTTGTTCTACTTGTGCTCGACCGCTTCCGACTTGTCCCTCCCTCGTCGACATAACCACATAGCCACATCAACATATCGACAATCGACATATCGACAATCGACAATCGATATAGCCCGCCATGACCATATCGGCGGACCAGCTTCGCGCGCTCCAGATCGTCGAGCGAACTGCGTCGTCGCTGTCGGTCGTGGGCATCGCGACGATTATAATCACCTTCTTCTCCTCCCGATACTTCCGCAACCCCATCGACCGGCTGATCCTGATCAATGCCTTTTACAACGCCTTCGACGTCACAGCCACGATGATCTCGCTGAGCGGGCCGGCAGCAGGCAACGGCTCGGCCCTGTGCCAGTTCCAGGGATTCCTGATGCAAATGTTCCCGCTGGCCGACGTGCTGTGGACGCTGGCCATGGCCATCGATGTCTTTTTGATTGTATATTACCAGTACGATGCCAACGCTCTGCGGCGACTGGAAATTAAGTACATTGGCGCCATCACAGCAATCACCTTTACGCCCGCGTTTGTGTTTCTCTTTATCCACACCGCCGAGAAGGGGCACTTGTACGGTAGTGTGACGGTACGTACTGATCACTTGTTCTCTCTTTATGTCTCCCTTGCCTCTCTCATCTCTCACAATACATGGACGCACCTTCTAACAAACATAGTTGTGGTGTGCCATTGCGCCAAAATGGGTAATGTTCCGCATCATATTTTATTATGCGCCAATATGGTACGTGTTCTAAGGCGCCAAGCACATCATGAGAACGTCGCCTTGTCTGACAACATACAGGATCATCATAGGTATCGTCTTCATCCTCTATTGCATGGTCGGCTGGAAGATTGTCAAAGGCAAACGGGCCCTCCGGTCTATCGAGAGCGACATCATCCCGCTCGACCTCCAACAAACGGTCGAGAAGGACGACGACGACAACACCACCGAGAGCACTCAGAACACCAAGAGCACGGAGGGCGCAGAGGGCACTGCCAGAAACGCCATTGGCCTCGCCGTGTCGTCGTCCACGCGAACCCTAGGCCCACACACGAGCATGCACGGCGGCATGGCTGCCTCGGCACCAACGACCAAAGGACACACCGTCAAGGCGTGGTCCCGCGACGGCACCGAGTCCATATCGCCGCTGCGGCCAGTCGACGATTTTGGCAGCAGCCCAGACCAGTCGGGCAGCGCCAGTTTCAGCATGAGCCCGAGCCTCAGCAGCCACAAGTGGCAGGCCAACCGGTCGGCCCTGTCGCTGCGGCAGTACCTGCTGATGCCCGTCATGTTCTTTGTGGTGCTCATGGCCATCTGGGTCGCGCCCACGACGAACCGCCTGCTGTCGTTTGTGGAGCCCTCGTTTGTGTCGTTCCCGCTGTACATTGCCGTCGGCGCAACAGGGTCGCTGCGCGGGTTCTGGAACGGCTGCGTGTTCTTGGCCGTGGGGTTACGGTCGCGGCAGAGCCAGCGCCGGCTCGAGGCCGTGCGGCCAGGGCATTATAGATGACTCTTTGTCAGTTCCCTCCTTTTTATGACGTTTGGATGTTGGGATTGTTTTCGTGGGTGTCGGGTTATTGGACATTTTGCATTTGTTTGCATGCTCGGCGCCAGGAATAATACATGTGTGTGTGTATAGAGATATCCCCTTTATTTATTTTGGTTATGGTTCGGTATAGACTTTATATTCGGGTTTCCCTCCCACACGATTTATGTACACTAGTTGGCCTTGAGGTCTTTAACTCCTTGGCTAGACGCAACATTACGGTCTTGTATTCTTACACAGTGACTTCTTGGCACCAAATGACTAATATCATTCAAAGGCTATCTATTGTACAAAGCAAACCCTGAAAACAAACCAGCAATAATAATGACAACGACAATGCAATCATCCATCACCCACCGATTATAGAGGTAGACGCTGCAACGGCGGCAACATTGCGTCTCCGCCGCCGCCGCCGCCGCTGCTCCTGTTGGTAGTTGTCGTAGACGGGCATGCCGTTGGGACCGTTGGGGCCGCTGTAGTAGCCGTTCCGGCGGCCACGCCCATTGTAATAACCGGCCGGGGGCATGCCCGTGCGGCGGTCGTAGCCGTCAAGGTTGCGAGACTGAGCTGTTAGTAGGTGATGGCAATGGCAAAGGGTATGAAGCATCGCATGTACCTACGAAGCAGCTGCCCATTGTTGTACGAAATGGACCTTTGTTTATGTGCAAAGGGTTTGCTCCGTATGGTGTTTGATAGTGCTCGGTGCCTTGTCTTTGCCGGATATAACGTCGAAGCTTGGCACCATCCAAGTCCACAGAGGTCTGATCAATTGGGTGTCTTTGGCTTCTTATACGAGTGTTTTTTTCCTTTCTCCCCTCTCAGGTTTATCTGAAGGTGAACCGGGATCATCGTTTTCTTACATTCGCATTGCCCCGTCCTCGTGTCGTTTCCGTTTTCTCATGCCTCGTTCGTTCAAGGCAAAAGTGCATCCCCACATTAAATAGGTAAAAAGGCACTCCACACACTCCGTGCGAAGTGTGGGATGACGTCAAGCCACAGAAGGCTGCAGCCGTCTTCAAGCCTCTGGAGAAGATGTGCCTCGTACGGCAAAAACACAGCCCCCAAGACAGCCTCGACTGGTCGTGCCACCACATCGTTAAGTCGTTCCGTGTTTCTGTGTGGTAGGAGCTAGGTAAAGAAAAATAAGAGGCTGCATTCGATAGTCAGCTGAAACGAATACTTTGTGGCACAGAACGACGCAAGAGGCACGTCACAGGACCAGGCAGAAACGTTTGTTGTTCAGAGAATATAACCAAATATCTTTGTCTAGAAACGTACGCCAAGCTATGGCAAAATTCCAAAAAAAGAAAGCGTATCAAGTTTGCAGCGTGCTCCCAAAACGGACTACCCTGAAATGCAACGCGATGCTTGCAAAAGAAACAAGAAATCAATGCAAATCAAAACGCAGAGAATCAACAACATATGAGGGTATTCTAAGATGCGAGAGCAAGAGAAAGGAGTAAACCAAATGCAAATCCAAAAAAAAAAAAAAAAAAAAAAAAAAAAAAATAAGCTTCCAAACTTTTGTCATGCAATTTGTCACCTAGTTTCAAATTGTCACCAATATACTCGACACAGCCTTTACTCGTCACGCACGGCATTCGAAGCCGACGGGGCAACAGGTGACAGGGGCACAGGCGCACCGTTACCTTCACGGCTACGGCGAGACAGCGTGCTGGCGCTCCGGAACCGGCGCGTCCGCACCGGCGACGGTTGTGTGGAGTCGTCAACCACCTCGAGGCCCAGACCTGCAGCCCGAGCACCCTCCGAGTCGTCTGACTCAGGGTCCTCGGGTTCGCGCAACTCATCCAGCTTCGGTTGGGCCGTCGTCGTAGGAGTCGTCGTCGATGCCACAGTTCCATCCACCAGTGTTTCATTAAACCGTGATGCTACCGGCGCTGGCAAGGGCGAGTCGTTGGACGCTACCGTCCAGTGCCGGCTGCTCGCGCGGGACTGGCTGCTCCTGTCACCGGTGGCAGTGCCACTCGAGTGCGGGCGGCGGCTGATGTTGTTTATGTAGTAGTCGTCGTCGTCCTGAGCAACGTCACGAAGAAGCGACTCTTCGTAGTCGTCCTCGTCATCGTCCTCGTCGTCCGTGGTCACGTAGCTGTACGAGACCGGGTCGCCGCCGCTCTCGCTACCAAAGCCATCCCCCTCGAGCTCCTCCTCGCCGCCGGCCACTTGTGCCGGGATCTCGATGCCATCTCCCTCCTGCAAGAAGAAGGTGGAGATGGCGCCGAGAACTGCCACCACGGAAAGGAGCGCCCAACCAGTAATAATATAGCCCTGCTGCACACCCCACGAGAATGCGGCACCCGTCATGGCCGGGCCCACTGCACGACCCATGCCGCTAAACAGTGTTGCGTATCCGTTTAGCGTGCCGAGAACCTTGACCGAGGGCGCCGAGTTGGTGAGGATAATCGTCACACACGGGAAGACGATCATGGTAAAAACGCCCTTGAGCACAAACATCAACATGAACACGGCATACCGCAGACGCTCGTTGTCAAGAAGAACCGAATAGGGTGTCAGAATGTACACGAACGGAAGAAGTACGCCTACAACCAGTTAGCTGGAGAAACAACATGCAAGTTTTGAACGAACCGGTCGATGAGAAAACGTACAGGAATAACGGTAGCAGCGCAGGGCCCCAAAGCGGGAACACAGGGGCGGAAAGGCAGCAAACTGAGCAAATCCAGAGATGAGCGCATTTACTGTGAAGATTGTGCCAATGGAACCCGAGGACAGACCGAAGCCACCCGAGAATTTGAAGGGCAGATTCGTGTTGCTCGAATCGTGCTTCTCGTAGGGATAGTTGAGGAACACAGGTAGGACCTGGTCGTAGGCGACCGAGTGCAGTGCCAGCATCGTATAGCAGAGCAGGGCCATGGATGTCTGGTACGTAAAGATGCTTGGTGTCTGGGCCGACGAGTGTGTCGACGTGAGGCGCGCTTCGCCCAGAACCTCGGGAGCGCCCGACGAGACAGCAGCTACGGCCACCTTGGCTAGCTGGGTCGAGTCGTCGACGGCGGTCGGCGGCTTCGAGGCACCGAGCGTCAGATCGGATTCATTGCGTATTGCTGCCGACGACAACAGAGGCGCACTGGCCTCGTCGTCGATGAACGACAGGCGGCGACCGCGGGCTTCTGCCCGGGCTTCAGCACGCGCACGAGTCCGGGCGCGGAGAGCACTTCTCTTGGACGGCCGGCCGCCGCGGAAGATACGGGTGATGCGCTCGCCCAGTTCAATACCCCAGTCTGTCTTGTGCTTTCTCGACTCAAGGGTCTCTTCCAGGAAGAGGAAGGCGTTCACGGTCGAGAAGATAAAGAAGACGCAGGCGATCAGGTTCGGCAGCAGGAACGGGTACTTCTTGAAAAACTCAACTTGACCAAACAGCCCAGGGAACTGCTCCGCCGGGCGAGCAAAGAAACCACCAAACGATGGGCCGAAAACAGAGCCAATACTCCAAACCATGGGCATAATGGAGAAGGCTCGGGGTTGCAGCGCTTTCTGCGGCACCATCTCAGCCACCATGGTACGAATTGTCCCGACTGCGGCAGTTAGACTAGCTGAAGAGACCTGTGGTTTAGAGATACATAAGATGTAAGTGACTTACCATTGCCGTTGCTAGCGCCTTGGATGCCGCGGACAGCGATAGCCATGTGTAAGCTCGTGGATGCCCCCCAGAAGATAAAGCAAGTCATGGTAGATATCAGTCCAATGATGATTGTCGTCTTCCGTCCTATTCTGTCGGACGCCCAGCCCCAGGGAACGGCGGTTAGGCTCTGGGCTACCGAGAAGACAGCGCCGGTCATACCGGCCCACTTGGCAACCTCTTCTTTGGGGACGCCGAAACTTTTGATCATCTCGGGCAAGTAGGGAAAGACAGATGTCAGGGCAAGAGGTTCGGCAAATCGGACCATAGCTACAAAAGTGCTGTTAGATAATGTTTCGAACAAAATTGGGGCTTTTGTCGTTATGTGTGCCGTCGTTGCCGATCTCGCATTGTCCTCCATTCCCTCGACATCCTCCATGTATCGTCGTTCCTGTTCCGCATATATCGCGATCAAGAAGTTGCCACCAACAGTGTCACTTACAGCACTTGCAACAGGACCAGGAACAACGCAGACTGCAAACACCACCACTCAACGACGTTATATCGAAATAGAACAACAGAAATACGGCTGGGATGTCTTACCCAAGATGACCAGCTGCTGGACAGGCAGCTTCGGTCCTCTTTTCTTTTCTCTCGCCATATTGAAGTCGAGGGATGTGGAGTCGGGGGAGGTGGGAGAAAAAAGAGTAGGAGGAGAGTGCAGCGAGGAAGAGACGGAAGGAGAGGCGTGGTAGGTTATGCACCTAGGGGGCTTCGTTACAACGGCCGGTTCGGTATTTACATGGAGAGCGTTGGCGGGTTGTGTCGACGAGACAGAGGTCGGAGAACAGACGCCTCAGGCAAACAACTTCCGAGTTAGTTGAGAAAGCTTAGGATGGGCCACGTTGAGGTGTGGAAACGTGCCGAGTTGGTGGTGTGAGATGTGACGTCTTGATGTATGTTGGAAAGGCTGCTCGACGAAAACTGGCAAATAACGGGAGACGGGGATGTCGTCGAGGCTGCGCTTCATCGCAAGGCCAGCGCTGTGAGCCAATGAATATGAACGTTGGAGAAGAGGGGAGAGGATTTCGAAAATCTGGAACAGAGGGAAAAGAATACAAGAGATTTAAGAAGCCATGTAAATTAGGAATCAAAATAAGTCAGAACAGGAAATGGATAAAGGTTGAACAAATAAACAGGCCCGGCAGAAAATAGACCGGAGTCGTAGGCTGCGAGTCACAGGATGGCGAAAAAAAAAACCGGCGGGCAGTTGAGAAAATTCAAACAAACCACCCTGCAGGTCATCAACTTGCGAATCCTGCTGGGGGAAAGAGGGGATCTCTGGGAGACCCATATGGGCGGTCTTCGGGGCACACTAACAAATAGAATTGGGCCTCGTCGGCTGTGTGTTAGTGGCGCTTTCGCCTTCGTTCTGGGCATGCAGGCGTGGAGTTTTGCAGCACAGCCAGACGCGAGCACCGCGAGGCAGCGACTCAGGTCTGGCCTTGGCCATCAAAAGAAAACGGAAAGGCGGCACTTGGAATCCACCCCCCACAACATGTCGTGCTTGGGGGGGTCACAGCCGGAGGGAAAGCCTCAAAAGGGAGTACAAGGACAAGTCCAAAGGTCTTGTCTGTTGAATGTGACTCTTGTCCATATTGTAAAACATTGTCTCGCAGCTTGACTTGCACTCCCTGCGCACACTCACCCTCGCAACGAGCGGCAACTGGTTGCAAAGGAGGTGCGGCAACGGCACGACAAATGCCCTTGATGCCTTTGATCGGCCTGGGCTGACCGGGCATTGGTGTGTCTCATTGACACCTGCATAGCCGTCCTCTAATTTGCGTGTTTATGTCACGTCGAGTTCTAGTCCAGAAATCGCACCAGAAATTCGTGAATGGAACAGTGCAGGTCATATGAAGGCGGAGGTGACAAGTTCTCAAGTGACAGCCTGGATAATGAGTTCTCTTCGTGTCGTTCTCATACCTGCTGAACAACAACGATACGAGAGTGAGTGGGGCCGTGGAGAAGAGGACTGGGTGGAGTTGCACAGTGGAGAGCACCGTTCAAGGAGAGGCTGGATTGTACGTTTTGGCAGCCCTGCATCCGTCGGCAGCGAACCCGCACCCGCACCCGTTGCTCTATTGCCGCTTTGGGGTTTCCGCCGCTTGTAATTCGTCTCTTCACGCGCCGTGCTTGCTTTCTTCCGCCGTGTCATTGTCTATTAATATGCCATTTCTATCATGTTTAATCTGTCAAGTATCTCGACTCACCTGGCTTCTCTCCGAGCTGTTTCTGCAGAGCCAGGAATGCAATCCGTGTTGATCTAGCCGATGACACCTGCAAGGAGTTGTAAAAGGCTGTGGGGAGGGAGGGGAGGGGAGGGGAGGGGGCTGTCGTTGGCCATCGCCTTGTGTTCCGGGCCCTTGTAGACGCTGTGCTTTGACATTGGATAAGATGAGGATGAAGGTTGTAGGGGAAAGGGGGAAAGGGGAGGGTCCATACGACGAAGGATTCTAACAAACTGACACGAGGCAAGCGCGTCGTACTTGCTACCTGGGCAGCTGGGATGTCACAAAATGCAGTCGCGACCGGCTTGGTTACACCGTATTACCACCATGCTGACCTGCCATGCCTGCCATGCCAGCGTTCATGGCAAAGGCAGAAAGTGCAAGGGAGGTGCACGGGCGGGTGTCTCTTGCCTGCAAAAGCCAGATGTTGTTTCTGCGCTTTCGGCGGTGGCTGCAATTTTCAGCGGCCGGTCGTCGGCGTGGGCAGGTGCGAGACGGGGCAATATACACCGGGAAAGAGCGAGCGTCGTTCCTGGGGTGGAGTGGGGGAACACTGAACACCAGCATACTCACAGTTGTACCAGTGTTGGTGGGGCCAAGCCAACCGAGGAAGGAGCAACCGTCAGTAGTTGAGAGTGTCATCCTGGACGATTGAGACACGGCGCATTTTGTAGTCTTGCAAAACCGATATTTGAGCCTGTTATTTCGGTCTTGTCCAGTGTGGGTTTATTCACACCCAGGTCGGTGGCTTTGTCGTGTCGTTCTGTGCAGTGCAGAGATTCTGAAGGACAGTACAGCCCCCAACCACAAAGTTCTGACGGTTTCCCGAAAAGGCAGGCACAGGCCTTGTTCAGTCTCACGCATTTGTCAGTCTTGGTGACCATGCGGACTGTGATTGGCCACATGTTAAAGACCCGCTTTTCTACCCGCACTCTCACTGTGTCGGCGCCGAAGCCGCACACCTTGTCCAATACTAGAGACAGCAGTTGTCAACAGGTTAACGACGGTTGGAAACAGATCGAAACAGCGAACCTGAAGCGCTGTAGCCAGTGAGAGAATGGACTTGGAATCCGCACAACACCCAAACAGCAGCTGTGAGATACAAAAACATCATATAGCCACAAAATTGTGAAAACAAAAACGGACGCATTCTGTGTCCGCAAAGATATCTAGAGTACTCGTATTGTTTTTGGACAGATGCATGGTTATGGGAACTGTTGTGCCTACTACATTGACTACTTCTCACAGTGCTCCCCACCATTTGTGGTGTCTGATGCGGCACTGATATTGCCGTGGCTTAACATCCGGCTGTTTTCGAGATACAGCAAATCCCCGGTTTTCTTGTTTTCCCCTCCTTCCATAATATCTACATGTATCGCAAGTGTAAGACGAGATAGAAAGGCGTGGCGGCCATAGTAGCTCGCGTGTTCTTAAGAGTCCTTTCTATGATACTGTGCTATATCTAAGGTGTGTATTGTATACACTGTACGGCGGTGCTGGCCGCCAGCCACCCCGCTGATCACGCAAAACCCGCCTGTGCTGGGGCTCTTTCCTGTTGTGGATCGCCCGGGCCATTTGCAATCAGTGCATGTTTCGACGTCAAGCTCGACCAGGAAGGTGCGACTTGGACGGAGCTTTCGCAATCGCCGAGGCGGTCCTTCCTGTTTCTCCAGTCTTCCGAAGAGCGCCTGCTTTTCGTCACCTTTGTTGATTCTTTTCCATGTTTTCTATTTTCTGTTTCCTCCACCTTCATCTCAATTGAGATGCTTGCGAAGCTCTCCAAACTCGTTAAGCCCCCAGCTGTCCCCGCCAAAGGCCCCGGCCTGATTGATTAGTGTGCGACACTTACAAGCGGAAACTCGACAGACCATCTGAACGAGCAACAATAACAGAAGCAAAAAGCAAATAAAACCTGCAACCTGCAACCTGCAACGCGAATTGCATCATTTGCCATTACCGCCAATGGCCGACGAAAAGACGCCGGTGCTCCCGGTGACGGCGTCGGCGACGCTGGACAAGCTGGCCGCCGAGGACAGCCGGCGCCATGGGAAGCGGGTGTTCAAGAAGAAAACGAGCGCCGACGACGGCAGCATTAGTCAGCAGATTGTGCTCCCCGTGGTGCTGACGCTCGTGATCCTGGGCACGGTGCTGCTGCTGCCGTACCTGCTCGAGGTGCGCAGGGCACTCGCCGTGGCCGGCACGATCTCGCTCTACTCGCAGAGGTACAAGCCGCACTTTAGCAACGCCGCACTCAAGGACATTCTGCTCAACACGCCGTCCAACGACTCGGTGGCCGAGTGGTTGCGGTACTACACGTCCGGTCCCCACCTGGCGGGACAGAACTACTCGCAGGCGGCGTGGACGCGCGACCGGTGGGCGGAATGGGGTGCCGTGTCGCACATCACGGCGTACGACCTGTACCTCAACACGCCGGTGGACCACAAGGTGTCTCTGCTCAGGGCCAAGGGCGAGAAGGAGGACGGCGACGACGGCGATGCCGGCGCCATCACCTGGGAGGTGGCGTTTGAAGCGTCTCTGGTCGAGGACGTGATCGAGGAGGACCCGACGACAGGCCTCAAGGACGGCGTGCCGACGTTCCACGGCTACTCGGCCAGTGGCAACGTGACGGGACCAGTGGTGTACGTCAACTACGGCACGTACCAGGACTACGCGGACCTCGAGGCGGCCAACGTGTCTCTCAAGGGCGCGGTGGTGATTGCGCGGTACGGCGGCATTTTCCGCGGCCTCAAGGTGAAGCGGGCACAGGAGCTCGGCGCGGTCGGCGCTTTGCTGTACAGCGACCCGGGCGACGACGGCGAGGCCACCGAGGCCAACGGCTACAAGCCATATCCGGACGGCCCCGCGCGGCAGCCAAGCTCCGTGCAGCGTGGCAGCGTGCAGTTTCTGAGCATCGGCCCCGGCGACCCTACGACGCCTGGCTACCCTTCCAAGCCGGGCGCGCCGCGTGGCTCGCCCGACCATTTCATCCCATCGATCCCGTCGGTCCCCATCTCGTACGTGGACGCGCTTCCGATCCTCAAGGCACTGAACGGCCACGGCTTAAGCTCCAAGGACCTCGGCAAGTGGTGGACGCGCAACGAGGGTCTGGGCCACAAGGGCGTCGAGTACAACATTGGCCCGACGCCGGCCGACAAGGTGCAGGTCAACCTGTACAACGAGCAGGACTACACGACAACGCCGATCTGGAACGTACTGGGTGTCTTCAACGGCTCGGTGCTGCCCAACGAGGTCGTGGTGGTGGGCAACCACCGGGACGCGTGGATTGCGGGCGGCGCGGTCGATCCCAACGGCGCATCGTCGGTGCTGAACGAGGTGGTGCGGGCGTTTGGCGTCGCGGCAGCGCAAGGGTGGCAGCCGCTGCGGACGATTGTGTTTGCATCGTGGGACGGCGAGGAGTACGGCCTGCTGGGCAGCACGGAGTGGGTGGAGGAGTACTTGCCGTGGCTGCAGCACGCGAGTCTGGCGTACGTCAACCTGGACACGGGCGTGAGCGGACCAGACTTTGGGTCGTCGGCGGTGCCGCTGCTGCACGACCTGGTGCACCAGGTGACGGGCGAAGTGCTGTCGCCAAACCAGACGGTGCCCGGGCAAACGGTGCGGGATACGTGGTCGGGCAAGATTGGCCCGCTGGGCAGTGGCAGCGACTACACGGCGTTCTTGGACCACGCTGGCATTACGAGTGTGGACGTGCGGTTCAGCGGCGGCGGGGATGCAGCTGCGGCAGCGGCTTCCTCCGGAGGAGACAAATACGTCACCCCCGTGAACCACTACCACAGCAACTACGACAGCTACCACTGGGTGGAGAAATACGGCGACCCCGGCTTCGCGTACCACAAGACGATGGCGCAGATTCTCGGTCTGTTGGTGGCGCACCTGGCAACGGATCTAGTGGTGCCGTTCAATGCGGGCGACTACGCGGACGCGCTGCAGGCGTATGTGGACAAGGTCCGGTCGCAGTTTGAGAAGCACATTGCGCCGGAGGACGATGCGGCGGCCGACGCGGCGGTGGTCTACACGGACGAGGCCATGGCCGTGATCCGCGGCCGCAAGGTTGGCGCTGCTGCCGATGCTGCCGATGCTGCCGATGCTGCTCTCCATACCGCCAGCACCAATTCCGCCAGCTCAGACGACGCCGAAGGCCAGCACCAGTTCCGCCTTGCACTCGAACGCCTCGACAGCGCCGTTTCCGAGCTGGCGGCACTCGCCAAGGCGCTCGACGACAAGGCCGAGAGGCTGCGGGAGCGTGTCGGCAAGGGCGATTTCGACTCAGCCTCAGGGTCTGCGTCGGCGTCTGCGTCTGCGTCGCACGACGAGGCGGACGAGGCGGACGGCCGTCTGTCGCAGACGCTTGTGTTTGCGCCCAAGTGGTGGCGGCGGCTGGTACGGCGGGTGCATCGGGTGTGGCTGGCAATCCAGGTGGCCTGGGTCAACCGGCGGTACCAGTTCCTGGAACGCAAGTTTTTGTACGAGGGCGGGCTGGACGAGCGCACGTGGTTCAAGCACGTCGTCTTTGCACCGGGTGCGTGGACGGGCTATGCGGGCGAGGTGTTCCCTGGCCTCGTGGAGAGCATCGACGTAGGCAACTGGACGAATGCGGTGCGGTGGGCGGACATTGTGGAGGAGCGGCTGGCGGCAGCGGCCAAAGGTCTCCATTAGAGGCAGTCGAAAGAGGTGAAGACATTGCAATGCTTGGGGACGTGCTGAGCATCAGTGCCTTGGAACATTGGATACGATACTGCTGGCGCATTCATCATGGTCGTAGATGATATGCAAACAAATTGAATTATGGAATGGTATAAACTGTATAGCTGACAGAAAAAGTAAATAAGTCTAAGAAAACAATGAGAGAATCAAAGATGACCTTTGTCTCGAATGTTTCGTGATTATCAACGTAGGCGACCTCGCCAGCTTCACCCCCTTCACGTCAACGGGACTGTCGACTCAAATCTGCCTCATTCTCCGCGTCTTCACCGTCCAACCAGAGACTCTGCCGGCGTATCAGGCTCCCATGGACGGCGTTGGGTGTTGGTGCTGGCACCACTGCCACAGCCTGCTATTGTTGCTGAACGGCATAGTACTGCGCATTTGGGTCAACCGGCGCCGCGGTCACAGGGGCAGCGACGGGCGGCTGGGCATAGTACTGAGGCTGCTGCTGGACAGTCTGGGCCGGATACGGCGGCTGGGCCTGCTGCTCGTAGTAGACAGCAGGGTTGACCTGCTGCAGGGGCACGGCATTGCCGGCCGGAACACCGCTCGCCGCCCCGGCAGCGGCAGCGGCAGCGGCCTTCTCGGCATCGAGGTCGGCCGGGCCGTTTGGAGACGTCGCGGGCTGACCGGCGACGGAGTGGAGGCCGTGGCCGCGGTGCACGTGGAGGGCGAGGCCGTTGACGACGGTGGTGGCAATGTAGAGGAGGAAATTGAGGCCGCCCAGGCCGGCGGCGGCCGCCAGGCACTGGGCGTAGACGAGCGACTGGCCCTCGAGGCCGTAGTGGTAGCAGTAGCCGTAGGCGCAGTAGGTCCCGTTGCCCATAAAGGGTGCGACCTGGGAGGCGAGGAGGGCAAAGGACGCCAGCCAGAAGACGACCAGCAGGATGTCGAGGGGCAACACGGCCCAGTAGTTGTAGGCGGCCGGGGCGGCGAGGGTGGCGACGAGGACATAGATGCAGACGATGAGGGAGGCGATGACGGTGAAGATCATGAGCTCGTCACCGGAAAAGGAGAGGACAGACAGGCCGTAGGCGTCGAGGCCAAGGACGATGACGGTGACAAGCAGCTGGGCGAAGCGCAGGTAGAGAAAGTAGGCGGGGTAGACGGGGACGTGCTCGCGGCCGACGGGGCGCGCGGCAGAGTCGCCGCCGATGCCAAACATTTTGAGTGACGAGCGACGAGTGACGAGCGACGAGTGACGAGTGACGAGTGGTGGGTGACGGGTAGTGGGTGAGAGCCAAGCGGACGACAGGAGGAGGATGATCGACAGTTGTTCGGTGACAATGAGTAGATGATAGCGTAAAACGAAGAGAAGAAAATGGAAATGAGGGTCAAGTGACGATGGATATAAAGAGAGACCCGGGGGAGAGAAAAGAAGTAAAGAAAATGAAATAGGGGCGGCGAGAAAATCAAAAGAAGATGCTGTGAAGCCAATACAGACAGGGTCCAGACGCGATAGGACAGGGACACACCACCCTTTTTGTAACAGGAGCAAAGCAGATAGCTGGAACAGATTCAGCCGCATCAAAGAGACACGAGAATAATAATACTGAAAAGGGACGCGCGCAGGGGTCGGCAAACGAACAGAAGAAGAAAGTAAACACCAAACCCACTCCGAGGCTAACTACTTTGCACAAATCGACTTGCACAACGATGCACCATCCCGCGCCGCCACACCCACAAGACCGAGTGGCCGACGGCGAGCTGGAGCGAGAACACCAGGAGCCTGGCGGTTACAGGCATAAGTGACCACATGGAAGACATTTGCGGGAACACCTCTGAATACGTACAATACTGTGCTATCAGCAGCCAAGCGGAGTCTGAATGCAGGCAACACAAGAAAGGCAGAAAAGACGTTGCAGAGATGAAAAGAGAACGTCAGCCAAGAACCGGTCGACGAGGCCGATCGCCATCGAGAAAACGAGGCTGAAAAGCTTGTCTCTCTTGGCTGCAGGAGAGAGACACGAGGATGCAAAGGGAGAGAAGAAAAGCGCCTAGAGACAGCCCACCACAACCCTCCATAACCCACCACAAACTAACTGAACACAAGTGTGAGAGTCCCCATACGGCCGCCAAGTCTGCCTTGCCCTGGTGGAGCGTGGAGGCTAGCGAGTGTCGAGGGTCTTGTGTCTTTGTACGTCGTAATTACGTCTTACACAAGGGACTCCCGTAACCTTCATAGGGTTAAAACCAAGACGCCGTACAATTGTGCCAAAGAGTCCCAGACTGCAGAGTGCATGCCATGTTGCTGCCCGGGACGCAGCGTCTTGAATGCAGCCGTTGCAATCTCTCTTTCCGCTTGGTCTTCTCCAAACGGGTGACTGGAGATGAAAAGACGACTGACACAGAGGAAACAGCCAATAAATGCAAGGGGACGATAATCCTCCAACCAGTCAAGTTCCCAGATTTAGCGAGGAAGATGACAGTCCAAGTGGAGAACCAGGGCGTGTTGGAAGCTAAACCAGAATGAAAACGGGTACGGAACACTCCGTACGGAACCCAGGGATGCGACTGAAATGAAAGGTCGTGCAAGGGCAAACAAGTCGGCCAGAGAGGCCGAAGCAATTTACGATGTATGGAGGCGTCCCCTGTACATCGTACAAGACCTGACAGCACACAGATAGCTGCAGACACAGCCACAAAGTACGGGAGAAAACCCGTGTGTGATTTGTCGAGGAACGATATGTCGAGAAAACGTACATCGTAGGTGCAAAGACTCGTGCATGAATTGTGGCGTTTTCCGAAATCTGAGCATCTGTGCAGACAGTCTCTGGAAGGGACTCGGCACTGGTTGGTCACAATGGGAGAACATCGCATTGCCTGCCCGAGAATTGACCCACCGCAAGGAGGGACGGTCTAGTCTAGGCGGTCTGGGCCTTCCCGCAGAGGGTGATCCCTTCTGGTTTCGACAGCCTGGATGAACCGCGGAAAGAGCCCGCGCCCAGTTGTTCTTCCGCCGCAGCTCCCTGGTACAAATATATTTTCGATGTAATGACGGCGAGGAAACGTGGAAAGCAACGACGACAACAGTGGCCTTGTGTTGTCATGTTGTCCAAGGAGTCTGAACGACAGCGTGACAAAAGCAACTTTTCCCGAACGTGAATATCACGAGGTGCATCCCCAAGCTTTTGATGAAGCGATGGAAGTGGCGATTTCCGTCACAGAAAGACTGATGAAAAAAAAGAGGTAATGATGGATGGAAGCTGCTGATTTGCTCGAGACTTTGCCTCTCGAAACAGACGCATTGACCATGCTCTAGGAAGAACCGCGTCAAGCTGCTCCTATTGCGGGGAGAAGAAAAGCCAAAAAAAAAAAAAAAAAAAAAAAAAAAAAAAAAAAAGAATAAGAATGGAAAACGAGAAATCAAACCGGCCGGGAAATTGCAACCTAGGTGACAAGGATTGCCATCCTCGGGTGACAAGAAGAGACAAGAGACTGCACAATGACTCGACAGGAGAGCATATCAGAACGGTAAACAAGAATCCAATCAGGCCAAAAGGGGTGGGGGAGGGGGGAAGAAAAGAACAAAATAAAGGTCTGCCCCTTCTGCCCTTAGCGCTGCGGCTGTGCAACGATTTATGCACAATGGCGTTTTGCTACAGGTCATAAGTGCAGTGTTCTGCAAGCCACATCGGACCCGTTCTTGGTGTTCGGCATACGGGAGATCGAAAAGCTGGCAGTTGGTAGTTTCGTAATGACGATGCTGGTGGTGATGGTTGGACCGAGTGCAAAAGTCGTCCACTGAACACGTAACGCGGGCGAGATACAACTGCCATAGAGTGCCCAGACGCCCAGACGCCAAGAAAGCTTATCCGTTAGGACGGCCAGAACTTGGCTTTCGCAAAACACCTCTCGTATCCACTACCAGAACACCGAAGAGGTTTCTGTTCAACTGTACTCCGTAAATGCCGTGCATTATCCAGCCAATGCTACGGTAGCCTTCTTCGGCGAGGCGCACCTGGAGAGGGACGAGAGCCTTGGGTCGGTATATCTGCTCAGCGCGGTTCAGCCTCGCGTGATTCAGCCTGTCTTTGAAGGTCAGAAGGACACCACCCAATCAATGTCGAAGTGACAAATACTGGCAGACTACCAATGCTCACCTTTCGCTGCCAAGAGGGGGGAGTTGTTAACATGCAACATCCAAAAGACAAAGCTAAGAGACATTATTGTATTTTTGATGTAGGCCGTTGTATGACAACCCACCGTCCTCTCCTCATATCTGCACAAAAAGTATCCAAGACAGCCCCAATGTCATGCTTCTGCTTGCTGATGCTATAATCGATAAACGAGGAAGGAGAAAAAAGTACAAAGTACATGCGAAAAAAAAAAAAAAACACCAATGCAAAAATATGTGAAAAACATCACCCGTTATCAACAAACATGCAACTCAAATAAAAAGGGGAGCGAACATATGTACCAGGAAAAGACAAAAAGATAGGTGGGGCGAGAAGGGTAAACAACCAGTAGGACAAGGGTCATAGAGGCTGCGATCATGGCAATTGGGTATCAAATGAGACCAAAAAAGAAAAAAAAAAACGAAAATGTTCATGGTTGGCAAGTCAAGTCGGACCGTTCGAACGGAGAGCAAGAGCGAGGTCGTAACACGATGGTGGTCATCTTCTGGCAATGGGGGATAGGTGCGCTGTTCTCGTGTCCTTTACGAAAAGTCGTCGTTGCCTTCGCCGAGCACAAGACGGTCAATCCGCTTGACCAGCTCCTTGGTCTCGCGCGCAATCTCAAACGCCACCGGAGGCAGCGACGTCGTCCACGACCGCATGTCCATCTTGCGCCCGCCGCTCGCCTCCGTTGCCCGCATCGACTCGCCCCGGTCGCCCGCTTCCACCAGCCGCTGCCGGCAGCTCACCAGCTTGTCGAGCGAAGGCCCGCCGTTGCCGCTGGCTTCTGTCTCGGCAATCACTTTCCCGACGATATCGGCAATCTCGTTGATCTGCTGCGTAATCTGCTGCACACCCGCCTCGCTGCGGATCGACCCGACCATGTCCTGGATGATCTGCACCATCACCGCTGTCTGGTCGTCAAGCAGCGCCTTGAGATCCTCGGTGCGCTGGCCGGCGCGGCCCGATCCGCTGCCGCCAAAGCCACTGCCAACGAGGTCGTTATCGTTGCCGCCAGGCGCCGAGGGAAGGTTCTTGTTGATGCCGAGGTAGTTGCCGTTCATCCCGTTCATCCCGTTCATCCCGTTCATCCCGCTGGCACCGCCCATTATACCATTCGGCGCGCCACGCGACATGGAGCGCCGGCCGCCGTTGGCATAGCTGCCGAACCGGTCAACCGACTGCCGCGGCGAGCTTACCGGGCTGTATGCAGACGAGTCTGCGCTGTCGCGCACGCCACCCAGACCCTGGAAGGGTGGCGGCGGAGGTAGCGAGTTTTGCGTTGTCGTCGACGACAGCGTCGTGGCCGTTGTTTGGCCGCCGTTGCTGCGCGGTGAGAAGTAGCTGGCGTTGGACTCGACGGGCGTCAGAGAGCCGTTGTCGTCGTCCATCATTGACATGGACATGGTGGTTGACATATTGTTGTCGTCGTCCTCCAGCTCGCCCGCCGGCGTTGTGCGGACTTTGACCACCCGCAGGAGCTCGACCACGGCCGCCACCAGGTGTGATGCCGCCGCATCGAGCAGCGACACGGGCGACAAGCCAGCGGACATGGCAAAGTTCTTCGCCGCCGTGATCAGGTTGTTGGCTGTGCCCGACACGCGCGTCTTCAGCTTCGCCTGCTGTTGCTGCGTCGCATCCTCGTCTTGGCCCAGCGGCGCTGGCGCGTCGTCCAAGTCCTTGGTGATGCGGCGCACCGCCACAACAACGGCCTTCATGGAGTCGATCGTCCGCTCGGGCTCCTCGAGGCGAGCCCGCCGTAGCAGTTCATCAATCGCCATCTGGAATTTTGTGACGTGCACGTCCTTGATAAGGCCGCCGTCGGTCGTGAAGCCCTTCTCGCGCATGTACCGACCAGCGTCCTCCTGCTGCATGCCCAGGCCGGTGGACGAGCCGCGCAGCGTTCGCAGCTGTGTCTTGGCCCGTGCGTACCGGTTGCGCCAATCACGCACCTCCGCCTCGAGCGATGCAATTGTCTTCTCCAGGTCGGCGTGCTTCTCCCATGTCGTGCCGCTCTTTTGGGAAAGCATGCGCATCTCGTTCAGGAACCGCTCGGCTTCGCCGCGCACTTCCTCGGTGACTTGCTGCTGCTCGCGCAGTTGCTGTCGCAGGTCCTCGTTTTCGCGCAGCAAGTCGTCGTTGCCACCCCGGCTCGAGTTGCCGTTGCTGTTGTTGCGTGCACTCTCTGCGAGGGATTGCCGCAAATCGTCAATCTGGGCGCGCAGCTGGCGCTCCTCAGCTGCGTGGTCGTTGCGCATCCGGTCCATGTCCTGCTGTAGCGATTCTGCGAGACTGGCCGAGTCTGCCAGCTGGTTCTCGAGATCACGCCGCGCGTTCGACCACTCCTGCTTCTCGACATTGCTGGCAGACGCGCGTGTGCGCTCAGCGTCGAGTATCGCATCCATCTCCACCTTGTTCTTCTTCATGTCCGACTCCATGGCCGCCATCTGGTTTCGTAAATCTTTTATTTGTGCTTCGTACTCAATAATCAATTGCTTGTTTTTCTGCAAAATAAACGTCAGTGTCAATCGACAATAAAGAATGCCTCGGAAAAAAAAAAAAAAAAAAAAAACTTACCTCCGTCTGTAATGCGTTCTCGGCGCCGCTGTTCATTTGCCTCTGCACACCGTAGTCGTCGCCGTTCAGGTTGCCACCGCCCATAGGGTTCATCATGGGGTCATCGTCTTCCTCAACCATAGTGCTCTTATTTGGCACAATCGTGTTGCTTTGTGATTGCTTTTGCATTGGTCGGTCATAGTTGTTGGGTGGCAGGCCGGGCGATGGCGGTACGGAGCTGTTCCCAAGGCCGCCGGGACCCAGTCCCAGACCATTCACGCCAACGCCGCTGCGCATCGAGCGAACGGAACCAGCTTCGGACGGTCGCCGCCGACTCTGATTGCGTGGCGGGAAGCCATTCATGCCGCCGTTGACTGGAGTCTGGGCGCGACTTGATGGTCGCATCGATCCGGCCGGGCTGCCCATGCGCGGGATGTCGCCGCCGGTAAAGCGCGGGATTCGTCGCTCCAGCTCGCAGAACACGTCGGTCGCAAGGTCGCGGAAGCGTGGTGGGCCAAGCGACGCAAGCTTTTGGCGGGCCTGATTGCGTTTTGGGTGGAACGAGTCTTCGGGCAAGAGATAGCTGGGCGGGCCACCGGGGCCCTGCGGGCCGCCATTGTTTTGGCGGCGGCTGACCGCTTGCCGGCGCATGAGTTCGTCGTAGACATCGGTGCTGAGCTCGAGGAACTGCACAGACGTCAGGCGTTGCAGCTTGTCGCGTGCTTTGTTGGCGGGCGGTGCGGCCTTGCCGTCGCGCGACGTCTGGGCGAGAAAGCGCTTGAGGGCAATGTAGTGCTCGCCGAGCACAGCGTCCGTGGCCTCTTCGCGCTGGCTGCGGCCGCTTTCGCTGCGGGCGTACATGCTGGGGCCGGCGCTGGAGCGGCCGATGGAGGGTGGTGGTGAGGGCCCGCCGTTGCCATTGCGCGGGCCCGTGGGAAAACCGGAGTTCATAGGGCTTGGGAGGGAGCCACCAGAGTTGGGTGGTGAAATGAGTTGGCCACGATTGTTGCCGTAGGGGTCGTCCTTGTCCATTGGATAACCGTTTGGCCAGTCACTATCGCCTATAGATACGGGTGATAGTGGTGCATTTCGGCCATTCATGCTTTAGATGTGCGCGGACGTGGCAGGACGACAAGCCGTCCAGTCGCTGAGTTTGAGTTTGTCGTGAGTGTCGTCGCGCCCGTAGTCCTCCCCCGATCAGTCTCGTGCGTTGGCGCGTTGATGTCCTCTCCAGGCCGCAATCGTGACTTCGAAAAATGAAATGGGTGGCTTCTCACGTTCGGTCGAGGTCGGTCTGTTTCGAGATGGAGTCGGCTCGTGTCGACGCCAGTCGAAATCGGCAGCTATCCAAGGGAAAAGGAAAAAGGAGCACTGGTCGTCGCCTTTGAATTCGTCTCTAGCGAATTTGTTGTTATTTTCGATTCTGCGGCGGGATTCTGCCTCTCGTCCTCGTCTGTCGTCAGTCGCTGCCTCGTCGTCGGAAAAGGACTTCGACTTCTGCGCGTTCCGTCGTCGTTCCTCGATTCAAAAGAAAATGGCCTCTGCCCAGTCGTATGGTTCGTCGTTTGCTTCCTTGCGGTGTTTTGCAAGTCGTTTTCGGCGTCGGATGGCGACAGGAGATGAAATGAACAGAAAGGGCAAAAAGGGGTTCTGGCGCACGGAATGGAGGGAGACGAAGACACCAAAATGAGCGAGAGCGACCGAGACCCAAAGTAATGGGGCAGGTACGGAGTAGAATGGAGTAAATAGAATGGGCGCTAGGAGGGTGGAGTACTTGCGAAAGGGGGACGAACAACAGCAAAAGGGGGGTCACATAAAATGGAGGAAACAGCAGGAGCGTCTCGTGGTGAGAGGGGGAAAGAGAGAGAGCGACAGAGAAAAAACGGCAAGAGCCAGCTTGGTGCAAGTACACGGCCGATCGTGCCACAATAGGGGTTGGAAGAAGTAGTAGGAGCATAAGAATGTCGAGAAGGGATACGGAGTAGGGAAGGAGCAGCCCAGACATCAAAGCAGTGACCCAACAGGGTCAAGTTAAGCAAAGAAGGTGCGGATGGCCATGCACATGTTACGGAAAGGACAGCATCATGGCACGAGGCAAGGACGAGGGCCAGGGCATGGGCTCAGAGGGGCTAACAAGAAAGGGCCCAGAGAGACTTTGGAAGAAAATCCGCGACACAGACGACGGGCGATGCTGAAACGTCACACTGGTAAGGGCCGGCAGAAAGATATTCTCGGAAGGGGGCGTGTGGGAACGAACCAGCCAACAAGAATCTAGGGGGGCAAGGGCACAAAGCGGTTGAGACAGAAAAGATGAAATAGAGGCAGAATGGGAAGAACGACGCAATAGCAGCGAATCCAAGAGCAGGAGCGATCTTGTGCGCGTGCGGATTCTCCGGCTTCGAGAAGGTGCGATCGGGCAGCGGACGGCCAACCGTCGTGGGCATTCAGTATGCATGCTAATGTGTGTTGTACGACATACAGAGTTATTGAGTAGAATGGGAAACTACGAATCGACGGAAAAGGAAGCCGGTAACAAAAGGAGAGAAAGTTCAAAGAAAGCGGAAGGAGGTTCTTGTTAGCTTTTGTGACAGGCGGAAGGTGCAACAAAGACATTGGCGCCATCGATGAAGACAGACATATGGGCACATGTCGCGGGCCGGCAGACAGCTGGATCTACACGTCTTTCCACGAACTTATCGCCATCGAATCTGCAATGCAATGGCGGTAAAAAATACTGACGTTAATTCCGGAAGCGATTCTTGTCTTGGCCCCTGTCGTTTGTCGCTGTTTTCGGTGCACTGCCAGCCTCCCCCTTCCCACCCTCCTATTCCCCTTGTTTTCCGCCCCTGGCCCCTTCCCCTTTCCGTGCATCGCCCACATCGACAGGCGACGCGGTCTAGACTGACGTTAGCCTCTTTTGGGACTGGCGTCCGTGATTTGCTACAGACAGCGACGAGCCAGTCCAATCGTGGCGCTGAGTGTCACCTCGATGCGCCAGGAACAGGAATTCGGCTGGATCCAATCACAATCAAACAGGCCGGTATATTATTGAGAGCAGACAGCAATTAAGGGTGGCGCGCGCTAAGGAGGCTGCAGAAGGCGCTGTCACAATTTCTAGGGGTATTGCTGGAGGCGAGCATGAGCAGAGAAAATGCAGGCACGACTGGCGTTCGTCGGGAACGCCCGGCCAGTTAAAATAGAAGGAGCTCATCGTCCACGGCAATAATCAGAGATGCATAAAACATCAGCCAGCTCATGGCCGGATGGAGTGATGGGACCTGGGCAAGAGGCGACCCAAGAAGCAAAAGAAGCATGGCAGTTTCTCCAGGGCCTGGGCACGAAAAATGCAGATCTGTTTTTGGATCTTGTTGCTGCTCGTGACGCGTTATCAATTGCTCCTGCCAGACTGGCCATCTTGCTTCCCCATCCCTTTGGTCACGACGGCCTCCCTCCTTCCCCGTTTTACTCTGACGGAGGCGCGTGCTTTCTCTACCGACAAGCAGCATTACCGCGCATGCTGCGCAATTGGAGCTACGACGCTCAGTAGTGGTGGTCGGCCCACCCCCTAACGGTCCGCCTATATTCCAGGGCCGGCGTTCTCCGCCAACGAAGGGAAAGAGCATTGAAAAGAGGCAATAGAGACATGCAATTTCCAGATGGCAGTAGCGACGCAAGCCTAATTTTAAAAATATCAACTACACACCCACACCGCCTTCCGGCCCGCCGAGCATCACGAATAAAAAGGTTAAATAAACACCGACGAGAGCAAAAAGCAAAAACGAAAAACGTTGATCGACCCAAAGTCGGAGGTTGACATACAAAGCACACGCCAGGGACGAGCCGCCGGCCGTTGCAGTTTATGAGAGAGTGGTCGTGATAGACGCCCCAGCACTCGAGTCGGCAAACGTCCGAGAATGTCTTATTGTCTTGCACTTGGCGTTGCAGTTATCGTTTGCTGCGAAGACGAACAGATGCTCCATCTCACTCCCTTATCGTCTTGTCGAGCTTTTGCAAGAACCTGGGCCGGGGACTGACCGTTTCGCGGGAGGATGAGCTCTTTCCTAATTTGTCGGCCCCGCTAATAGCGTGCGCAGCGCTTGCCGCCGGGAGATTGGCTGTGGAGGCCGCCACCAAAACACTCAATGTGTGTGAAATACAGGGGAGGGAAGGAGCAGGCTATTCCCACGCATATTGTCAAATCTCCCACCACGCATTTCTCGTCCATGTTGACAGGGTTGTTGATATTTTCGTCTAGGCCATTTTGTTTGTTGTGCTCCCCGTCGAATTGGAAATGAAATGGCACGGAGTCTCCCGTGTCCGGGGGCACGACCCGGTGATTCCCTGTACACAGAAGATGGGTCTCCCTGCGAAGCGCAGATGTTCGACTTGAAAGGGAAGCTTGCAAGGCTGTGCACATGGCCAACGAGTTACGCAGTACGGAGCAATACTCCGTATGCTGTGCAAATCAGGCGATGCTCGCAATGCCGGTGACTTGGGTAGGACTAGCAAGGTATCACGTGGCCGCCTTTTGTGGTACGACAGGGCGTCATTGCAGATCAGATGGGGTGATGATCCAAGAGGCGGTGGCATGTATCATTGTCAGCAACAATGGGAAAACGTATCCTGTGCTTCGAAGGCTGACAAAAGACCGAGGCGGCCTGTGGTCTGCGTTCATCCGACAGTGGAACTGTTGTCGCGTGGTCGCCCAGTAAGTTGACTTTGCACAGCCTTTTGCATGATGTACTATAATAGTTGCCGGGTTCAGGCTTCACGTCCGCCTCAAAGAAACATTCCACCGGCCTTCTTCGTCAAATACTGGGTTCCCCCTTTCTTGCCCATTGCTCAAGGCCCATTATCTGATTTTCGAAGAGCGGTTTCATCCGCGGTTTTCAAAAGACTTGGGATGGTTTGACTAGGCCTAGTTGTCCTCGCTGGATAAATCACAGTGATGATTGGAGATACCAACTTGGGAAACGTGTAATCACAGTAGAAAATTTTGATATCGACGGCAGTCATTGCTTTTCCCAGTTGCCATCAGAGGCCCGCACCTTTTCTAGCTTTCCCTTCCTAGCATTACTGCGTCCCACCGTCGCATATCCGATCATGCGTTGACGTGTTTGATGTGCACCGCGAACAAACGGCGCCCGGCACGCACCGTACAAGGGTAATATGGATGTATGGAGTACAAGGCACACAATTATTACAAGAGAGAAGCCAACTGGTGGACGCGGAATATTTATGTCTATTGTATTATGCTTGATATTTTGCGTATTTGTGTACCCTGCCCGTTTATCTTCGAATCGAGATACAGCATACTGACTTCTGGCCGAACGATTCTCAGCCGGCGACTCTTGGCCTTGACCTTGGCCGTGGCCTGGTGGCATCAGCGAATCAGCTCACTTTTGACACGGCATCTGCTCTTTGCGTAATATGGGGTAGCCGATTAGTAAAAAGCCTTCCACGAAAGCACCCCTGTGCCCTCCTTTCCATTGGCCTGCCGATGCTTTTGTGCTCTCGCTTTTCGACTCTCATTCCCCAGATCGATCGCCCGTTTCCGCTCATTGTTTCACAGTCGACCAAAAAAAAACCCAAGATTCCGGGGTATATACTGCATAGGTGCATATTCGATTGCGGCACGTGGGGCATATGCCATCATATAAGGTGCCAACACCAGTATGATGGGTGCATGACCGTGATGCAGCGTTTGATGCCAGGCGAATATAGACAGCGATGCCATTCCTACAACAGGGAATGTGACCTCTGTGGTGTGTTCTTTGCCAGCCGGTCTTTCTCATTAGGGAGAAAAGAACCGACTTGCCCTCAGAACCATGCCAGCGTCCAGGTGCTCGGCAGATTAGGCCAGCGTTCCTGCCACTCGCCCAGAATGTCAGGCACGCGCTCGTCAAAGCTCGACCGGCTGGCCGCCCCGCCCGTGTCAAAGACAGCCGCCCCAACTTTGTCGCGCTCCTCGGCCGCCGCGCGGTTGAGCGCCGTCGCCAGGTCGAGGATGCCGCGACCGCCCAGCGCGGCCTCTTCGTGGTTGTCGCGAATGTCGACGTTGATCACATGCACCGGGCGGTTGAGCGGCGAGCCGCGGTTGAGCAGATCGTCGACCACGGCGTCCCAGCAGCGCTCCTCGCAGGTGATGACGACGTCGACGACGCCGCCCTCGGACCCGACACTGCCCATGTCCGACGTGTGCTCGGTGCGCGGCAGGCCGACCTGCCAGTCCTGCCAACGCTCTGGCCCCCACTTGATACCGCGGTTGCGGTTGATCATGTTGAGGACGCCGTTGGCGCGGTAGAGGCGTACGTCTTTAGACTCGAGTTCGCGGAAGATGCTGTCGTAGGAGGTTTTGTTGAACTGGTAGACGTTGGGCTGGGTGATGGTCGGGCCGGGCAGGCGCACAAGGGAACCCGTGCCGAACGAGATGACGGGGAACCCGGCCTCGGCGAGACGGAGATGGGCCTCCATAGATCTACAGGTGGAGGGCGCAAAGGCCGAGTATTAGGTCGTCGGGTCCAATAAGATGACTGGCAAAAGAAGGAAAAGCAAGAAGAAAGGAAATAAACCGCATCACACAACATGTGCACAACATGCAAGCAGCTCTCGTCTATGGTCCCTTCCTCCTCTTCGCATTACAGACATATCCCGCAGCATCAGTCACTCTACGTAGGCGTGCAGGTAACGAGTGTACCAGACACGATGGTCTGGTGAAAGAAAGGTTACGCACCGGTTCTGGTTGCTCGCGCACACAGTGCAGAACTTGAGCCTGAAGCCAGCCTTGTCCTCTACTGCAGGAGCCTCGGACGAAGGCGCAGGCACGGCCACGTCTGTTCCGTTGGTTGCCGCCATGGCTTGTCACTCGATGCGGTCAATGGGTCGGTTTGGTGGCGTTGGAATCAGTCGAGATGGTCGGAACCTGTCAAGGCAGCGAGTTAGCAATGGGTTCAGACGCACACAGACACGTCGCGTGTCACCTCACAGATCCCCTTTTGCTTCCGCTGTTGCTGCTGCTGCTGCTGCTGCTGCTGCTGCTGCTGCTGCTGATGCCTCTGCTAAGATCAGATATAAGTTGCGTAATTAATGAAAAAGTCATCAAGAAAATCAGACAGCTCCAATATGTATAATATCATCATGTAGGCAGGACAAAGCAGCAACAGTAGAGCGAGGTCGCAGAGCGGAGCTCATCTCATCTTACCTTTTGGAAAGCTGGTCGCTCGATCGTTGGCCGTTGACGTTCACGCGTGCACAGGGCGCGCTTCGATTTGGTCTGTTCGTTTTGCGGTGTGTCCCTTGTCTTCGTCTCTCGAGAACACGCAGAACTGCTCTCACGTCAGAGCAACATCCGACAGGCCAAACACCACCGAGCGCTGCCGCATCTGCGAGGCGTAGACAGTGTGCATAGGCAGAGGGAGAAGCAAAAGCATGTCGGCACCGCGGGGATGTGCCGGGAGCTCAGGTCTCAATGCGAGGTGGTGAGGTGGTGAGGCGGTGTTTGGTTTTGCTTTGTGACAAGGGACAAATTCTGTGGATTTTGTTTGAAAACGGCCGTCCAGGTTTTCGTGCTTGCAGCTTTAGTTTCGGCCAATCACAGGGAAATATAGAGTGGATCCACAATGGAGGTCCCCATTTGTTGTCAAGAAACGATCTGGCACTTTGCGCACAGTGCACAGTCGCACCTTCTGCTACTTTGTAAATGTCGGACAGCGTCCACCCTCCACGACGCAACAAGCGCCTCGTTGCTTCTGAAACACCTAAAAGGCCGCCCTGCAGGAAAGTGTGCAGATACCCGCAGATGCCCGCAGATTCACGCCGACAGCCTGCACACTGGCTGCAGATGGCTCTCAGTGTCTGCGTCGAGAACGCAACGAACCAGCCAGCCACACACAGGACAGGTGGAACTGGAGAGCACGACATGGGCTCAGGTCACATTCGTTCCCGAAATAGAACAGGAGCAGAGGAGAACCGAGGAGAACAAAGAGCGAGAGGGGAAGCACGAGAGAGAATTACAGCGAGCGGCATAACGAAACAAGGAAAACGAAAAGACAATAGACAAAATAGAGGACCTGCAAAACAGAATGGAAGTCAGCGAACACTCGTCCCTTGCCGAACATGCGGATGAAATGACTGCGTTGTGGCCTGAAGTTTGTATCCTACCGTACGTTGGCAACCGTCAGTCACCCGAGCAAGGTTGAGCTCAGCTCACCGCTGGCCGACACTGGAATATTATTTTCCCTACTATTATCTCTGTGTCCGGACACATACGCCACAAACCATGACCTGTTGGCACGATTGCTCAAAGGTGGTGGTGTTATTGTTGTTTTTATTCCGCATCCCTGTCGATATGTCCTGGGAGATGGTCTGCCTGGCCGTCTTTGTGGCCGCCTTCCTGGCCGCTGGGACAGCCTCCAAGACGGCACGTTGAGTACGAGCGCTGTACTTGAGCGGAAGTTGGGATACTTGCAAGTTGCATTGTCCTCTTGAGCGCCTGTTTCGTCCTACGAGGCAACGATATCGTGATACCGCGACCACGACCAATGTCGAAGCCTGACAGGCAACACCTTTTTCGTACCCATAGCGGCTCAGGAGGGACGTCGATGTAATTTCAAAGCAGTGTATCAAGTCTTCAACGATGGCAATGGTGTCTACTGTTGAGAGCAATGCAATCGTCATCAGATTTGGCGCTCTCCAGTTACGCTTCTTCGTCTGTTGCTGTTGCTTCATCTTTTGTCTAGAAACAAAAGGACAACAGACGACAACAGCTGATTTCGCCGCATGGTAAACAAACAGCTGCCCAAGTGGTCAAGACATCCGCAGAGCAGTAGACCCTGGCACAGACGATCCCCGCCTGGCACTCCGTGTCATATTAAAATCCCAGTACGCCCTATCTCACTGTGAGGCGCTAGCATCTGTGCGCAGACCCTCGACAATAGCAAAGTATCCACCGCACCGCCCATGAGACAGCCTAATATATGTCAGTGGAGGCAGCTGTGGTGGTTTGCCTGTGACGCTCGCATCCGTTCTTCAGCGGCGCTGGTCTTTGCTGTTGTTACCATTTTTGGCTTGTTTGGGATACGCTGTCGTCTGGATCCTGCCAGCTTGCCTCCTGTTGCTCGCCATTTCCTGTTGACGCCTGGGCTCTGGAGCGCTGTGACGATGTTGTGTTTTTTGCGCTCTGGTGCGCTCTGGTGCGCTCTGTTGCTCCGTCTTTCCTTCCATCCTTCACTGGCGCCGACTCTCAGCCGCCACTGCACCTTCCCACTTCGCATCTGCCATTCTCTCCTAGTCGGCCTGGCCCCGCGCGCTTAGCACCCAGGTATCTTAGCACCCCAGACAACGAGCAGCTACTAAGAACAGAAGCTACTACCGCCAAAAACAGCCCGTCTTCATTGTACGGTCGTGGCTGGTGTCCCGTTTGTTCCTGCTCTTTTTCCCTGGTCGTTCTTTCCAAACAATCCTCGCCCACATCTTCCGTCCTTTCCTCCTTCGCTCTTGCTCTTGTCAACGACGTCGTAACTTGTCGGTCGGCGAGAACCTCCCTTCATCTTAGCCCCTTTCTCCTCTCTCCTTACTGCCGTTTTCTCTGCGTGCGTCCTCGCTTGTTTACCTCTTTTCTCTGCCCCATCTTGTCTCGGTTTTCTCAGCGCACACATCCAGCGGTTTCAACACTCACGGCTGCTCCTCTCGCGACTCTCTTTCTACCACTTCTTCCGTTTTGCCGCCAAAGGGCTTTGGTTGCGCCGCCTTCGTCCGCCGCCGTGTTTGGCCCTATTTTTCCACCGCTGCGATACTCGCTACTGTTTCTATCCTCGACAATCATCGACAAGTCACCGAACTCGAATCCGGCCTCGACTCGACGTGGACGTCGATCGCGGCATCACTGTCGTCGCCCTCTCCCCTACGAAGCTTTATTGTTTTACTACAATTACACGAACGCTTGCGTCGCTCAGGCCGGGAACAAATTGCACATTGCCCTTCGCCCCAGTTTTGCATCGCGTCGTGGCTGGGCGCAATCGGTATATTGTCTCCAACTCACGAAACACCACGCGTCCGCGGGTCCCTTGATTTGGTCTATTCTTAGACCACATGCGCACATCTGAATCATTCCCATCATCCACAACGAATGCATCCTCCCTCTTTAGAGTCGCTTTCTGGCCTTCCACGATCTACTGTCCATCGCGGCCCCGACCGCCTCGTTTATCTCGACCCTCCCTACATTCCGCTCTGAGACATCCTCTACTTGGACATCTTCTCGGTTCACTCTCGCATCTCCGTACTTGGGACAGCGGACGCAGCCGAGTCGTCCGACTACAAACACGACCAACGGGGCCGAAGGGAGACAGGTAGACGCTCTAGTCGCTAGCGAGTCTATGCCAGCTGCTTTCGACCCAAGCCGTATTCCAATCATCACCTTCGTCTCCGACAAAAAAAGACACGAGAGAAGGTATCCTCTCCTTGCGGTGGCAATTCTTGTTCCTGCCCTGCATCAAGGGTCGCCAGCTAGCCTTGGTTAGGTTAACGATCGAAACCCCGAAGCAGTGACTGGGGCGCTATTCGAGAGAAGGGTCCACATCCACCACGCACGCCAACAACGAGCGCCCCTCCATTTGTCTCTGGCTCTGCATCTTCATCTGCGACGTACATCTCCACGCTTTTCGCCCTTTCGCCTTTCCCCCTCGGTGTCTTTTACCATTTCGCCCCTTGCCAGTCAAACAGGATAAACTAGCGAGCCGGAAAGCCCTCGTGTCTGTTTTAGCGAATTTGCTCTACGCCCGCTTGCAGCATATGGCACTTGCATGCGGTACCTGCCCATAATCGCGTTCTAAAAAAAAAGATAGCGCCAGGCCCCTCACCCCCTCTCTCCCCCTTTCCCACTACGCGCGCTCCTCTAATAGAACGACGAATCGCATACTGGCGCACGCCTTTTGCGCTTCGTCCACCTGTCCCACACTGTTGGACTTGTCGACTTCTTTTGATTTTTGATGATGGCAGCGATTGTATCAGAAACGCCGTCCTCGTCCTCCCCAGCAACGTCGCCGCCGGCAGCCGCACCCACGAGCGTCAACCCCCCCAACAACCCGTCTTCCCCACCGTTCCATAATCCAAACCATCCTGCGCTGCCACCACTTGTCACATCTCCGCCTCCGCCGGCGCGCCGAACCAACCTGTCACGGCCAATGTCGCACGCTTCGAAGAACCGCCTGTCGCAATACTCTACAGGCTCGATTCCCCCACGGTCACGCCCAGCATCCCACGTCTTCCCCATCTACCCGTCCAGTCTCCCATACACACTGGTCCGAGATTTCGCATATGCCTCCTCCAACCCGTTGCACTATGGCCCACCGCCAGAACCGTCGCGGCCGCCGTCCGTTCTGTTGACGCCGTCAATAGACGCACAGTCGCAACGGCGCCTCTCCGATCCGCCTGTGTTCTGGGACTCCAAAGGCGGGTCTGGCTGGGAGACGGGCTCATGGACCAGCGACTCGTTCCGACGCGCAACAGACATTCCCCCAATTCTCCTGGCCGACGGACCGCCGTGGAGCGAGGACGAAGACCTGCAGAGCCCTGTGGTCAGCTCACGACATCGGAAGCACAAGTCCACGTCGGGTGCATATGGGCACGGGCACAGCCGATCCCGGGCTTCGCGTGATGAGTACGCCGAGAGTTCCGGTAATGGCGTTGGCCCTGGCGTGGACGGTGCGTCTCACGGTCACGGCCTGGGGGCCGCTGGTGGCGACCACGACTCGGCTGTCCTGAATCCGGACAACTACGACCGCGAACGGGGCTACTATGTGGGCACAAGCGGCGATGGAAGTGAGCGGTACTATGTGAACCAAGAAGGCGACGAAGCCAATGGGCCGGGCGGCGAATTTGTTACATACCCCCCGGACCAAGCACGGCATTCCACAAACGCCTACCAACTACGACCACCCAACAACTACGGCGCGTACCGGCCGACCTCCGACGCCTCGAGCCCCATCTCGTCGCCCGACTACCGGGAAGACGACCAGTCGCGCTACTCCCGCGACTACCAATTTACAATTACCTCGCCCGACGAAGAGATGCACGGCAAAGCCGTCGCGCTCTTCGACTTTGCCCGCGAAAACGAAAACGAGCTGCCGCTCGTCGAGGGCCAGATCATCTGGGTGTCGTACCGGCACGGACAGGGTTGGCTAGTGGCCATGGACCCCAAGACGCAGGAGAGCGGCCTTGTTCCCGAAGAATACGTGCGCCTCCTGCGGGACATTGAGGGCGGCATGACTAGCTTGACAGGCCAGGTGGTCGTGACGGCCGATGGAGGCGGCGCGGCCAGCCCCAACGACGGGGGCACGCCGACACAGGCCGAGCACCACCACGGGCAGGGCCCCGGTTTTAGTGGCGGCCACACCCCGACGCCGAGCAATGTCACAAACGGATACCATCAGCCGATCGTATCGACATTTTCGACGTCCAGCAAAGACCTCGACCCCTACCCACAGCACCTTCTAGGCACCCAGGCCGGCCAGACGCCGCCGCAGGTCATCCATTACCACGGCCAGCGCGGTGGGTCGCAGGCGAACACCCCCACGCTGCTCAACCACCAGGATGTGGGCATGATGCGGCGCGGCAGCCAAGACGTGCCTACCAAAAAAAGCGGCGATGGACATGTCCCTTCGACGCTCGGATCGCTGCCAGACGATACCGCTGAAGAAACGGCCGAGACGGCGACGAAATTAGCAAACACGGCGGCGGCCGGCAGTGAAGAGTAGCCCCGGAGCACATGCCTATATATACTCTTTGTCTTCTTCATGCCTTTTTACACGAGGTCTCGCGCCCCCATTGCGTGCTATTTATAACTTCGCGATCTATTGTCCTCCCATATATTTTGTATACTAGCATCATTGTGTGTTTGGCCACCCACGTTCTACTGTCATGTCATTTTTTTTCTGCTGATATCCTGCGCGGCAGTTGGGGTGTTTTGTATTTAGGGAGGGGGTGGACCGGCCCGCCTACATTTGAGTAGATGTTGTTGTCCGGACACCTGCCGCGTTTTTGTTTCTGTGTCCTTGTCTCTTGTTATGACGACTGCTTTGCAACTTGTTCCGAGGGCAGTCGTTCCATGTCGGCGTTTTTCTCTGTTTCGCCGGTTTTATCGATTTGTTTTATTGCGTCACTGTTACGTCTTATTGCATGTCATTCCATGATACGTTCGGGACACTGGCACTGGAGGAGAACAGGGGCAAAACAACGGGGCTTCTTTTCACACAAAGACTGATTTTATATTGTGATATTTTTACGCTGTGTTTTTGGATGTCCTTTTACATATTCCAGATCCCAAGCCGATTGTCCGACCAAAGAAAGTGTCACGTGTGTCGGTTGATAACGCCATACGTGCGGCCGTTGTGCAAAGCTCTCCAAGTCTCCGTTTGTTTTTGGTGTCCTTATTTGCCGCAACTGTTCGTCCACTTTCGGCCGTATTATTTTGCTTCATAATGTCAGCAGCCGACAGCCGGCCGGGCCTCGTTTTCTGGGTCATCATTTTAGCATGTCTGAAGCTTGGATAATAGTGTTAACGGCCGTAGGGCATGGCTTAGGGGCAATGGAGATTCCTGGCGCCGGAGTTAATGAAGAGAATGTCAACTTTCATGGTAAAACTACAGAAGTACCCCAGCCACAACTGGCACATGTATGTCGTAGTTCTAGTGAGGATTCAATACCACAATGTAAATAAAGCATTGGTCTCGGAAAGTACAGCGGACAAGCCACAATGCTTCCAATTCAAGTGTTTGTACGAAGTAAAGACCGTAAAGACCGCGGGTTTTGTGAGCGTTTGGTAGCGCTGATGGTCGCGGATCCGAACGTTTTGGGGGCGCTTTAGTGGACGCTCGAAGCAAGCAAGAACTACTTCCTAGGCGCAATGGCCTGCGGCCGTTCCGTCCCACTTCTCCGTTTTTTCCGGCTTGCCTTGAGCTTCCCTTTTCCTATTTCTTTTTCTTTTTCCCTTCCTCGCCCTGCCTCTCTCCACGCATAATCGACATCACCAACCCCTTTGCTCGTTCCTTTCTCTCCTCCTACCCAGACACAATGTTTGCTCGCGCGGCTACCCGCACCTTCCAGGTGGCCTCGTCACCGCTCAAGCAGGTAAGGCAAAGCTAACAACGGTGAAAAGCACAGATCCCCTCGAAAAGGAATCTGACGTCAGACAAGTGCTGCGACGCAGAGTCTGTATCCAGCTGCCGACCTCCTACACAAGGCAACGGGCAAGCCACAAGAAGGAGACAGTGGTCAATTGAGGCTTGCAGCTGTGCATGCGTGCAGCGAGACCTTCTGGAAAGCTCATCCGGCCGTCTGTCTTTTCCGTTTACTAACCACGCGATTTTCCACCCTCTGTAGACGACCCGTCGCTACGCAACGACGCCCGGCGGCGGCAGCAACAACACGGTCGTGCTTGCGGGCGCAGCGCTGGCCATTGGCGCCGGGGCGTACTACATCCTGTCGACGACAACCGGCACGACGCCCGCGAAGAAGGCCGAGGCGGCTACGGACAAGGCGGCCGATGTCGTCGGTGCGGCCAAGCAGGCGGCCAAGGAGGCCTTCCGGGGCGGCGACCAGGGCTTCGTGCCGCTGACGGTCGAGAGCGTCGACGTGGTCAACCACAACACCAAGCTCGTGCGCTTCAAGCTGCCCGAGCCGGACCAGATCGCGGGCATGCACGCTGCCAGCGCCCTGCTGACAAAGTTCAAGCCCGAGGGCGCCGAGAAGGCCATCATCCGCCCCTACACGGCCGTCAGCGACGCCGACGCGCAGGGCCACCTGGACCTGCTCGTGAAGCGGTACGAGGGCGGCAAGATGTCGCCGCACATCCACAGCCTGGCGCCGGGCGACACGCTGGACTTCAAGGGGCCGATTGTCAAGTACAAGTGGGCGCCCAACAAGCACGAGCAGATTGGGCTCGTGGCGGGCGGCACGGGCATCACGCCCATGTACCAGCTGATCAAGGCGGTGCTGCGGAACGCCGACGAGGACAAGACCAAGATCACGCTCGTGTACGGCAACATTGCCGAGGAGGACATTCTGCTGCACAAGGAGCTGCGCCACCTGGAGAACACGTACCCGCAGCGGTTCCGCACGTTCTACGTGCTGGAAAAGCCGACGGCCGACTGGCAGGGCGGCAAGGGCTACATCACCAAGGAGCTGCTGAAGCAGGTGCTGCCGGAGCCCAAGGCCGGCGACTTCAAGCTGTTTGTGTGCGGCCCGCCCGGCTTGATGAATGCGGTGTCGGGCAACAAGAAGTCGCCGTCAGACCAGGGCGAGCTGTCGGGCGCGCTGCAAGAGCTGGGCTACACCAAGGAGCAGGTGCTGAAGCTGTAAGCGGGATGTTGTAGCTGGACGTTATAGACGACGACAGACGACAGACGATAGACGATTAGACGATAGACTTGAACAATCTCAAGTTTTGTAGAAACACGGCACTCGAGCAACAGCGACGGCCATCCTTCTTCTCATTGGGTATATCCTACCCTTCTGTAAATAAACAAAGGCAAATAGAGCATGACGTGTTGTTGCAATTGCAGCCAAACGGACCCAAACGAGCCCCCTGTTCAATGCCATCGTCGTCATTTGTGAGGAGCGGTGCTCTTTTCTCTACTTTCATAAGCCTAATCCCTGCCTTAACGGTCGCAGCTGTTTGTTTGGCTTCTGCGTCGAGTTGGAGAACCACAGCCCACCGCCTACTGCCGGCCAAGGCAGGCCAATAATGGAGACAACGAGGCGGTGAGACGAAAAAAGAGGGACGCCACGCCAGGGACTGCCCACTTGCGGCGGCACGGCACGCAAACACACTTCGGCCCAACCATGTCCTGTGTTCGGAGTAATATGTTGTGTTGCTTTGGGGCGCTGTTTGCAAAGAGGGCGACCAGGCAGGGCCTCTCGTCGTTTGCTCTTTCCCCTGCACTGACATTGTCCTCTTCCTTCCTCTTTCAATTATCCTGCGTTTGTTTATTTTCGTTCCTTGCTCTTTCCGTGTTAAGTCGTACTGGCTGCAGTCGCTCCTACCTCTTGCTTTTTGCGGCTGCAACTACGTTTCCTCCTTCCCAGAGCGTCCTCGTTCTGCAAGCACTAGTCGCGCGTGACGACCGTCGCGCCTTCCCTTCCCCGCCATGTCCGACACCCGGCGCCGCTCCTCGCGCTCGTCGTCGACGGCCCACCTCAGGAGCTCTGGAGGCTCCTCGTCAACAAACAACCCCTCGTCGTCCGACACGGCATCCAACGTTTCCTCGTCCTCGGCGATGTCGTCCTCCCGCCACCGCAGTGCCCGCCACAGCGGTGCACCGTCCAACCGTTCGTCTACGTCGCTCCACCGTATTGCCGGCAGCAGCAGCAACCGCTCGCGAGAGTCACTCGCACCGTCAATGCCGTCTGACCGGCCGTCAAGAAAGTCGGGCGCGTCGTCGTCGTCCACGTCTTCCTCGTCTACGGCCACTCTGCAGCCGCCCGCCACCGACCCAGGTCCGTCCACCGGCACGGGTGGCATCTATGGCAATCTCGCCGGCCGTGCCAGCGAGTCCCGCTTCTCGCTGACCGACCAGTTCGCATCGACACGCAGCGTGCTCGACTTTGGCTTTGACGACACCGCCTCGTCCATCTTTGACGCGCAGTCCATTTTGTCTGTGGGCACGGCACGGGCGCCGTCCGTGTATGGGTATGACGGGTACGACGCATACGACGGGTACGAGGCGGCCGCCGCCGCCGCTGCTGCAGCCAGCGTGGGCGGCGTCGGTGGGCTGGACCCCTTTGCTGAACTCGGCAGCATGACCCCCACCGCTTCGTCCACGGGCAACGGCTTGCAGGGGTCGCCTTGGCAGGCCGAGGAAGAGTACCTCGGGGGTGCATACAGCACGGTCTTGGAAGAGAATGAAGACGAGGACGATGCGGCTACGATTGGAGGTGGCCGTTCCGACGCCAGCAGCGACGGCAATGATCTGACAGACGACAACGACACGCCTGAGCAGACGCCCACCAAACAGAAGAAGAGAAGCCGTGCACACTCATCAGCCGACGTGACCGTCATTAGTGGCGGCGGCGGCAGCAGCAGCAGCCAGAAGTCGCCGCCCCGTGACGCGGAGATCGTCGAGGAGCTGCAAGACACATTGCGGCTGCCTGTGCCTGTCCTGCCTCCTGCACAGCGTGGTCCACGGTCCTCCATCGCCGCCGCAGCCGCTCCTCCTCCTGCTCGCATCCCGGCGTCCCGCGTGCACCGCAGCTACTACGACCTCTTCTGCCTCTCGAGGGAGCAGTTCCCGCCGCCCAACGGCGCCCAGATTCGTGCTGCCTACTTCCGCCTGTTCCGCCTGCTCAACAGCACCGTCAGCAACGGCAGTGCCAGCAGCGACCCCGACAAAGCGAACTTGATGCCCACGGCGCTGCGGCCTTTTGCAGCCGCCTATTTTTTGGAGATCCAGAACGCGTTTGAGACGCTGATCGACCCAATTCGCCGGCTCGAGTACGACCTCTACCTTGATGACCTGGAAGACAACCGCGCGGGCGACGGCCTTGACGACGACGACGATGACGACAGCGAGAGTGAGGTGGATGACGGCAAGAGCGGCAAAAGCAAAATGACACGCAGCTCCGACAAGGCCACAACGGCGCCAACAGCACCAACAGCCGCCTACCCTTCACCACAGGCCCCGGCATTTGTGCGTAAATACGACTTCCAGACGACAACCGATCTGGGCGCCCGTTATACTGTTTCGGGTGCCCATCATCGGGCAGGCCAGCTCCTCCCAGCCGCACCGAACGTCGCTTCTCTCGACTACTCCCTCACACAATCCGTCCGCGTCGGCCTGCCCGCCCTTCGCCAGTATACCGAAGCCAGCCTCTTCCAGCTGCAGTGCCGCCTTCAGAAGGCGCGCCGCCTGTTGCACGAGCACTATGGCATAGGCCCCGGGCCTGCGGCACAAAATTCTTTTAAGAGTCGCGATGGCCGCACCTACTACTATACCCGCCGCCACTCGTCTACTTCTTCTGCTGCCGCCGCCGCCGACCAGCCCCTGTGGCCCATTCGCTGCGGCATCCCCATTGTGAGCCTGTCCGCCTCCACGTACTCTCTATCTACAGCGGCAGCCGCTGCTGGTGCCGTCCTTCCACTTGGCGACCGGTTCCAGCCGCTTTTGCCCGAGGTGCTCGGCCCGGCCCGCATCGCACAGCTAGCGCATACTCGAGCCACTGGCTGTGTCGTGCTCGGCTACCGCCAGGAGTTCTGGTCTGGCAGTGCGCTCGCCAATCCTCCCGGCAGTGCACCAGGCCCCCCGCCGCCGTCCGTTGTGGTTGACGTCGAGACCGAGGTGCTGCCCCGTGCGGCCGTCACGGCCCGCATTGCCCAGACTGTTCAACTGCCCGCGGCCGCCCATAAGCTTGAGCGCCGCATTTTCGGCCATCCCAGCAACGAGCCTATCCATGTAGAGGCTATGGTGCAGACCGGCGAATCGTCCTTGTTTTCGAATCGTCTGCTGGCGTCGTCGCCGTCGCTGCCACGCTTTGGCCTTGGTCTCTCCCGCCGCGTGGGCAGCGGCAACGGTAACATCTTCGTGTGCGCCGACAGCGGAAACGCGTGGTGGTCGTCCTCGTCCTCATCCTCGCTGGATTCTGTCTCTTCTGTCTTCGCCCCCTTTATCCCACCCATGGTAGAGGTCGGTTACAGCATGAGCCCCCATCAACTGGGCCTGCACGCCGGACGGCCCCTGACGTGTCCCGCCGACCGCGGTCTCAAGGGCGTCGACATCGACATGGATACCCTAGGCAATGTGACGGCATACTCGTCCGACCGTCGCAACCCCGTTTCCCCGCACGGCACATGGACTGTCTCAGCCGCCACGACAGGCTACGGCTCCGCGGCTGCTTACCTGCGCTACGGCCGTACCGTCTTCCTCACCCCTCTCGGACGGACACCCCCGTCTACCGCTGCCTCCAACTCCCGTCGCAGTCGCCGGCAGCGCCAGTCGCCGCAGCGAGCCGTCCGCGTCGAGGCTGAACTGTGCGCCGCCGACTGCTACTTCTCCGATGGCTACCTCGCCGTCCGTGCTTTGGCGCCTGTCCGTTGGTGGGGCCTCCGCAACGGCTGGACCAGCAACGCCACAACAAGCTTCCGCAGCAGCACCCCCGCCAGCACGACTCCGCCTAAGCTCGGCCTTGAGGTCGCCCTGAGCGCTGGCAGTGGCCATGTCCACATCTCCCTGTATTGGTCGCGCCTGGGCCAGCGCTTCAAGCTGCCTTTGTTGCTGCTGCCGAACCCGGCTTCGATTGCCGCTTCCTCGTCCGCCTCGGTGACCCACGCAGCCGCCAAACTCTTCGTATGGGCCGCCATTGCACCCGTGGCCGTCATGGCCGTCCGCGAGGTCGCACGCATCTACTGGCGCGCCGCCACCAAGCAGTGGAAGTCGTCGCGGTCCAAAGCGCGCGCCAAGAGACGCAGTCTGACTGGTGAGGACGCTGCCACAGCCGGTTACGAGCACGAGACGGCGGACGATGCCCACGATGCCGACTTTGACTTTGACGAGGAAGAAGAACAGGCCATTACGCACCACCGCGCCGAGGCCGACGAGCTGACCATGATCCTGGCTTCGGCTGTCGACGCACAGCGCGTACTGGAGCAGCAGATGCGTCAGCGCTCGGGGATTCACAGCAGCACTGCTAGTGACAACGACCACCACCACAACGAGCTCGTCATTATCAGCGCCAAGTACGGCATAGCCCTCGCCGACGACCCGGATGACCCGGACACTGGGCACGCACGCCACGATAGCGCGACGAGCGGTCTGGGCCACGGCATTCATGCTGCCTGTCCGCCCGTGACTGCTATGGCCTCGCGCAACGGCTGGGCGCCCGATTACGAGGTGGCGGATGTCACCGCGGCAGTGTCTGCCCTAATTGTGACGGGCGGCAGCGGCAACGATGCCACCGACAGCGACTATCTCTACATTCCGGCCGGCCTGCAAAAGGGCCGTCTGCTTGGTTTCTGGGACCCGGCGCCCAACTACCGCTCCAAGAAGCACAACGACGGGCAAACGACAACGCCCACACAGCGCCGGGCGGCTCGCGGCAAAAAGGTACTGCATGTGCGCTACCTCTGGAACGGTCTTGAACGTGTGGCCGAGGTTGGTGACCGGGCCGAGCTGCGTCTCCCATGATGAACAAACGAGATGAAACCATGCTGCATGATGATCAGATGAGAGATGGCCTGTTTTGCGACAAAATGAATACCATGGATTGAGAAAAGCGAGCCCGGGTGACTTTATGTATACAAAATTTGGAAACGTTTACGTATTGTCTATAGCTTATGCAGAAAGACAAATGAGATATATTTGTATCTGACTTAAAAATAACAGTAATAATAAAAATAAAAATTGGCATTTGCCTCGGTGTGAAAGACACCTGGCTTTCTTTCTTTCTCCTTTTTTTTTGACTTTTTGAATGAAGTCTTGACAATTTATTCAAAAAATCAGCACTTCGACAGGGACATATAAGTCGAGAAACCAAAGAAGAGAAATAAGAACGAAATGCAAAATTGCGACACTGCCAAACAAGAGTGTCTTCTTTTTGGGTTAAACTGAGAATAAAACAAGCATTTTTGAACAAATCCAAATCTCGAAACAAAAATGGGCAGAAGTAGTTGGTAGGAAACAACGCGATATATGAAAAAATAAGACAATCTGAACAACTCGAGGCGTGCAAAACGTATAAGAAGAAATTACAAAAACAGCGGATGTTATATGCCACTTCGAGAAAAGACGCCAAGTGCTCAAGAAGAGGAGGCCGTGCCGAACACAACCTTCTCCAGCTTGTCGCGCTCACCACTCTCCTCGCACATGCCGCGGAAGATGCCCACCTCGGCACCCTTCTCCCACAGCTCGCGCGGCGTGCCGTACTCGGCCACCGCACCATCGCTGAGCACAAGAATGCGGTCAAAGTCGGCAATGGTGCTCAGACGGTGCGCAATCACAAGCAAGGTCGAGTCCGTGAACTCTTCGCGAATGCTGCGTTGGATTAGACCATCCGTGTGCATGTCGACGGCCGACGTCGCCTCGTCCAGCACCATGACACGCGGTCTCCGGACAATGGCACGGGCCAGGCAGAGCAACTGGCGCTGGCCCTGCGACAGATTGAGGCCACCTTCAGAGATCTGCGAGGACAGGTCGTTGAAGATGTTGACGTTCTTGGGCTCCGACACAGTGCTGGAGGACGAGGCGGGCTCGGCAGGTGTAGGCGAGTTGCGACCCGAAGTGGCAGCCGACGACGCGCGGGACGCTGTCAAGTGTACGCGATCCAAACAGTCGCGCAACTCTTCGTCAGTGTGTGTGTTGAAGGGGTCCAGGTTGCTGCGAATAGTGCCAGAGAACAAAACGGGGTCCTGAGGAATGATAGCCAAGCGCGAACGGAGATCGTGGAGCCTGATCTTGGAGATGTCGATGCCGTCAATGTGAATGCTACCCGAGCGAGCCTCGAGGAAACGGAACAGCGCCAGAGTCAGTGACGACTTGCCGGCACCGGTGCGGCCGACAACACCAACGCGCTGGTTGCGCTCAACACCAAACGTAAGACCCTTCAGGACAGGCGGCAAATCGGGAGCGTAGCTGACAACCAGGTTGTCGACCTCAATGCGGCCTTCCGTCGGCCAGGCCGCAGGTGGTTGTTGACCACCAAGATCCTCGGTAGGCAGCTCCGTGTACTCAATAATGCGCTCGGCCGCATTCATTTGGAGCTCGACGTTAGCGTATAGACGCACTGTCCACATGACGCACGAGGAGAAATCCAGAGCAAAGGCCAGTGCGAAACCAGCCAGGGCCGAGTCAATCGTCGGTGAAGAGAAAAGAACCGAGGCAACGACGACGGAGAAGAAGGAGCCCACCAGGCTCATGCGCCAGCCAACCCAGCGGTTGAACAGCCACAGGTGCCAGGTCGTGGTCGACCAGTCATCCAGCTTGCGGTACATGCGCTGAATATAGACTTGCACCTTGTCGTAGCCACGAATGGTCACGACACCTGACAGGGCCGTGCCGAACTGCTCAAACACGGGCGACTTAGCCGTGCTCTCAAGACGCTTCGCAGGGCGGGCAGCGGTGACATAGATGGAGGCGAAGTAGACGCAGATGACCAAGAGGACAAACGACATCAGCACAATGAAAGGCGAGACAAAGAAACCAGACAAGACGACACCAATCAGCTGGACAAACGAATTACCACCAAAGCTGATGGAGTTGGCCAGCTGGTTATCAATAATGTTGAAGTCGGCGGTGAAACGGTTCAGAATACGACCGACGGGCACAGTGTCGAGCCAGCGGAGCGGGGCCCGAAGAATGACAAAGTTGAGTCTCTCGAACAGAGTCCGGCTAGCCCGAATCGAACCATGGTAGACGTAAAAGTATCGTGCCGAGCTGATGATGGCCGTGGACATGGCAAGGAGGACGTAGATTCCCATATAGTAGCTCATAGATTCAGTCGTGTACGTGCCGACCTTGTTGGATGAGCTGAACGCACTTGAAAAACCGTTCACAGAGCCCATGGTCGTCTGGTGGTGAAGGCCGCCGGTGTAAGAGTACTGCTGGTTCTGGCCGAGGGCGTGGTGGCCAAGAGTGGAATAATTGAACGAGGTCGCTTCACTCTTCTCATCGTACAGACCAGTCCAGATGCGCAGCCACCAGGAGCGAGAAACATTGAGAATCTGCACGATAAAGAACACAACTAAGACGCTAGTCCAGAAGGGCCAACCGCCGCTTGCCTTGAGATACGCAAGGTACACGTGCTTGCGAACGGCACCTTCTTCGCGTTTCTCGTCCTCGACAAACTTTCTGGCCGTCTTCTTGGGAGCAGCATCTGCGGCTGCGGCTTGGGAGGCGCGAGAAGCAGTCTTCTTGAGAGCACCACCATCGCTAGGGCCACTCTCGTTGTCGTTGTCGTCGCCGTTATCAGTGGAATCGTCCGAGTTCACAGCCGTGGCCTCGGCGGTTTCATCGTCGTTGATTTCCGCGGCGCGCTGCTCATGGCTCTTGATGCGATCGAGGGTGCCATCCTCGGCAAGTTCCGAAAGCAGGCCCGAGTGAAGCACGCGGCCCTCGCCAAGCTCAACGAGAAACTTGGTCTGGGGTGCACACAGAGAAACGTGATGGGTGACCAGAATACGGGTGCGGCCAGCACAGAGCTCGCCGTTAATGCACTTCTCAAAGATGTGGCGACCGACGTGGGCATCGACAGCACTGAAAATGTCGTCCATGACAAGAATACCGGCACGCGAGTAGATGGCACGGGCGAGGGTGATTCGCCACTTCTGGCCACCACTCAGGTTGATGCCGTTGGCGCCGATTTCGGTGTCCTCTCCGTCTGACAACATCTCGAGATCTTTCGTAAGAGCGCATACCTCGATGGTCTTCTGGTAGCGCTCCTCGTCAGTAGGCAGGCCGAAAATGATGTTCTCGCGAATCGTAGCATTCTCGATCCAGGGAATTTGGGCAATGTACGCAATCGACTTGGGCAGGATCCAGTCACCTTTGGTGGCCTTGGAATCATGGCGGTCGTCAATGGACAGGCCGTCAGGGACGGTGATGCTGCCGGCAAGGAGATCGACCTCGCCAAGAATGGCGGAAAGCAACATGCTCTTGCCGGTACCAGTCTTGCCAGAGATGACCGAGAGTTCGCCCTGGGGGAAAGTAAGGTTGACGTCACGCAGGACGAAGCGTTCGCTCTCGTCAATATCCTCGTCAGATGGCCAAGCAATGGAAGCCTTGTCAAACGAAATCTCATCGCCGTCCTTGGAAACCTTCACAAGATCGGGGCTGCAAAGGTACTCCTCAATACGCTTGATAGAGACCCAGGCATCAAGCAGGTCGGTCGTCAGTTCAGGGATAACAGACAGAGTAACTTCCAGGGCCCGGAAAACACCCAGGCTGACAAAGGCGACAGACGGGCTGAGCTCGCCGTAGATGTAGGCATAGACGGCAAGCGAGATGGCGGATAGGGCAATAGGGCTCGTGACCCAGCAGGCAATCAGAATGGCATCGTAGCAGAAGACGTCCCAGACCCTCTTGAGCTCGCGATTGCGCACCTCGCCGATCTTGTCCTCCCACTGCGGTTCGAGGGCAGAGAACTTGATCTGGCGAATGCCCTGCAGGGCCTCGGTGACGACCTCCAGCTTCTCATCGCGCAGCTTCATCAACTTGTCCTGGGCGTCCGCATAGAGTCTCGAGAAGTAGATGTTGAAGGGCATGATGATGAGCATCGACGTGAAACCGGCGGCGAGAGGAATCCAGCCCAGAAGATTGACAAGGAACGTGAGCGAAACAATAAGCTTGAACAGACTACCGGGGAAGAGGTTCTGGTAAGAGCAAAAGTCCGAGACACGCTTGCCATCAACTCCGATCAGGTTGACAGTGCCCTGTTTAGTCTTCTTCGCAGACTCAAGGTCGTCTTCTTCGTCCTCCTTGGCAGCGTCGGTCGGTTCGGGCACCTCGGGGGCATCAGCGGCGGTTGTCTCGGCTCCAGGCGCCGCAATGGCGGGATCGGTCGGGCCAACGGCGGCGTCCTTGTTCTTCCTGCGGCCCTGCTTAACATCCTTGCGGCGCATAGACTTTTCAAAGATCAGAGCAGAGAGCTGGGCGCGGACAGGGATGCTGAGCTCTGCCCAAGACAGCCAGAAGACGTAAGATTCGAGAAGCGACTGGGCAACGATGGCAATGCCGAGCCACAGAACCCAGATCCAAGCATCGACGCTCAAGGGTTGGCCCAGAACACGACCCTCCAGGATGCGCAGCAGACGCAGGACGACCCACTGCGGTGCAAAGTTGAGGATGGCCGTGCCGAAGGTCAGCAGCCACTGTAGAGCAAAGGGGCCGACGTGGGCACGGATAATGGAGAGCCAAAGGCGACGGTCCGGGTAGTTGGCAGCGCGCCAGTTGGCGGACATGTTGACAGCACGGGTCAGATGGTTCGGGCGAGGCATGTCGATGAGATCCAAGCTCTTCTTGGTGACCGAGAGCTTCATAAGCTCCGAGGGCCACGAGAAGGTGAAGCGGCTGTACGCAGTCGTGGTGTACATTCGGTCGACGAGTTCATTCTGGTAGTAGACCTCGGGCCGCCGAGGCAGCAGAACGCTGGCCGCGGTGACGGCGGCAACACCTACAAGCTCAGTGACACGCAG